GCACTTCCACTGGAAATACATGCAGCTCAGCCATCACTCTCATGCATCTGTCACACCCACAAAAACAGTCCAAACATTCAGTCTCTGTTAACATACACACCCACATTTATAGCTTTGCCCTCTGTACTGTAGATTCGAATACATTGTGCTTAGATTAATTAATATACCAGACAGTAAAGTATGTTATAAAAATCTGGTTTATAGATTTACATTCATTTATTTAAATCTCTCAATATAATTTACATATCCTTTAATAAAATTGTCCTTTCAGAATATATTAAGTTGGTTACATTCCCACTGCATCTCACCCAGTCGACACACATGACCACTCAAGAAAAACCTGCTGCTTTATCTCCATGTTTCTAGCCCCTCTAACACCACATAACAAAACTCAGGTCACTGGCTTCAGTTTCATTTGAACATATGAAATACTATTCTCAACAAATGTGGAGTAGCATATGGCTTTTCTATGGTATTTTGGCCCCCCTCCCACTGTCTAGAGAACCATCATATTTACATTTACATTTTAGTCATTTAGCAGACGCTCTTATCCAGAGCTACTTACAGGAGCAATTAGGGTTAAGTGCCTTGCTTAAGGGCACATCGACAGATTTTTTCACCTAGTCGGCTCTGGGATTAGAACCAGCGACCTTTCGGTTACTGGCACAACGCTCTTACCCACTAAGCTACCTGCCGCCCAAGAGAGATGCATTTTTATAGGCATATAATTTGCTACATTCCAAATTGGTTAGGTTTGCAGCCATCATCAAACTGCACATTTGCCCTGTGCCAATATTCTAGTCACATGAATGGGTCATACAAGCAGATTGTATGCATTCTACACTTCACTGAAATGAATGATGGTTGAAATTCTCTAGAGAATGCCTAGACTACATGTCTAATGTTTCCTCTACACCTCAACTCTTCCACATGGTGGCAACAGATACAGTCCCTGTAACTGGTGTGTCCATTCAATGTTTAAAAAGCAGTAGGTAAACATTGTGATTATTATTACAAAATGAAATATATAATCATTGATACTGTAAAACATTAAAAGTCGTTGAAACATATTGGGACGTTCTGGTTTCTATTTAAGTGCACTTAATTGGCACAGGACACCATTCTTAACGAGGGAGGCAACTATTTATTATTTTGATCCGTCTGTCAGTAATACCTCTTCTTCATGGAGTTCAGAGTTAGAAGAGTGACTGGAGGGTCATATTCACCCCCCCCAGTTCTCCCCTCAACACCAATCTCCCAGCCCCTTCCCTACTCCAAGGCACTGCTTAAACTGTAAACATGGCAGTTTGGCTAACTAAGATAAGAGGACCGTTTTCATGGCTGCCAGAGCTACTTGTGAAGTGTGTGTAAAATGTGACATTTGCGATATCAGTCACAACAGCACACAGCTGATATTGAATGCACTAGGCTAGCGAGAAACGACTCAAATAATTGTTAATGAATTGTGATACAGGATGAATTGCTCAGATATGTGCATGCACGCATGCTCACGAGTAAAATATACAAATTGTAACTGTACTAAAAGTGTTTGTCAATCGATTCTGTTCTTTACTCCCTTATATATTTTAATATAATTTTTAATATTTGCCTCTGTACTAAATATATTTATAATATATAGCATTTAGCATAAACTACATAAAATACCCACAGCTTAAGCATTTCCCTGATCTCTAAAATAATCAAAGCAGTTTAATGTATGTCCAGAGGATAATTGGGAACTTTGGTAGGGAAAACAATAGCAAATACAGTATATTCAACAACTTGTTGCCTTACTACTAGTTTAGTAAGCTGATAAATAAAAGTGCCCAATGAGTTTGAGTCCTCTGGTTCAGTATTGCAGAGCCAAATATGCCACAAAACTGGGCCTGCTAAAGCATCAGTCAGTGGATTTCAACACTGGCTCAAGAATCACACAGCTATTGCTTGGAACCACACTAATAGTTCAATATTATCCACTGCAGCCCCATCCCTACAAACTCTCATAAAGCAACACATCTTTGTGTACAAACACACACATAACCAGATCCATACCAATTAACATAAAATACATTTAAAAAAACTGAGGTTTCAGAAAGAGTAGATCTAGCAAGAGAAAAGGGAACTATATTTCACTGGATTACAGACGCCAGATGAGAGCCTGAACCCCAGCACTACCCCCCAGGTAAGGTATGGATCATGACACCTGCTGCCATTATAATATTCTAACAACCACATCACTCGCTCACTCAATTCCTATGTCCTCTATATTCCTGTCACTTCAAAACCTTCATACTTCATCAACCCTTGACCCCCACATCTTAAGTCACCTCACTCCCTACCACTGGTACATTTTACACACAACAAATTAAACCTAAACTCCTCTCTGAACAAGAAAAGCATATATATATTGCAATATAACAGTATAGAGTAAAAGTAAGAATGCCAGTTAGACTAATACCAAATACAGAAACAGTACAGATACTATAAATTGTTTGCAGTGATAGTGTAAATTCATGACAAGAAAAAAGTTAATATCTTAAGTCTGTTAGATAGCCTCCTAAATGGTAAATAGCTCCACCCCCGATATGGAACACGGGGAGAATAAAGAAATAGAAAGCATAGAGCTACAACACAGCAGTATGTTCCATTTTACTAGGGAACAGAATGATACCATGTTCACATCATGGATAGTCGGTCTTGCAATGAGGTTTTTTAAACCTTCCCCCAAAAAATCAAATAAAAACATGAAATCAAGTTAATCAAACATCTCTTATTTTTGAATGATGAGTTGAATATTTAAGCCATTGGGAATCTGAAGTTTAGCATATTGAGTGAGCTTATATGATGAAGTGTTGCAACAAAGGGTGTGCCAGTACAGTATACAGTACCAGTGAAATGTTTGGACACCTACTCATTCAAGGGTTTTTCTTTATTTTTACCATTTTCTACATTGTAGAATAATAGTGAAGACATCAAAACTATGAAATAACACATATGGAATCATGTAGTAACCAAGAAAAGTGTTAAACAAATCAAAATATTTTTTCTATTTGAGATTCTTCAAATAGCCACCCTTTGCCTTGATGACAGCTTTTCACACGTTTGGCATTCCTTCAACCAGCTTCACCTGGAATGCTTTTCCAACAGTCTTGAAGGAGTTCCCACATATGCTGAGCACTTGTTGGCTGATTTTCCTTCACCTCTGCCGTCCGACTCACCCCAAACCATCTCAATTGGGTTGAGGTCGGGGGATTGTTGACGCCAGGTCATCTGATCCAGCACGCCATCACTCTCCTTCTTGGTAAAGTAGCCCTTACACAGCCTGGTGGTGTGTTGGGTCATTGTCCTGTTAAAAAAACAAATGATAGTCCTACTAAGCCCAAACCAGATGGGATGGCATATCGCTGCAGAATGCTGTGGTAGCCATGCTGGTTAAGTGTGCCTTGAATTCTAAATAAATCACAGACAGTGTCAACAGAAAAGCACCCCCACACCATAACACCTCCTCCTCCATGCTTTATGGTGGGAACTACACATACGGAGATCATCCGTTCACCCACACCGCGTCTCACAAAGACACGCCGGTTGGAACCAAAAATCTCCAATTTGGACTCCAGACCAAATAACTAATTTCCACCGGTCTAATGTCCATTGCTCGTGTTTCTTGGCCCAAGCAGGTCTCCACTTCTTATTGGTGTCCTTTAGTAGTGGTTTCTTTGCAGCAATTTGACCATGAAAGCCTGATTCACACAGTCCCCTCTGAACAGTTGATATTGAGATGTGACTTGAACTCTGTGAAGCATTTATTTGGGCTGCAATTTCTGAGGCTGGTAACTCTAATGAACTTGTCCTCTGCAGCAGAGGTAACTCTGGGTCTTCCATTCCTGTGGCGGTCCTTATGAGAGCCAGTTTCATCATAGCGCTTGATGGTCTTTGCGACTGCACTTGAAGAAACTTTCAAAGTTCTTGAAATGTTCCGTATTGACTGACCAGGTCTTAAAGTAATGGTGGACTGTCGTTTCTCTTTGCTTATTTGAGCTGTTCTTGCCATAATATGGATTTGTACTTTTACCAAATAGGGCCATCTTCTGTATACCCCCCCTAACTTGTCACAACACAACTGATTGGCTCAAACGTATTAAGGAAAGAAATTCCACAAATTAACTTTTAAGAAGGCACACCTGTTAACTGAAATGCATTCCAGGTGACTACCTAAAAGCTGGTTGAGAGAATGCCAAGAGTGTGCAAAGCTGTCATCAAGGCAAAGGGTGGCTATTTGAAGTATCTCAAATATAAATTATATTTTGATTTGTTTAACACTTTTTTGGTTACTACATGATTCCATATGTGTTATTTCATAGTTTTGATGTCTTCACTATTATTCTACAATGTACAAAATAGTAAAAATAAAGAAAAACCCTTGAATGAGTAGGTGTGTCCAAACCTTTGACTGGTAGTGTATATCAGGTCCAAGGCTACACCCTGAATGGAGGCGTTATATACACGTCTGCCAGTGACTTCAATCTACCCATGTTCTCTTCCATTTAAACATGTTAGATACTAGCTATTTACAATTCAATCTGGACTTATACTGGTTGAATCTTGCTTTCTTTAAAATGTATTTCACCAGTAAGGAATGTTTTTAACATACCCCAATAAGAAGGAACTAACTACGGTAGTTACGACTAAACACAGGCCCACCAAGTGACTGAGGTACAATAATACAGGATAAGTATATACAGTACAAAGTAGAGATGATATTACATTAGAAGCCTGTAGTAATATCTCATAGGTAGCTACCATTCCAGAGGGAGATCAATCAGATCATGGGAGTCAGAAGATGGCAGGTGAGATGGACTCTGTCGTGAAGATTTAGGCTGGAATGGATTTACAGTATGCTTGTGTGTTGGCGCGCGTGTATGTATGAGTGTTTTGTGTCTGTGTATTTGTAATTATGGGGCCTTGTGGTTTCCATACACCAACTATGGGACTATGTTGCTTCACCAGTTCATGATGCAGTTCCTGTTCAGGGTCATGAAGTAGACCTGGCTGCTGCCTCCGGAGCGCACCGAAGCAAAGAACACCTGAGACACACATTAACAAGACATTATGCTTATTACTCAGGTTCAATGTTCAGTTGTACGTACTGGAGGCATAAACGTAGATCTCTTAAGTTATATTTTGAATACCAGTGTGTGACCCACCTTGTCATTCCTCTCACAGAGAAACTTGAGCCTCTGGGCTCTCTTGTGCATGAAAACTCCGTCCAAGTGGCCTGTCTCTACAGCACGGATCTCTATGGCCTTCTCTCCCCAGCCCATGATCTGGTTAGAGCAGATATGTGCTGCACACAGGGAGAGAGAGAGGGAGAGAGAACTCAGAACATGCCACATTTCAAGAGAAAGAAGTGTGTGTGTATGCCGTGTGTGCCTGTGACTGCGTGCGTGCGTGCGTGTACACATGTGCCATACCAACGGAGGTGGGCATCTCGCCCCACTGCAGCACCACATCTTTGATGATGCGTCCGTAGGTGTTGACGTAGACGCCCTCGTCCTCGTAACACAGCAGCATCTCCATGCCATCCGAGCTGGGCAGGAACACGATGGCATGGGGCATTATCTGGACCTGGATCTGGACACACACAGGGGCGAAGGAGTAGAAGCTTGTTTTACCTAACAGAGTTGAATGCACTGATTCTAAGTCGCTCTGAATAATAGTGTTAAGTGACTAAAATGTAAAATATATGTAAATCTTGCAAGAAATGGGTAGAATCTGTGAGGTTCATATCAATACCTTTCAGGTCTGGGCATCTAATCAATGAAACGTATCATTATTCATGTTTTATAGATATTGTAGTTGTCAATTAATTCCAAAGCTTTCTTTGATTTGGAAGAATTTGTGGGGGCTGTCATGACTTGCCCTCATAGGTTGAGGATCAAACATGCCGGCTAGGCAAAGGTTTGACCACCACCTATCCTGGGGGCAAGTTTTATGACCGGTCGTAAATACCGTGCAGACTTTCTCTTCCTTGCCATGAAGTATTGGGGGAAAGGACCCCTTTGTTAACAAAGGAAAAGTCTTCCCGCCAAGACTCCAACATCCAAAAGTGGATAATGAAACAATATTCCTACTTAAAAAGAATGTGGGAAATGGTCAGTAGGGACTTAATAAAACAATAATGCAAAATTCGTTACTACGTTGTGATGTCATTAAAGACAGCGGAACATCATAACTGTATCTCTGGGGGTGTACACTTCCCAGTTATGAGGTTTGCATCTAATTGTTGTATAAAACAAATGATTAAGTATAATAATACTTTTGTGAAGATAACAATGTGATTTTAGCATTCTAGATGAGATTATTGTTTTCCATATTGATTTGTTCTCAGTCAGCGGCCACGCCCAGATGAGCACAAACATGATGGAACGCCCCTTTTACCCTGAGTGCATAAAAAGCCTTGAAAAACATTTTAACATTAGACCAGGAAGCCCATGGCTTAAAATGGTTGACACTCTACAAGACCAGCAGACGTGAAGCGTGAGCTAAACGTTACAAAATGGCTAGACCAGAAAACGTGAGACATTAGTCCACACATTTGAAACAGAGAAACTCTGAAACTCTCAACCTCTACACGAGGTGAAGAAGAAGACAATGCACTAGACCTTATCATTTCAGTCTGCAGCTGGCATGTATAGTTGTCTAGAGAACTTTCCCTAAAGACACGATGTGGGAAGGACAATCCCTCTCAGACAACCGCTGGTACATCTGAAGTATCCATTCTAACCACTACTACGACCAGAAACTCTACCAAGGACATTGGGATCTCTGGTGGGCAAACCAGAGTCCTACATCGTCAACTCAACTATCGATGACAGCTACACGTAAATACATGTTGCATTTCTAATCCGAATGAGCGTTATTAGGGTGATGCGTCATAAGTATTATGATTACTGTGAGCGTAGTCTCCAAAGTAACCACAATAGTTTCAATCTCCCTCCCTTCCACTCTGACCCTCCTTCTACCCAAGCATTCATGCTATTGTTAGTCCAGTCCACTAGGGACCTGTTTTCATTGTATTACGTTAGTAATCAATAACCTGTGTGTGTGTGTGTGTGTGTGTGTGTGTGTGTGTGTGTGTTTGTATTGTGTTATTATTTAGCTAGTAAATAAATAAATCTAATTTGTGTATTGCTGATTCATCAATAAGGTTAGGGTTCTTGCAGGGTCAAGGATTATGCGACGTTCCGAATTAGACTGATGAGGTAATTATTTAATAAGTGACTGTTATCGATATATAACATATCTTCTAAGAGTTTAATTCGGGAGATGGTAACTCGTTAAACTTATTCCTAATGAGTTCATTGTTACACGATTCATTTAATCAAGTGACAATTAAACATAGTTAGGTAATTTGATAAATAACAGTCATACATTCAAGTAAGTCACGTCACGACAGGGCTTAATAAGGAGATTCTGCCCCGTAGTTTCGGTCTAGCCCTGGAGATGAGTTGGTGTCCTACACACTCAATGCCTTCTGCGTCTGCGTGTGCTGTCACATGAGGAACTCCTCCACTCACATGCACTGGGATGTAGATGTCATAGTTGTTCCCAGAGTCGACATCAATAGCGTGGAAGCCAGCACTGGAGCCGTAGATGACCTTCAACCTCTGTCCTTCCTCCACTGTGAGGTCAACCAACTGGGGCCTGTGGGGCAGGTCACCAAAGGACTAGAAGAGAGGAAAGTGAGAGAAGAGAAAGAGAGAGGGGAGAAAGAGAGATGGGAAAGGAAAAGAGAGAGAACATAAGAGGTTTTGAATGTTGTTCTGGTCGACTGGCTGAGGGGAAATAGAACTCCTGGCATTCAGAACATTGAGGCAGGAAAGGTGAGACCTACCTTGAAGGCCATGAATTTGTGATAAGGCTTGGGAGCCCAGGCGTATACCTCCACCGCGTTCTTCATAGCTATAACCAGGAACTTGATCCTCTCATATTTCACTAGACACAAACAAAGTGGGATTAGAGCCTTTGTGACGCTATAAATAAACAGCGCCAAAAGGCAAAACCAATTGTGTAAATATACATTGTTCGAAAAACTGAACGCATTGATAATAGATACAAGGTTCAATAACGGGTCACATCACTGTTACTCTGTCTCCTTCCTCCCTTTACTCACCCACTTTGTAGTGCACACATCCCTCCATCTCCCCTACAGTGGTCCAGCCCTGCTTCTTCTCCACCTCCGGGTCATTGTGGAGGATCTTGTTCCTCAGCCAGGCCAGGTAGTACACACGCACCTTGTTCTTCTTACCTGGGATGGACACACACACAGGGTTATATAGTGGATAAGAAAAGGTGCTTAGTAGCAACAGATGTTTGTGGTGCACAGGTCCTTTTCCACAAGTGTATTCAACAAAGTGAAACGTTCAGAACATCGCAGATAGAAATGCAAAAGATAGAATCCTGTTAGCTCTACCTGAAGGTTTTGTGACGTTGCTCTCCTAAACAGACCCCCAGGTGAGTGCAGTGTGTTAAAGTGCTGAGCAGTACTAATCAATCACCTGATATGGTGATGAGCAGGTTGAGTCCCTCCAGGACGTCCATCTGTTGGAACCTGCGGGAGTTGATGAGGGGGTATACCTTCCCCTGACCACTACGGTCCAGCAGCTTCAGACCGTTCTCTGTCCCCACCAGCAGGTTCACACCTGGGGACACACACATGCTTAGATACAAAATGTTCCCCTTAATGCAATCAGGACCTACAATATGTGAAAAATGTGATACTCAAGCTGGATGGAACAAAGTGTGTTACATGTGGTCATTGAAATACATATAATTCTATGTTCCATTTTAATTCTGTGCATGTGGCTCATATGATTAGAGTGTGGGCTATAGCTTAGACCAGTGTGCCGTCAGTCTCACCCCAGAGAGCAGCACAGAGGATCTCAGAGTTGAACCTCTTCTTGTACTTGCGGATCTCGGGGGTGTCGCTGTGGGGGCGTGTGTTGGTGGGGTTCACGTTCACCATGGAGCCTTTCCTCACCTCCATCTTCAGCTGCTCAAACCTGGAGCCCAGGCCTGGACACAACAGGAGCAGAGTTGAGTGGACTGCATTACTAGCTGTTTGGGGTTTTAGGCTGGGTTTCTGTACAGCACTTCGAGATATTAGCTGATGTAAGAAGGGCTATATAAAATAAAATTGATTGATTGATTGATTGAGAGGGAGGAGAGAAATACAACCCATAGTTTCTCTATGAATGCCAAAACATCCTTAAGGGAATGATAATATTGAATCAAGCTACTGTGGGCAACTGCTTCCCTCCTGCTTATGAGACATTTCCATGACTCAGATTTACCAACAGCAGTAAAGTAAGTAAGATGCTGATGATTGTGAGCCAAGTACTGAAGCTAGAGAGACTAGAATAGGAAACTAGGTAAGTGAAGGTATATAGGGGAACCTTATTTAACCACTTATGATAATGACCAGTTCTACAGTATGTACTTACTGCCCACAGAGATGGCATCCACAGGGCCTGGTGGTTGGTACATGCCCAGGTCAACAAAGGTGGTGAAGGAGGACTTGCCACTTGACGCCTTGACTAGACCCCTGGACTGATACTGGGGGAAACAGGAAGGGAGTGAGAAATACCACTGGGAATGGGGTTTATGGCAGAGAAACTTGTACATGGAGACAGACATATTGGCGGATTAGTCGGGGAGACAGAGACAGACTGACCGTCAGAGACACGCAAAGAGACAGACAGTCAGAGAGACACAGACCGAGAGACTCACATCATAGACAGAGTCTTTCCCAGGGGAGGAATGGGAGGCCGAGTCAGTGGGGGAGTGGGAGGGCTGCACCACGTCAGGCAGGTTGGTGTATCCATTGTGGCTCCGCTTCTCTGGTGTCTGCCAGGCAACGGGGACAAACCAGTCACAATCACACAACCCCTACATAAGAGTAACCTGACCACCCATACATATCCATACACCCCCCCCCGTAGGCTACTTCCTGAGAGACAGATGACTCACCCTCTGCACCAGCATGGTCTGGTCCCCGTAGACTCCTGCCTGACCCTCCTCCCCTCCCTCCCCCTCCTCCTCATGAACCACCATGGTGTTGACTGAGTCAGAGTCTGCATCCCGTGGACTAAAGAAAGACAGGAGATGAAGAGGGGAAAGAAACAGAGGAAGATGACAGAGCAGAGTGCAGTGGAGGATATGAAGTGGACAGGAAAATAAAAAGACAAGGAAAGGTTAGGGTGGCGGTAAAAAGCGGACAATGGGCTTTCAATAACATAATTCACAAGTAGCTATGTCTCTAAAAAGCCATTCCTTTTTTCTCTTTCCTGTTTGTCAGTGTGTGTGTCTCCCACCCTGGTACTGACCGGTCTGTGGGGCTGTCCTCTTCATTCCCCTCTCCACTCTCACTCTCCTCACTGCTCTCACTGCCTTCGGAGGATGAGGAGTAGTCGTTGGCCTTCACCGGAGGTCTGGGCTGCTCCTCAGGGCGCTCCTTAGCATACAGCCCATGGTCCTGAACACAAACAGACACACACGCAGACAACACAGACAAGCAACAGATATTAGGGAAGCATAGAGCTGGGTGTTTCCAGCATACCAGGACTATGACAGGCTTGTGTAACTTAATACAGCAGCCTGACATAGTGGAAGCAAAAACATATGTATCACAGCACACAGAGATACTAACCTCTCCTATTGCTCTCTTGTAACTCTGTGCATTGGAAGAAGCAGTGGACAAACAGGGAAGTAAGTGGAGTAGGAAGAGAGAAAAAGAGGGTGGATTATAATATTTTTTTTGACAAAGAGTGCAGAGGAAAGGGTGTGAGCAACAGGTACAGAAAATAGGCCAAGAAAGAGAAACTGTTAGTGCAGGTGTCAATATCCAGAACAATATCAGTTGTAGGGATTAGTGAGCGTAGATGTTCCAATAGTGCAGAATAGTCAGTGAAAAGAGAAATATAGATTTCTACAAGTGATAAGCTTAAAAGAAGATGCGTGTGAACAGCTGAGAAAAGATAAGGGTGTGTAAAGTGTCTGAATTTCCTTCATGCAGTGTTCAGAGTGAGGGAGGGTGTTTTACAGGTGAGGGGTACTTACAGCAGGTCGACTGGGGCGGGACGAGGTGCGAGACTCCCCTGGCTTGTGCCCCTTCATGCGCCCGTCATGGCCTAGTATGGGGGAGTCCATTTTGGAGGAGCCTGAAACCAACACACTGAATATCACCATGGAATTGCTAACATCATTGTTGGGGCATGCTTTCATTCCATACGAGGGATCAAGAGATGGCGAGAGAAGCAGAGTCAGCGAAAGTGTGATATACTCACTGAGTATCCGGTGCCTCTCCAGAGAGCCAGTCTGGGGCAGATTGGACACGAGGTTCACGCTATCTCCTCTCTCCCAGCGGTCGTTGCGGCTGAGGTCTGGGTTGCTGTTAAGGAAGACACCAGATCAGTTATCCAGCCTCAGCAGTGAATATCATAACTGTGTCATGATCTACCATCATTCATGTGTCATGATTGGAATCAGAGTAATCTCTCTTGACACACGTTTAAATGCAAATCTGTCGGCAAACGAGCTCATGGGTGAGACAGGGAGTAAAACAGTTTCTGTTCAGTGCGTTGGAATACCGTCAGCTGATTATTTTGACAAATCAGAATTTCGCAGATGTGTTGCTTAGAGTGGGGACAGGGATTTTAGCCACAAGTCTCTAATAAACACTGCATACCTGTGAAATATTTTCATCGAAAACGTCGCCAGATACCTCCATGTTGTCAGCATGCAGCAAAAAAATTATAATAAACACAGGTGGACTTTCTGGAGAAGGAGGGAGGGACTGGGAACGGGCTTTGGCAGAGGAAGGCGTGGACTTTGAGACAGATTGGAAAGCGTTTTCCCCCACAACCTAAATCAAGTAGGGGGAAATGTTGCGTTCTTGATGCCGAGATTAGACTGAGAGTAGCTAAAATGTGTCCGCCTGAGTTACCTGGCTCTGACTGGAAGCCTGATGCCAGACGAGAGGTTGGTGTTGAGAGCTGTGGCAATGGAGGCTGTCCTCTGGGGAATCTGGGAAAGACAGTGAAATACAACATAACATTTTTTTTTTTTTTTTTTTTTTACATTTTTAGACACTCTTATCCAGAGCCACTTACAGTTAGTGAGTGCTCTTTAGAGAGCTCCAGACTGCGACCATTTAGTCGCATTTTGTGACCCCTTGACTTGGCTGTGCGGGTAAAAAAATGTATTCTACATGGTCACCTCACTCAAAACCTCCTATTTTTTTAGAAGACTAAAACCATGATTTGGTCAAACAGTAAAGTACATTATCCTTATGATTCCTGTAGTGAAAGTGTCTGCCTGCCCCTGTAACTGTTTCGCTGGGGCCTGCTGCTGTGTCGAGCGAGCCATTTCCTTCCTGGGGGAAAAAAATGCTCTGGGAGAATTTATCTTCTTTCTGATTGTATAAGATTTCAAATCCAATTGTGGGGAAAACACAGCTATCCGGTTGTCAAGGTTGAAGAGAGGTGGTTCTCAGCTTTCTGTAGGTATAATTAATATTTCTCAACTCTCAACCTTGTGCTCAAAAGCAACTGTTTTACAACCAAGATATTTGATATGGCTTTGAGATAAGGAGCGCACGAGATGTGCATAGGCCACTGCGATTGCACAGGCGTTATTGGGCGGTAGGCTACAAAGTTTTTTGGGACATTACATTTACTGTTAGATTAATACATGGTTACTAGCAGTGGGTATTATATTTAGAGTTAGCGATCTAGCTAATGTGTTTTGAGTTTCCACTAACTCAGGCGGTGAACTAGCCCCAAATAAATTAAAATATATATAATTCTGTAGCCCTATTTTAACAGTAAAATATAACAATCGCTTAATTGTCAACCCAAAATGCATGACAATCACTGGATTAGGTTGCACATTAAAATATTTTGAATCACAACATGAAAAGATGATGAAACAACGTATTTCTTGAATAACATCTCGGATAGTCTATTACACTTTTAAAATAAAGCACTGTGAGTGAATTTCTAAGATGCTAAAATTATATTACGTGAGGCTGTGAAAAAAATTGGTGTGACCAAATCGTGGGCTTGCCAGTGCCACCAGGGGAAAATGTTAGTCTGGAGCCCTGTCTTTAGTCAACATCTAAAGACTAAAACCCAGCAGGTGGTCTCTCACCTTGGGCGGCTGCTCCATCTCTGGCAGGCGGATCCAGGGGCCGCGGTCCTCCCTTGTGCGAGGCTGTGGGGCAGGGCTCTCGGAGGTGGGGTCGGAGTTCTGTCGGACTAGCTCCCTGGAGTGGATGGGGCGGGGGGTGGGGGTAGGGGAGGGGTCCTGGGTGGGGAAGGCGGACATGGTCTTAGTGGGCTGGTCACACAGGGACTGGGAGCGGGGGACAGGGGCAGCGTAGGGCTTCAGCGGGACCAAGTGGGCCATCTGGAACTGGAGGGGGGCAGCGGTGAAGAAGGAGGGAGGGGAGTGTGCAGGTGGAGGAGAGGGCAGGGCAAGGCAGTGAGAGCAGGCAGGATAGTGGGACAGGAGGGAGGATTATGCATTTTTAAGATGGGGAATAAAGGGATTTTTGCCATTTTATGAAATAAGGGCAATAAAACAATATGAACTCAATAAGAAGGGAAGAGGGTGGGTGCAGGAGGAGAGGGGAGAAAAGGAAGGAAAAGAAGATCGGAAATAAATAAAGGTCAAAGACGCATTATTACACAGGGGGTAATGCAGCTCTAGGAAGACATCGCAGTCTCCACTGTGCTAAACCAGTATTTGATCAAAATGCCTGCACTGTTGTAACAAGGGAAAACATACAAATAAAGTACACACAAATACATTCCCAGATTAACACCAACACACCTTGCCCTGCCCCCCCTGAGGTTCAACAGGTCGCTGCATAGGCGGGGTCTGAGCAGCCTGGCCCCCTCCGGATTGGCTGATGGAGTCAGAGCGTGATTGGATGGCAGTGTCAGAGACAGTGGTGCAGATTTTGGGTGAGCCCTGCCTGTTGAGCTTACTGCGCTCCTCCACCTGAGACAGAGAGAGAGAGGGAAAGACGGGGGACAGGAGACAGGGAGAGGGAGGGAGAGAGCACGTCACACAGATGTCGATTCAGACTAACCTTCAGGAAAAAATATGACACCTAAGGTGATACAGCATAACTGCTTGTATATGCTAGCTTGTTACAGGGAAATTGCTAAATGTATTCCACTGGTATTACTCTATATTACTCTAGGTTATAAAACACTATGTAATGAAAGGTGTGGTCCCTAGGGTTATTTAAGGTGAAGTAAGAGCATGTTCCACTGTTCCTGTCTGTGTGGTATTATTGTACCTCTCGGGCCCAGGCAGGCTTGTTGTTGGGCTCCAGGTTCTTGCTGTAGTGGTAGAGGGGCTGGGGCTTCTTGTCCTGTTGCTGCTGCTGCAGGGACACCAGGTAGGCATGCTCCTGCTGCAGCTGCCTCTGCAGACGCTCCGACTGCCTCTGCTCCTCCAGCTGCTTACGCTTGTACTCCTGCACACACACCATGATACGGTCAAAGCAGACATATCTAGGACTGAGCAGGGCTAGTACACAATACACACCCCTTTGACATGCCCCCAAAACAGACACAATCACACATACAAAAATGGGGACATCATGCAGGGTATACATAGACAAGGGCCTTGTTCTCAGAGTTCCCTCAAATGATTCTCCAGGTCTCTCAATAAATGTTTTCATAAAGTAAAAAGCGACATACAGTACATGGAGTTTTTGATGCCTCTAGTGGTGAGAAGTGCAAGGAGGAGGAGGGTAAGGTAAGCAGTATGCACTGCAGGAAGAGGTAGGGGTAGACTAGGTCTGAGGAGAAGAGGTGACTGCAGGATAAAGGAAGGAAGAGAGTTACCATGAGCAGTGCCTGCTCCTGAAGCAGCTGCTGCTGAAGAATTTCTAACTGCCGCTGTTCCTCCTCTAACTTATGTCTTATGAACTCCTGAAGAGAGGTGGAGGAGGGGTGAAGAGGGAAAGGAAAGACAATGGAGAAGAGGATAGATATAAATAGACCACGATGTAGGGGGGATTTATGACTGTCATACACTAGTTAGTACACAGCCCTAGTGATTTGTCATGGCTTTAAAGTTCTACAGTCACACTAAAAGCTACTGCAAATGGTATTCGCTTTTTTCTATTGAATATCTACTGTTAAGACTACAACACAATTCCATATAAATTGCATCACGTCTTCAATCAGTACTAGATGCAGGTTAGTTATCGTGAAGAAACGGGCAATGGTAGGAGAGTTAAAAGGTTGATGGAGAAAAGAAGACTAGGAGAGTAGATTATAAAACGTAGGTTGACTGTGATATAATGCCAGTCACTGTGTGGTAGAGGTAGAGCGAAAACAGAGCAGCAGAAACTGAGCTCTCCAACAGAAAACTGAAAATACACTAATTTAGATCCAGGCTGCCATGGCAACCAGCGCACGGACATTCCACAGCTAGAATGGCTTGCAGTAGGCTGCAGTGTAGGCTACACCCACACCTCTCCCCAATTGGCTGATTGTGCTCCTGTGCTTCGAGGTTGGTTACCTGCTCCCTCTCGGCCAGCCTCCTATCCTCCTCCCTCCTTATATCGTCAAGTCTCCGATGGGGACCCTTTTCTTGCTGTCTCACCATCTCTCGCTCTTTTCTCTGTTGCTGAGAGGGATGACAGGAGAGAGCGGGAGAGAAATTAGTGTGCAGGCCACTTTTGCACATTAGTTGTGGTTATATGGATACCTTGCATAAACCTTTTGTTTTTTTTCCCCTCCACCGAGAGAGGAAATGGAGAGCGCGAGCAAAAGAGAACGAGAGAGAGCGAGATGTTAGTCGTGAGTCACTGCCAGCCACTGTTACCGCCAGCCACTGCAGCCCTGCTCCTCTTCTGAGACCGCGCTGCTTCCTGATTCAAACACTTGGCCAGTTGTTCTTTTAATTGGTATCACCCTGAATAGTTTTAAGCAGTCTTCTGAAAAGACACTACAGCCTCCCTATTAAAACAACTCCCTGAAGAGAGGATGCCTCTTTGTTGAATTAAGATATCACTTGCTGATGACACGTTTCACATTTAAAATGCTCGTCTTCTCTTTTGTGCTGAGAATGAATGATTAACAATCTCCAGAGAACATTCAGCTATCATTTATATTTTTCTCTCCCTGACGGTAAGTTGCTTCCTGACCTTGTGATAATAAATTCCCATCTACTGTACACTGTATGCAGGTAATCCAACATGAATTGAGATTTTAATCCAGTGGAAGTATTTTAATTATGTACAATTATTAATAATTCTCATTTTCATTAATACAATTTTTATTATAGATATCAAACCGTTGGCATGACCAACTAGCTAAATTAGCAAGCTTCATATCCTGCTGTATTATGCCATCTCCAAAAACAGTGTACATTGTGTTATGGCAATGTACATAACAGCTTAGTACAATCACAGTAAATCGGTCTACTGTGAAAGACTCGGATTGACATAAATAGCTAGATAAAAGGCTTGTGATGATTCCTTCTCTGTAAGGTGCGATCAAGTCAGCTGAACCATGTTGGTCACAAGTGTTTACCTCAAAGGGTAAAATCGAGGTTTGCTTAAGCAAGCTAAAGGACACAAGCCACAGTTGATAAGGTTGTCTGTTTGTCAGTGTGTGTGTGTGTGTGTGTGTGTGTGTGTGTGTGTGTGTGTGTATTACCTCTTCCAGGTGGCGGCGCTGTTCTTTCTGTTCCTCGATGCGTTTCTGTCGGTCGTGCAGCAGCTGTCTCTTATGTTCCTCTGGGTCTCGGCGCTGGGCAGCCAGCTGGGCCTGCTGTCTCTTCAGAGCCTCCGACCGCTCCTTGTTCTCCTGCTGCAGACGCAGGAAGTCCCGCCTCAACGTCGACTCACCCGGGACGTTCAGGATGGAGGTACTGGAGGAGAGAGGAAGGGTTGGAAAGGAAGATGTAGATATGGAGAAATATAGTAGGATGAAGTGATGGAGAGATCATAGTAGAGAAGCAGGAGATTGTGTCATTCATCTCAGGACACTATAGTCTTATATTACTGGGGTAGTAATGTTATATGGGTAGTGTTGTGTTACCTGGACTCCCTGTCTTCCCCACGGTTCTCATCCTCCTCATCACTGCCACTGTACTCATACTCCGTCTCCTCTGAAACATATGGAGTGAGGGGGAAAGAATGAACAGAAATGAAAAAGCCTATCCTATAGTCCTGAAAAAATACAGGTAACTGCCAAAATAAAGGAAACGCGTGAGTAAATGAGGGATACAAAGTATATTGAAAGCAGGTGCTTCCACACAGGTGTGGTTCCTGAGTTAATTAAGCAATTAATATCCCATCATGATTAGTTCTGTATAAAAATGCCCAGTTGCCCATTATTTTGGTTACCATGGCTAGAAGAGATCTCAGTGACTTTGAAAAAGGGGTCTTAAAGGAGCATAGGGGGTTTAAAGGGTGTGTCTCAGTCACCAGATCTCAACCCAAATGAACACTTATAGAAGATTCTGGAGCGGCGCCTGAGCCAGCGTTTTCCACTACTATCAACAAAACACCAAATTATGGAATTTCTTGGGGAAGAATTGCCTCAAATCCCTCCAATAGAATTCCAGACACTTGTAGAATCTATGCCAAGGCACATTGATGCTGTTCTGGTGGCTCGTTGTGGCCCATGCCCTATTAAGACACTATTTTGGCGCTTCCTTTATTTTGGCAGTTATCTGTATGTACTTATAATGACCATAACACACCCCATCCTCACAGTCAACCTCACCCCTCCATCAACCATTACGCACACAGACATCTGCAAAACACAATATCGCATGCCCAACACAAACCAACAGAGGCCTCAGTCAGGTTCAGGCCAGCCCTTCCCTCTCTCACCCTTCTCTCCCCTCTTCTTGCGTGTGCGGTCGATGTGGTCTTTGAGCTGGATGCGGACCTGGCGCTCCGTGGGCTGGTCCCGGATGAACGAGTGCTTCAGGAGCTGCTCTGTGGTTGGCCGGCTGGTGTACGTCTTCACCAGGCAGCCCTCTATAAAGTCTATGAACTTCTTAGACCTGGAGGAGGGGGGGTGGGTGGGTCAGAGTCAGGTGAGGAAGAGGGGGGTGTTGAGTAACAGGTATTTGGTGGAGATGGATGGGAGAGCTGGTGTGGGTGGGAATTTTAGGAGGCCTGGTATCTCCTCAAGGTCACATGTATTTGGGAATGAAAACTACCCCAAGATGAGTGTTCAGAAAGAAGGGATAAGAACAGGGAAGGTCTGTGTGCGTGGGAGAGTGAAATAGAGACAGAAAGACAGTCTGAGTGTCCATACATTAAATGTACAAAAGTGCCTCTTACGGTGGATTTTTCACTGCTATTTTCATTAGGATGTACTTGGGTGTATCAATTGCAGTACAGTTACCCACATGACTTGTCTGGAGGCCAATAGCCATCACTAAAGTATGTACTATAGGTCAACCAAATGAAACATGTGCATTGAGCAACAACTTCATTCAATACATTCTTGTCTTAGTCATTGAATAATTTGTATGAGTAATTGAAATATGTGATTCTCGGATGACTGACTTGTGTTTGAGGTCTGATAATTCCTTACTACATGCCTGCTTTGTCAGGGAAAAAATTGTGCAAGTAAAGAAAACAGGCTACATTAGTATTAGTGATAACATTTCTGACATGCCACTGTACCATGGCCAGCTGGTGTTGGATGTAAATAGTTCAGTAAAGCGCAGCAGGGCTATGGTAAGAAATAATCTTATCACTGCAAAGGGAGGGACGGAGGACTGGGAGCCAAAAGAAAATAGCTATATGTCCTAAAATAAAAATGAAGTTTTAGGAAAAACAACAGCAGAAACCAAACCGCACACTCACCACTTCTTGGACTTGAGTTTGGGAGGGGGGTTCCTCGGGATGAGGAACAGAGCTCTCATAGGGTGCATATCACACAGAGCTGGGGGGGAGAGAGAGAGAGAGAGAGAATTATGGATTGGTACAAAGCATTTAAATCAAAAGAGCATTTAAATACCGCTAGTATACTACTATACAGTATAAACATGTAATGATCACATAATCCTTATGGATATAAATTGTGACACTAGTATCCCAGGTATTCCCAATCAATATAATGTGGTCTTGATAAACCCGATCTTTATCCTTTCTTTGTTGCCTCACACCTATTGCTCCATTGTCTTGTTTGAGCAACACTGTTACTTATAGTCTTCCCAGCATAGCTAGCTTAACCTGTCTGGTTAGGTTATAAGCTCAACAATAAAATGCCCTTTGTTAGGACGAATACACTGACGTTACTTCTGATACTGCCCAAGGCATGCAGTGGGTTTCATTTCAGTACTTTCATTGACTACATGACGATTACATGACCAGTATGTCATTCTCGACAATGTTTGTGCTGTATAAAAACAGTTTGTGCATCTGTGGGAACTTTTTATGTGATACATGTACAGACGTGCACATTTCACTGGTTTTGCACATCTAGTCATCACAACAGAATGGATGTCGGTTTGTTCACGAGTGAAATCAGTCTGCTCATGTCAGACCACAGGGTGGTTTTGTCAGGTTTTGAAAAAAACAGCAATGCTAGCTAACAATTAGCCAGTAGCATCCCAGTCACCAGTAGAAACTCACAGTGTTAGTGAGAATGTGAGTAAGTCCATGTTGCATAATTCATGACGGCACATCATTGACAACAGGCCTGCGACAACAACAGCCCTTGACTGTCAGCCTGTCTGGATGGGCTGTGTCATGCATACTGGGTGGGTACAGCAACAGCAGGCGCGCCAGAGAGAGAGACTCCTTCTACAGGCAGGCATCCCACTTCAAAGCTGCCTACGGTGGGAGCAGTGTGCAGTGATATGTGCTTCTGCTGTGCTATGCGGTTTGATATAGAGAAGGCTCTCTAGCACCACAGATCAATAGCCCCCTCACCTCGTATCTTACATGAGCAGCACAGTGGTGAATGAGCCATCTCAAACACATGGCTTGATTTATGAGCCAGTGACGAGACAGGAGTTTCATAATGTGGGAGATTATTCAATCTCTCCACTGCAGGCTTATGTCATGCAGAATGTGCTTTTGAGAGTTTAGGAGATACATATCTGTTGTTTGTGTGGCTGTGTGTGTGTGTGTGTGTTTGTGTGGCTGTGTGTGGATGAATAGGGTAATAAAGTGGAGATAGATGTGTGTGGGTAGGTGCACTGAACGGTACTTACGAGGAGCTCCCTCTGCTGTCTCTATGGCTGTGATCCCCAGGGACCAGATATCACTCTGTGGAGACACACGAGATTTAGTACCCACTCTCACACACAGACAGACACGTTAGGATGGAAAGGGGTCATTACCCTGTAGTCATAGGTGGAGTCGGGGTTCTCATCACAGGCGATGACCTCAGGGGCCATCCAATAAGGCGTGCCGATGAAGGTGTTCCTGCGCCCCACGGTCCTGTCCAGTTGAGCACTCACCCCAAAGTCCACTGCACACAGTGGAGGACAGAGACACCGTATTACTGGCTACAGTATTATTTTTTGACTACCGTTTCAAGTCTTCATTAAGTTAAGTTGTAGATAAAACCATAATACAAATATGTAGTGTGCCTGATGGTGAGACAATTGAGTACTTTATTCAGACTGAGGGAAGCTGCTATAAAACACACAGACTGGAGGATTACATATGGCCACAAAGAGCAGGATTACATATTCATCACAACCAGTTCAGGGAACAGAACCAAAGACCGAAAAAGAAAAAATAATGTTTGAGGAATGGAAACAGAACCGAGAACGAAAGAGATCTCTAGTGTTCCGGAACAGAACAGTTATTTTAAAATCTTAAGAACCGATTAATAATGTAATTTTTTTGTTACAAAAATATTCCTGTCTAGTATACAATTCTGTAATTTGGTGTACTTATAATGCTAGTAATAGCCTAAACACATTCCAGTTCACATCATGATGTTCAGCACTTCAAGCCAAGCCCCCTCCATGTCCATCCAGCTCTTTCCACCAGTGAAATGTCAGACGCATCTCACGCCTGCACTTTTCTGACCAATTAATCGTGTAAACAACTAGCGTACGCGTTCAAGTAAATTGATGAGCTATTTTCTCAAAACTATTTTGTTTTCACAGGTTAAAAAAAAGAACAAAAATTAACTATATGAACAGTTACTTTCTCTTGGTTTGAACCAATTTTGGAAATTTATTTTGTTTTTGTATTTTTTCTGGTCGGAACACTGGTACGGAAAACATACAAATGTTTGATCACAACAAGTCCACACACTGTACATAAATACATGTAAACACAAGCAGCAGCAGAGCAAACACATTAACAGTTTAGAATCAATCATCTCACCAAGTTTCACCTCTGCATTCTCTGTCAGCAGCACGTTCTGGCCCTTGATGTCTCTGTGGATGACCTTGTGTTGGTGGAGGTGCGAGAGGCCCTGGGTATCAGAGAGGGGTCAGAGTTCAGTCAGGGGTTCGGGGCCCTCTGGAGGACGTCTGTAATGGCACTTTTCCAATGCAGGGTGCTTGGCCTAAAGATTCAGACTGTTGTGTAATGGTTCTATAGTGGGTGCACTGTGGTTCCTCACCCTGAGGATCTCTCTGCAGATGTAAGCGATCCAGTCCTCCTTCAGAGAGTTGCCCTTGGTGTTCTTCACCAGGTCTGTCACTGAGCCCGCCCCACAGAACTCCATCACCAGCTATACACAGACAGGAAGGAACTTAGCACACATAAATACAATGTTCAGTGTGTCTGTAATAAATAATAAATGCTGCATGCAGAAACCCTAATCTTGTTTCTGTGCATTATGGGGTTCATGGATATCAGAGAGAGCCCTATAAATGATGAAGCTCTCCCTCAGATTATACCACCAGACAGGGACAGAAGCCATCAGACTGACCCAGAGCTGGTCATCATGTCCAGGCGGGCTCTTCTTGACGAAGGCTCCATAGTAGGTGGCGATATTGCGGTGATGGCTGTACTTTTTCAGCATGTTGATCTCAGCCTTGATCTCTTCCTCTTCCTCCTCAGTCACATCCATCACCTTTATTGCAGCCAACTGGCCTGTCTTCACGTGACGCCCCTGATTAAAGGCAGAGCAGACTTGATCATCTTAACTGGTCAATCAAAACGAGAAACGGAAGTAAGTACAACAGATGTCAGCGCAAAAAAAAAAAAAAATCCTAACTTTGAGCCAAAAATCTCTAATAGTTCAAGGAACTCCGCCCAGGTTTAATCAGTTTTGAGAGTGATTATGCTGTATGTTACACCACGTCATTTACTCTTCTTCTCTCCACTCTACTTTTTAGTTATCTCCATATTATCTCTTTACCACTACCCGTCTACCGGGCTCCTCAGACTGACAGCCTCAGCGTGGTCCAGCACAGCTGCACTAATCTGGCCTAATCTCAGATTTACTACCACAGCTGGAGTTTGAGACACTCAGGGGAGACACTCAGACAGCCTCAATCTGAGCTTCAACCAGCTCAGTGGTTCATCTTACTCATCCCCTCAGTGTCTCTCACCTCCTACGCTGGGTCACTGACCCAAACCCCATCCATATGTCTCGTCTTACCTTGTACACCTGTCCATAGGTCCCATTTCCCACCACCTCTACCAGCTCAAAGATCCCTGCTGGGTCCTGGAAGAAAGTGAGACAGATTCATAAAGATAGTCTGCCAGAGAGAAACCAGAGACCAGACCACCAGGCCAGATGGACTGGGAGACAAGATGCAGAGACAGACATGGTACATTTGAATAGACTGGCAAACATATAAGGCCTAGACCACACAAGCAAGGAGGCCAGAGCGCTATGGAGATGTTTTGAGACACATAGAAGCTCTAGACATCATCCAGTTGCGTTATAGGAAATTGGCAAGAACGTTTCTATTTTTCCCCACCATAAGATAAAAACCAAAGGTGATGTTAATAATGGCTACTTCTAGTGAAATATTAAAATCAGTCATCGCTTTTTTCCCTGGAGAGGGCAAAAAGACATCCAGTTCCACTTTCACAGTGTGATTCAATATGGCCTGTGTAGGATCTGTGGGCGTTGGGGCTGCTGCTGCTTTGGGTTGGAAATGTACAGCGTGACCATCCTGCTTTCATCTGGTTCCAATAATGGGTCTGTCTCCTGACTTTTTCAAGTGTTTGTCTTTAACAGAGAGAACGCATATAAGGAGAGGAGAGAGGTGTACTAGAAAATGAGGCATAGATAGATGTGAGCATTATGGCTAAGGGGGTTGAGAGGAAAATAGGAAATAAACATAATGGGAATGACAAATCATCAAATTAGTGTATCCATGCTGTGTGTAAGAGGAGCACTAAGAGTAGGAGAAGCAGGATCAAACTGACAAAGGGGTTGGAGTAAAAGCACTGGAGTACAAGTGTACAAAATAGAGGGAAAGAATGAGATGATAGGGGTGAGGGGGGAAGAGCGAATGATGGCATAGAGGAGGCTAATGCAATTATCCAGAGGGAGGAGAGAGATGGTCGCCCACGTCCAACGCAGAGAGAGGGAAGAAAGAAAGAGATGAAGGTGGGGGGAAACCATTGAAAATGTCAAATCGAGAAAAACATAAACCGTCTGTAAGGGTAAGTTGAAGGTAAGCGTTGATTCAATGTGTGTTGACACCTGTCCTACCACCTGACATTTTTTGATGTGGGAACTCAAAGAATCCAAGGCTTCCAAAAAAAATCCATTACACAAAGCCTATTCTACTAGCTAACTTGAGTCTTCCATAGAAAGAGAAATCATAGCAATGCACTAGTACTAGCCTAGATTGTACTTGTAGGCTATGTGAATGTGTGTATGTGTGTGTTTATGTGTAGCAGGCAGAGTGGGTGTTATATAGGACAGCCATCAAACAATGAGCTCAAGTGAATCATCCCTCTTAGAGCTCACTCTCCCTCTCATCCCCCTTCTCTCAGAATGGAAAATTAAACAGCATTGCCTGGAGAGGTCTGGCCTGTAACTCACTGTACTGAAATCGCTAGAGAGTGTGTAGGTGAGAGATATACCGGTAGATATTAAATCTCCCTTTCTCAAACTAAACTGCCTCTACTCTGTTGTTATCTACTCTGTTGTTACATGCTCCTAGTCTTTGTTTGATGATATACTGACACTGGATCATGTTATCAGAACGGCCAACCTCCATGAGGGTCCACATTACAAATAGATAACTTGAATGTCTATGGTCCTGGAGTGTGAGCTCCCAGGTCTGGGTTTGTTAATTATTTATGTTCAACTTCTAATTTTGATGTTTTGGAACATGCAAAACAGGAGTTTTACAATACACCATTGTGTGCATGTCAGAGAGAGTGCAGTCAAAAACTCAATTGAAATCCCCCAAATCTATTTCAATCATGTTTTGATAACTCTTGGTAGAAATATTTTTGAGATGACGTTATTACTTCTGAAAAGGCTACAAGGAAATATTGTAGTACAACACACTGTGGCAAATAAGTTAGTCAACGCCTGTCTTGTTGTTGTCTATGAAGTTGTATGATAAGATACGGGTAACAATTACATAAGATACAGTGCAACTGTTTGATAGGTAGACTAGACGTAGATCAATGTGGGCTAGTTTTAAAAGGATAAATGCAACGTTGTAGATACAGGCCTGTTTTAAAAGCCAGCGATCAAACGGATCAGGCCTTCATCCTCCTCGTCCACGCACTTACAAAAATGGCATAGGATTTAGATTGACTAAGGTGATATGGAAAAAGAGCAAGATAGTGTAGTCAGTAGTGACACCCGATAGACTCAAATCTTGCCACCCTCTCTCCCTAAAATAAACATTTAACGTTACAGCTGATAATCATCTGCAAATACTAATACTGCTTGCTAATATGAATATATTCAGCCAAAGCTCTAAAATTCTATGTGCGTAACCCACAACTGGCCATTTAACAAATATAACGTTAGGTAGCTAGTTAGCTAAAGCAAGCACCTCAAACTGACAGCTCTAGTCGTTGCAAGTTTCCAAAATGGTATAATCAGTGAAGCGTTGGCACGCGCATAATGACAACTGGCTGCAGCTTTGAGCTAACTAGATGTACAGTAGCCACTTACCCTCAAAGCTGCGAGGTCTATGTCATCCAAGCTTCGTGTGGGGGCGTTTTCGGACATGCTGGCAAAAGTAGTAGCTAACGTTAGTTAGCTAATAATTTAGCTACAAAATAAAAGCAGCAGCCAGTAGAAAATGTTTAACTTATGTGTCCTGAGCTGTCAAGTCCCGCTCCGAACATCAATCACTGATGAGACTTGACTTGCTAACTTAACTAGCTAACATAAACAAATGGTCGCAAAAATGGCAAGGTAAAACGCAGTTCTCTAGCTAGCAAACTAGCCTACTAAGTTCAATTGCGTTACAGAGACCCAATATTGTGCTGTACTCTCTTACTGCGTTCATTTTGGCAATAACGTTACTGCGTATATGCTGTTTGAAGGTCGTCGACAGATAATTTGAATGTTTCTAACTACAAATTCAATGCAATTATAACGTCAATGTTTGTGAGATGAAACAAGTAGCTAGCTAGCTTGCTAAGTTAGCTGGCTAGATAACAACAGCGCAATACAAAGGTGGTCCGCAGCAGAGCTGTCATTTTTCAGTCTGCCATAACATGAACGCAAACTAGCTAGCTACCCACGCACAAATCAAAAATATGATTTATTGTAAATAAACATGGATTTTAACTAGTCGCAATTCCACTCCGGCAGATACTTCATATGTTCCACAAATGAAGTAGCAAATGGCGCGCCGCGCGATCAATGTGGAATGTACAGCTAGCTACGTCAAATGTTCGATATCCGTACACAATCTTTCATTCCTTTCGTGTTGACAGTGATCGCGTCTTGCACTGCCTGTACGGACGACTGTGCAAAAACAAACAGTTTCTGTACGGTCCCAATTGACCCTCGACTGATAAGCGTCATGGAGCTGGTTCGTACTTCTAAAATAGATACTTTAGCTAGAGTAGTTGATACCAATTAATAGGCAAGTAATTTTCCGACAAATATCATGCATAAACTTATTTCCTCGCCATGTTTTGGTATAGCCCATAGAGATGGTCAGAAGACTCAACATTGTATCTGTTCTATGGCGTCTGTGATCGCATGGGCAGCCCCTTCTTCTTCTATGGTACTGTGGCGGTCCGCAAACAAATGTTAGAGGTGCATGCCGCCACCAACTGGACGGGGGTGAATACATTCACAAAAGAAAAGTAAATTCATTACAGGAATGGAAAAAAAATAACAATCTACAAAAAACGACCCAAAAATTATGATCAACAAAAATCTTCCCACTACTTCAGATAACTCAAACTTCCCTACTCAGGCTCTGGGGCCTGAGAGGGTGGGACCCCTCGAGGCAGTACTCCATGCAGCTCTTCAGATGTAAAATATTTTAATATTTTCTTCTAAGCTATATGGAATTGTTTTAAGAAGGTCATACCAATAATCATTTTGCTATTTGATTTAGAATTTTAAGACCCCTTGAAGTATAAAAAAATAAAAAAGTTTTTTTGTTGAAAAAGTTTTTTGGCCTTTATTTGACTGCTAAAAGCCCATACAAACACATTGAATAACAGATTCACTACATGGAACAACAGATAGTCCCCCCCCCAAAAAAAAATATAGGAAGTTTGTTCTGAAGTGCCTGTCCTATATCTGAGACATATTAGAAAGATCAGGAAACGTTTGTTTTTTTATTTATTATTATTTTTGTTTTTGTTTTTACATGTATTTAACCCCTTGTTTTTGGCACTAAACGGTCTCCATACTTCCATTCATTTTTTCAACTGGTACCGGGGGACCTTCAGATTAGTCTTGTGAGGCCTGTGGGCATTCTAGAGCAAAATAACTGACATGTACGTGTTTGTGAGAGTCTCACCTTTACACATCGGGGACATATTAGTGTGTGGTCCAAACTGTTTGGACGCTACAGACAGAAGTTGGCAGATCGGCTGTACCGACTTCAGACGAGTCCCAAGACGCTTTTCCCATTCTTTTAGACAATTGTCCATTCCTCCTTGTTTCCACCGCCATAAGATTCAAGTTCACCATCCGCTTCCTCCATCTTCCTCCCGTCCATCCACCTCCCATAGTCTTCCACTCCGGAAACCGTCATCCTCACTCCCAATGGGCAGTGCCATTGAGGCCATCTCCATTTTGAAGTAGTCAATGTTCTTCTTCTACTGTCTATGAGTTGGTAAACAAACTGAAAGGGTCCATACTGCCACCTGGAGTGTGTTGTTTCAACAGGTATAAAGCCAAGGTTGGTGATTTACTGCCACCTGCAGTTATGGAATGTTTGTATAATTCATTGGCTGACCCCTCCTGATGACCTGGATGGAATTATGTGATCCTTCATTAACACAAAGATAGTCCCACCCTATTTCAAAATGGTGAAAATCCTCAATGGTGCTTCCCTGCTCAAACAGGCTTTTGGGCACTAAAATTCCTCTAACTATCTATCTATCAATCTCTATTGTATAGTCATTTTCATCTGTGTTCATCTGTGTGTATACAACACCCTTTCCTCTCTATTCTTTTATTTTTTCTCTCTTTCCCACTCCCCTCTACCTACTGAAGAGTGCTACGGTACTGCATCGGGGACAAATTACCTGAGAGGTGATCAGTAATGCATACTACTGCCTTGGCCTGTAGGCTAGGCTAGCCTCCTGTTTACCTGGCTGATTGGGACAATCAGATTGACATGAGACTCAAAAGTCAAAACCAGAGGCAAATTAACTAATACTGTTTATACTAAAACTTAAAATAAATGTTTGTTAAATGTTAGGTTGTTTATTAAATGTTACAAAGATACATTCTCACACATGACAATTTTGAAAAATAAAAGCAGAGGCTATAACCTAGTTATTATAATAATTAAGTGATACATACATTTGATGCACATTAAAATGTTTAAAAACAGTGAAAATTAGGCCTATACTGTTTAAAAATAAGGTGGCAGACAGGTTCGTGAATAGACGGTATATGTTTAACATTACAGTCTATAAATGGGGTTTAGACTCAGCATAAAGTAGTATGGTGAATGTAATTACCATAGATGGAGCTGAGAAATTAAATTTGGTGCAATGAAAATATGAAACCAATGCCAAACTCTAAAACAAAAGTAGTACTAGTTATAGCGTTGTCCGGTTTGGCTGGTGTAGGCCGTCATTGTAAATAAGAATTTGTTCTTAACTGACTTGCATAGTTAAAGGTAACATAAAAATAAAAAATAGTAGTAGTAGTAGTAGGAGGAGGAAGAGGATACGTAGTAGTGGTGGTGATAGATTAAGTAGTGGTAGAAGTAGTATCATTAAATAAACATTACCATTTCAGTTAGTCTAAATAACTTGGTAGAAGTGAACTAATCAATAATTTTGTTATGCTGAGATGGGGACAACATGCTAGAATTCAGCATACACATGAGCCTATAAATGGAAACATAAACCTGTTACATGCATATTCAGACTACGGCAGAAAAGAGAACATCATGCTCCTTGTTCACCTGTCACTTTATCAAAACTGTCCAAAAAATGACCCCTCCCATCCCAGATTAGAAACGGTGCTTTACAAAAACACTCTTTCCTTGCTCCCCTATCTCAAAATGAAGTGGAATGTTCTGGACCACTGACAACCGGGTAAATTATGTAACAATAATTCACTTGGTTGCCATGGTGACAGCAAAAATACGCAACAATTAAAGCACGCAAGGAACACCCATGAATATATTTTTCCTCATTCCCCTCTACTCACCCCATGCCCCTCTTATGGTCCTTTGCCTTCCTCTTTGTCATGGGCTATATCACAAATCCATGTCTTCCATATGCCCTTCAATCTTTTCATAAACCTCTGTTTGATTCAGTCCAATCACTCATCTTACTCTGCCCCTCTGTTTATCTCTCCTTTCCTCTTTCGGCCACAATCTAGTCAGCTCTTTGTAACTGTCACCATAACAACCACAAATGTTCTGACATATTTGCTGGCACTGCATTGAGAGGGTAAGCAAGAGGCAGAGAGAGAGAGAGAGGCAGAGACAGAGAGAGAGAGAGAGAGAGAAAGAGGCAGGGAGAGAGAGTGAGTGAAAGAGAGAGAGGAGAGCTATCCACCCACAACCTTGCAACAATACATGTACGCTATGTTCTTCAATCATCTGAGACTCTTGACTTCTGATCTCCATTCCTCCCCCTGCCTATCATACAGTGGCATCCTGTTCCTGTTGTGTTCTATAATGGCAGACCCGTACCTAAGCCCTTTAAAAAAAGAAATACTCAGGTTCAGTATTAGATCAACAAACAAATTTGTGGCAATGATCCAACATCATAAAAATGTAGTTTTAACATTACAAAAGTGGTAATCCTTCAAATAGTTATGTCTCAAAGTCACTTGGAGCACATACAAGGCTCATAATGTGTTAGTATACATTATCATCTGGTGTAAAAAACAAATTGACAGTTTTAACAAAGACTTAAAATCCACTCTGTATCAGCTATGTAAGCATACTAAAAACATTGCATCTAATTGCATTCTTCGAAGACACATCAGTTAGTGTTTTTTAGCTAGGTGAGTTGAGAATAAATTTTTTCTTCCAATCTTTTGATTTACAATGGAGCGGAATCTGGTCAATGCGATAAAAATCTATAAAGCTCTCTCCTGCTGGACTGGGCTTTTCCAGTGTCATCTAGGCCCTTGTGGCTGGTAGCCTGGTACTCTGTTATGTCCAGAGTCCTGTGGGAGCCATGCCCTCCTTGCTGCCCAGTGGGGGGAGCAGATTCTCCTCGGACAGGAAGTTGAGGGGGAAATGGACCAGTAGCCCCCTGACGGCCTCCAGCTCCTCTTTAGCCTGCTGGGTGTCTGTGTCACACAGGCGTTCCAGGCCTGAATGCTCCTTCAGCTCCCTCATGTTGTGGACAGAGTTGCACGGGAGGCAGCGGAAGACCTGTTCCGGGTAAAGTGAAGGGAAGGGGAGGAACAGTCAATGGGAAAGGTGAGCAGCAGAGAGGACAGGGAGGAATGTTAAAGAGAAAGAGAGAGTGGATGTATTTGGGGATGCACATAAAAGAGAACAAAACATAGCTTTTAGTCCTATTAATTTCCATTCATACCTTGTCATAAATCTTAGCATTCAGTTTTGCAATCGTGTTCCACCCCACAAAGAAGAACTGGTCACTGATTGGGTCATCGATATCGATCTTTGGGTCAGAATCGGCTCCTAAAAGCACCCTGGGAAGCACATGCACATAGAGTTGTAAGTCAGTTACTGCCAAGCAGCTATGTTAACTGCACATTCAAACTGTTGCTAGAGTGACAGTTCGTAATACGCTATCTGAGTAGAGGTTGGTGCAAAAATGCATATTTAAAAAAACGGAATTCCTTCATACAGAGAATAACGACTACGCTTGCGCAAAATTGTCGTCTGAGATGGTTCCCTTGGAAACAAGAGGATATACTTGGTAGCTGCTGATTCGAGCCAAAACTAATAGCTCTGCTGACATAACAGGCTGCAGGCAAGCTCTGTGAGGAGTATGCATATTCTGTCTAGGACCTTTAGGGACAGTTTTAGTGCATCACAAATGCCAACAATTACTAATGAATAGATCCATCCACTAGCAGTGGAGTCAGCGTTATTAGTATGTCAGTGTAGGGACCTTGGTTCCACCTCCCTCACTAATATAAGGACGGCTATGTGAGAGTGGTTCATCTCGTGAGAAATAACTCTCCTCTGCAGAGGGGGTAACCCTTTCATGTCCAAACACACCCAGGTTCAACCCAGACACACTACATGACCAAAAGTATGTAGACACCTCCTCGTCGAACATCTCATTCCAAAGTCATGGGCATTAATATGGAGTTGGTCCCCCCTTTGCTGCTATAACAGCCTCCACTCTTCTGGGAAGGCTTTCCACTAGATGTTGAAACATTGCTGCGGGGGACTTGCTTCCATTCAGCAACAAGAGCATTAGTGAGGTCGGGCACTAATGTTAGGGCGATTAGGCCTGGCTCGCAGTCGGCGTTCCAATTAATCCCAATGGTGTTCGATGGGGTTGAGGTCAGGGTCCTGTGCAGGCCAGTCAAGTTCTTCCACACCGATCTAGACAAACCATTTCTGTATGGACTTCGTTTTGTGCACGGGGGCATTGTTATGCTGAAACAGGAAAGGGCCTTCCCCAACTGTTGCCACAAAATTGGAAGCACAGAATCGTCTAGAATGTCATTGTATGCTGTAGCGTTAAGATTTCCCTTTACTGGAACTAAGGGGCCTAGCCCGAACCATGAAAAACAGCCCCAGACCATTATTCCTCCTCCACCAAACGTTACAGTTGGCACTATGCACTGGGGCAGGTAGCGTTCTCCTGGCATCAGCCAAACCCAGATTAGTTCATTGGACTGCCAGATGGTTAAGGGTGTTTCATCACTCCAGAGAACGCGTTTCCACTGCTCCAGAGTCCAGTGGCGGCGAGCTTTACACCCCTCCAGCCGACGCTTGGCATTGCGCATGGTGATCTTAGGCTTGTGTGCGGCTGCTCGGCCATGGAAACCCATTTCATGAAGCTCCCGACGAACTCTTCTTGTGCTGCCGTTGCTTCCAGAGGCAGTTTGGAACTCTGTAGTGAGTGTTGCAACTGAGGACAGACGATTTTTATGCACTACACGCTTCAGCACTCGGAGGTCCCGTTCTGTGAGCTTGTGTGGCCTACCACTTCGCGGCTGAGCCGTTGTTGCTCCTAGATGTTTCCACTTCACAATAACAGCACTTACAGTTGACCGGGGCAGCTCTAGTAGGGCAGAAATGTGACGAACTGACTTGTTGGAAAGGTGGCATCCTATGACGGTGCCATGTTTAAAGTCACTGAGCTCTTCAGTAAGGCAATTCTACTGCCAATGTTTGTCTATGGAGATTGCATGGCTGTGTGCAATGGGTGTGTCAGCAATGGGTGTGGCTGAAATAGCCAAATCCACTAATTTGAAGGGGTGTCCACATACTTTTGTATATCATTCCCATACCGCTCAACCTTGGTGAACCTCTCTATCAGTGAACTAATTTAATGTAAAATCACAGACAGTGCAGAAGTGTATGGACTCTTTTCCTGAGTCCTAACCTGAAACACTCTTTGCGCAGGGCCAGAGTGAGGGGTCCAGCCTGGTACTCCTCTCCCCCCATAATGGAGGGGACCCTCTCCTCATCCTCCACCAGCACAGCCAGCTCACTGTCCCGGCTGCCCAGCATACTACGGTCATTGATGTTGGCTGAGCCTGGATGGAGGGAGCACAGAGAGAGTGGAGGGAATAGAAACCGGAGAGGAGAGAAAAGAGAGACGGCCAGAGACAGAAAGAGAGAGCAAAGAGGAGCATGTAGTGACACTAATATCAGTGATGCTGCAGTGACTTGCTTCCAACAAAGTATATGAGTTGGTAGCAGCAAACCTTCTTAATACGAAGACAGGGAAGATAGAAGATGGAAGGTTAGCAAAAAACATTGTTTATGAAACCCCTTTCCTGTGTCTCAAGGACTCTTTCTTATCTAGCTGACAGGAGCATCAAAATTACTGTACCCTACCCAGTCCCAGTGTAATCAAAGTAATATCATAGCATGGAGCCATGCCAGGTCAAGAGTTTCATTACACAGTGCGGAGTGCATGTTTTTATATAACGATTCCAATACAATCTACTTCGGAAAAAAATGCATTCATCTTTAATGAGGTTGGTGCCTTTTAAATTCCCCTTCCCTCCCTCCCCCCTCCCCTAAAGTCCAGCATGTATGTATTTATAGCTGAATATTTTATTAGCTCTGCATATCATTCACCTTGTGATTATTATGCAAAGGGTGTAATTAGCAGCCTGTGATTGATCCCAGCGATGAGTCACAGTCACAAGCTGTGTCGGAAATGGCCTATAGTACACTACTTTCGGCCAGAGCAAAGGTAGTGTACTACAGTATATAGGGAATAGGGTGCCATTTTGGAAACAGCCACAGTGATGCACCATCCTGTCTCATCTGTAAGTGTGGCTGTGATGATAGTGACTCACCGATAATGTAGCGGCAGTCATCAGCTATGAGGGTCTTGCTGTGTACGTAGATGAGCTCTGTGACCAGGGACTGGGAGAGCTGGGAGTGCGTGCGCAGGCCACACAGGGTGATGTACTCGCTCCACTGGTCCTCAACTGGGGGAGGGGGTAGGGAGACACACTGGTTGGCTGGAACACTGGCATAGAGCTAAAGCAAATTAATAAATGAACGCAAAGGAAACAGGAGCACAATTGAAACATGAGAAGACAGATGGACGTTATAGGAAAAGAGGATGAAATGATGAAGTATGAGGAGAATGGAGAGCTACACTATAGATAGTATATATAGTAAAGGCAGATACCTAGTATGAGCCTTCAGTTAGCGGGAGGCTAAGCCAAACACAGGAGAGAAAGAAAAGCAGAAATATTATCAGAGATGAGACAGACAGACGGAGAGCGATGCCAGATATTAGGTTGAATTGGAAATAAGGAAAGAAAACTCACGTTCTCTCAGTCTCATCAGTATGGAGTACTCTCCACGGCAAATGGTCCTGTCGTAACAAATACATATTCCTTACACCATCAAATCGACAACAATCTTTAAAGTTGTTTTCGTTAAAACACAAATCACTACACAAAATGTATGTTTTACATTATGCAGTATGACACTATACAGTGCCTTGCAAAAGTATTCATCCCTCTTAGCGTTTTTCCCATTTTGTTACATTACAACCTGTAATTTAAATAGATTTTTATTGGATTTCATGTAATGGACATACACAAAATAGTCCAAATTGGTGAAGTGAAATGAAAAAAATTACTTGTTTCAAAAATTTACAAAAATAAATAACGGAAAAGTGGTGCATGCATATGTATTCACCCCTTTGCTATGAAGCCCCTAAATAAGATCTGGTGCAACCAATTACCTTCAGAAGTCACATATAGATATCAGTATATATACACCTGTTCTGAAAGGCCCCAGAGTCTGCAACACCACTAAGCAAGGGGCACCACCAAGCAAGCGGCACCATTAAGACCAAGGAGCTCTCCAAACAGGTCAGGGACAAAGTTGTGGAGAAGTACAGATCAGGGTTGGGTTATAAAAACAATATCAGAAACATTGAACATCCCACAGAGCACCATTAAATCCATTATAAAAAAATTGAAAGAATATGGCACCACAACAAACCTGCCAAGAGAGGGCCGCCCACCAAAACTCACAGACCAGGCAAGGAGGGCATTAATCAGAGAAGCAACAAAGAGACCAAAGATAACCTTGAAGGAGCTGCAAAGCTCCACAGTGGAGATTGGAGTATCTGTCCATAGGACCACTTTAAGCCGTACACTCCACAGAGCTGGGCTTTACGGAAGAGTGGCCAGAAAAAAGCCATTGCTTTAAGAAAAAAATAAGCAAACATGTTTGGTGTTCGCCAGAAGCCATGTGGGAGACTCCCCAAACATATGGAAGAAGGTACTCTGGTCAGACTAAAATTTAGCTTTTTGGCCATCAAGGAAAACGCTATGTCTGGCGCAAACCCAACACCTCTCATCACCCCGGGACTGCAGGGACTGGGAAACTGGTCAGAATTGAAGGAATGATGGATGGCGCTAAATACAGGGAAATTCTTGAGGAAAACCTGTTTCAGTCTTCCAGAGATTTGAGACTGGGACGGAGGTTCACCTTCCAGCAGGACAATGACCCTAAGCATACTGCTAAAGCAACACTTGAGTGGTTTAAGAGGAAACATTTAAATGTCTTGGAATGATCTAGTCAAAGCCCAGACCTCAATCCAATTGAGAATCTGTGGTATGACTTAAAGATTGCTGTACATCAGTGGAACCCATCCAACTTGAAGGAGCTGGAGCAGTTTTGCCTTGAAGAATGGGCAAAAATCCAATTCTTACCCCAAGACACCTGCAGCTGTAATTGCTGCAAAAGGTGGCTCTACAAAGTATTGACTTTGGGGGGGTGAATAGTTATGCACGCTCAAGTTCTGTTGTTTCACACAAAAAAATATTTTGCATCTTCAAAGTGGTATGCATGTTGTGTAAATCAAATGATACAAAAAAATCAATTTTAATTCCAGGTTGTAAGGTAACAGAATAGGAAAAATGCCAAGGGGGGTGAATACTTTCGCAAGCCACTGTAAGTGATTGTGTGATAGTTTCTACTGTGTGTGTGGGGGGTGGGGGGTGGGGGGGGGGGGGGGGGGTGTAGGCTCATAAGGGTTCTGACCTGTAGGTGAAGTGTAGTATGGCCTGGATGGCTTTCCCCCCCCCCCTCGCTGATGTCTCCTTCAAACCCAGGAAGCAGGGGCACCACCACAAACACCCTGTACTTCTTCTGCTCACTGAGGAACACCAATAGCGTTCGGGAATGGGGTAACAGAGGTGAGTGGGTTATACATAATTTAATTTAACATTGTTTTCTGGAAATATTCCAAAAGTATGGAAATCAGCTCTTGTGCTGCCACTCCATCAGGATGGGGATAGTAGTGATCTTAATAATTATCGCCTAATTTCAAGGATTTCTTGTCTAGCTAAGATTCTTGAATCCTTGGTAAATGTACAACTTCTCTTTTTTATCTGAGAAATGTATTTTAAAATGTAAACCAATCAGGGTTTAGGCCTGGGTATAGCACTATTACAGAAACAGCTTTAGTTGTTAATTATCTTGTCAATGCTTTCGACACAAAAATGAAATGTGCTACTTTGTTTGTGGACCTGTCAAAAGCTTTTGATACTGTTGATCATGCTATTTTATTGAATAAGTTGTCCTCGATAGGCCTGAGCTCTGACGCCTGTTCATTGTTTCATTACATTTACATTTACATTTTAGTCATTTAGCAGATGCTCTTATCCAGAGCGACTTACAGTTAGTGAGTGCATACATTTGTATTTTTTATTATTATTATTTTTTTGCATACTGGCCCCCCGTTGCAAACGCCATGCTCTACGAACTGAGCTACATGATTATCTTAGTGACAGAACTCAGGCCATCGTGATTCTTGAAGTACATAAAGGAGAACCACGGGTTGATTTCGGGACCTGTTCTATTCACTATTTATATAAACACCATTGGTCAAAAATGGTAAACTTAATCTACAGTGCATTCGGAAAGTATTCAGACCACTTTACTTTTTCCACATTTTGTTACGTTACAGTCTTATTCAAACATGGATTAAATAAAACATTTTCCTCATCAATCTACACACAATACCCCATAATGACAAAGCAAAAACTGGTTTTTAGAAATGTTTGCAAATGTATTACAAATAAAAAACAGAAATACGTTACTTACGTAAGTATTCAGACCCTTTGCTATGAGACTTGAAATTGAGCTCAGGTGCATCCTGTTTCCATTTATCATCCTTGAGATGTTTCTACAACTTGATTGGAGTCCACCTGTGGTAAATTCAATTGATTGGACATGATTTGGAACGGCACACACACCTGTCTGTATAAGGTCCCACAGTTGACAGTGCATGTCAAAGCAAAAACCAAGCCATGAGGTCGAAGGAATTGTCCGTAGAGCTCCAAGACAGGATTGTGTCACGGCACAGATCTGTGGAAGGGTACCAAAAAATGCCTTAATCATTCTTAAATGGAAGAAGTTTGGAACCACCAACACTCTTCCTAGAGCTGGCCACCCGGCCAAACTGAGCAATCGGGGGAGAAGGGCCTTGGTCAGGGAGGTGACCAAGAACCCGATGGTCACTTTGGCAGAGCTCCAGAGTTCCTCTGTGGAGATGGGAGAATCTTCCAGAAGGATAACCATCTCTGCTGCACTCCACCAATCAGGCCTTCATGGTAGAGTGGCCAGACCGAAGCCACTCCTCAGTAAAAGGCACATGACAGCCCGCTTGGAGTTTGCCAAAAGGCACCCAAAGGACTCTCAGACCATAAGAAACAAGATTCTCTGGTCTGATGAAACCAAGGTTGAACTCTTTGGCCTGAATGTCAAGACAACGCATGAGTGGCTTCGGGACAAATCTCAAGCCAGAGCCTGGACTTGAACCCGATCGAACATCTCTAGAGAGACCTGAAAATAGCTGTGCAGCGATGCTCCCCATCCAACCTGACAGAGCTTGAGAGGATCTGCCGAGAAGAATGGGAGAAACTCCCCAAATACAGGTGTGCCAAGCTTGTAGCGTCATACCCAAGAAGACTCTAGGCTGTAATCGTTGCCAAAGGTGCTTCAACAAAGTACTGAGTAAAGGGTCTGAATACTTATGTAAATTTTATATTTCAGTGGGTGTTTTTTATATTTTATTTTTTAAATTCTTAAAACCTGTTTTTGTTTTGTCCTCATGGGGTATTGTGTGTAGATTGAGGGGGGAAAAAAACTATTTAATTAATTTTACAATAAGGCTGTAACGTAACAAAATGTGGAAAAAGTAAACGGGTCTGAATACTTTCTGAATGCACTGTATGTATATATTTTGTGTATAATGTGTATATTTATATTGTATTATACAGGGCGCATTTGGAAAAGAGAACTAGGTCTCAATATGTCTTCCCTGTTAAAATAAAAGGTTAAATAAAACATTTAAGAAATATAGAAACATTGACAACAATGTGGTATTTGTGACATTAACAATATTGAATCATGATAATTTAACTTGACTCGATGCAGGCCACCAGGGGTGAAAGTAAGTCGGTATGGTCTGGTATGGTGTCCCGTCAAAAATAAATAGTGGGGGTACGCCATACCGGTAAAACATGAGCCTATCACAATAATGAAAACAAAATGTCAAGAAAACTGTAGGCTATTACACCATTATTTATCATTACCACGTAATAGGCATGAAAAATGAGAGAATTTACTTGAAAACAGGTGGTATAGCCTACGGTTCAAAATGCAATGTGGTTAGACGAGAACACTGAGATTTTGCCAAGGCAGAGTTGAGGGGCCGACACTGAGACCTACGTGGACAGCAGTAAACTCATAAATTCTGGCCTAATGACAATCGCCAAATGACATTACACTTTTTGGTATTTTGTGTAACAGATGTCTCAAATATGGTGCGAGTGGATGAATGTGCATTGGTAGCCTAGTGAAGGAGCCCTTTGAAGTGACTGTTTGACAATCAGATGAAAACATAATGACTGGTTGTTTATGCCACAACAAAAGGTAATACATGTTAAAAGTTAAATGACAAGTCTTTACGACTAGGCCCACAGAGATGCTATTGAATTAATAGGGATTCTGTACGTAATTCTATGATTAGGCGCAAGCACATATAGGAGGTCCCGAACCGGGAATAAATTACCGTATTTTCCGCACTATAAGGCGCACCGGAGTATAAGCCGCAGCAGCTAAATTGAATGATGTGTACATATATAAGCCGCACTGGACTATAAGCCGCAGGTGTTTTAATGTTTAATTACCATATGTAAGGGTTCGTGCACAGAGGGGATTGTCGGGAAAGAGATGGCTGCTTGAAAACTTCCTTTGCACAAATTGTCTCGCTCTCGTAATGTCTGTCTGCCTTGCTCTCGTTCTGTCTCTCGTACCACTCTCGGTTCCACTTTTACTTTTGCGCGCTACCTGTCTCACTCTTTTACGGCCTCCAGCTTTTCCTGCTGGAGCCCGCCGCTTAAAGGTGGGGGGCGCGGACCGGTCATAGAGCCCATAGAGTTAAAGTTGGTGGACTGTAACCTGTAAAATCCATAGATTTAGGAGGTCTTCTAGTGGCCGTTAGCTGTAAAAATCCATAGATTAGCCGCACTGTTATATAAGCCGCAGGGTCGAAAAATTGGAAAAAAGGCGCGGCTTATAGTCCGAAAATTACGGTAATTCTACTTTCACCCCTGTGTATAACTCAGTGTGATGATCAGTCCAGTAAAATCATGTTATACAGTAAACCCAGCTGTGTGTTGACTGATTAAACCCAGACAGACAGAGCGAGAGACATGGTGGTAGAACCACACCTGTGTGCACGTAGTATCCTCTTCACGATTGCGTCACCGATGCCATTGTGCACATTCTTCCCATCAGCACAGCTGATGAAGAACTGGTTCTGAGAGCAGAGAGGGGGACATTTGAGAATCTATACTACAACCCATACATTCAATTGGACTTGATAGGACCATGTGGAATGTGGAGCCATAGGGGACTACCGTTATCGCAACCTTGAGCTCCAAGTTGACTTTAGTAGAGACACAGTCACAAGACAGCATGGGGGAGGCCAGGGCACTGAATACTGTCTGGCGTTACAAAAAACAACCTTGTCTCCTGGTTGATGTCTATGCTTTTACAGCAATCAAACAGATGGGTAGAGAAGATAGATATGGTATAGAATGGTTCTGACTCTGGTAAATTGGTGCAATGAGTCTGGTCAGAGTCCGAGTCTGGTAAATGGGTGCAATTAAATAATGTGTATGTGTATGTAATGTAGGTAATGTGCTGGTAGCAGAGTTACCTCAATGTAGATGTAGTGTTCACTGTTCTCGATGGTATGGATGTAGGCATTAAGGATAGAGTTCTCACAAGTTCCGGCTGACCAGCGATCCACAGAACGCAACACCTGAGAAGGAGAGGATAAATAAATAATTGATCATAAAAAAAGGAGAATGAGAGTCATTTCTGTGAGCTTGTATGTGTCGGAGTGGGTTTGTTCACTCTTATGTGTGAGCTTGTGTACCTGCACGGAGGCCTTCCCAGAGCCAGGCACAGTGAATGGCAGTGCATCAGCAGTACTGTGAGACTTGGGCAGAAGGCAGGGGAAGAACATGCTTCTAATGTTCTTGTACTTAAAGATCTGTAGGCAGACAAAACAAAGACAATAAGAGCCAGATGTCTCTCTCACATAACCCTAGTTGTGTCTAGGGTTGTCCTTTGGAACCTAGTTTAGAAGTAGTGTACATACATCCAAGTAAAGCCATGACAGAAAGATCCTTAGGAACCTCTTATTTGACCTCTGACCTTGGCGAAGTTCCAGCGCTGGATGAAGTGGCGGGCCACATCCCTGGCAGCTTTGCCATGGAGGGCAGCAGACAGGTCACGCCACGGCATACGGGGCACCTCAGTGCGGTCAATGTTGTCTGGGAAAACAAAGAATTATCTCTCCAGTGTGTGTGTGTGTGTGTGTGTTTGACTATACTTGTGGGGACCATAAGTTCCCACAAGAATAGCAAACGAACACAAATTTGACCAACTGAGGACATTTTGTTGGTCCCCACAAGGTCAAATGCTATTTCTAGGGAGTTTAGGGTTAAGGTTAGAATTAGTGTTAGGGTTAAAATTAGGTTTAGGGTTAGGAGCTAGGGTTAGGTTTAGGGTTAGGTTTTTGGGTTAAGGTTAGGGTTAGGGAAAATAAGATTTTGAACGGGACTGAATTGTGTCCTCACAAGGTTAGTTGTACAAGACTGTGTGTGTGTGTGTGTGTTATTATTATTATTATTATTATTATTATTATAGGAGAGAGTGGTAGTGGGTGTTATGAATGGAGGTATAATGTGTTTATACTGTACCTTCGAATGGGCGGTCCAGTTGGACCCAGTCTCTCTTGATGAAGTTGCTGTAGTCCTTGCCAAGCCACAGCTGGGTGTTGTTTTTCAGATCCTCAGCATTGACCTCTTCCGGCTTTGGATCCTGGGCTGAGTTTGACCCATCCACCTGGTCACCTGAATCAGCTGCCTAGGAGGCAGAATAGGACAGTCTGGCAATGAAGTCACTGCTCAACACCAGGTAACACACTGAAATATGGATTATCAGAACAACACAGGAGAAAGAGAAAGAAAGATGAATCATGACTTTGTCTTGAGATATCACCTCTGGCTCAGACATTGGAGCCTTTGGCACTTCTTCAGAGATGTGATTGGCTGTCTCTGTGGGAACCGTATCAGTCAACCGGTACTGGCTGTCGTCCCATCTCCCGAAGGCCAGGTCCAAGCCTCCCACGAAGGCTATTGATTGGTCGATGGCCACCATCTTCTCATGATGGGCCCAGAAAAACACCACAGCGGACATGTGATTGGGGTGTCGCATCACCTGTTGGAGAGACATCAGTGAAGCTAAGGACACAAATCTAATAAAGTTATTTGAATTTAAAATAATGACACAGTATAACACCAGCAATGAAAGCATGACGATGCTATGTGGTTAGTTTATCAGGTGTAAAGCACCACCTGATTGTAGAGCAGATATTAGAGTGTCTCAGACAGACCTTGATGTTGGGGTGCATGTCCATCAGTGTCCTCTTGCTGTGGCCACTGTTGATGCCCAGTGCCATCTCCACCTCCTTGTACAGGAGCACACACACTTTGACACCTTGTTCCTGCACAGAGAAAAGAAAGGATGGATATACACAGAAGGTGGGAAGGAGGAAAGGACCCAGCTAGCACATTTGGTTCCTTGGATGTTGTGGGAAAGTATGTTTTCGGTTTCACATTGGTTGTGGGAACGAAGCCATACGCTTCCTGACCGGTAAAACTGAACCTTTGTTAAAACATTCTGAGAACAGAAGTGAAAATTTCACCTGTTCTGGGAATGTTTATTTTTAGGTTGCAGGGAGGTTTTCAGAAAGTTTTACTTGAGTTCCATGAAAGTTTTCCTGGGAGGTTTTATTAACGTTCAAAGATCTGAAATCCTAGGTTATTTGAAAGTAATTAAATAACATTCTGAGAACATTCTCTAAATGTTGTGAAAGTTTTGTTATGGTTATTATTGACTCTAAAAACTACATTTTTTAAATAACTTTCACTGAATGTTTCAATAAGACTTAATAACACTGCTAGCTTATTTTGGGTTAACTTTTTTGAACTCCAAGCACAGATAGGACACATTGAAATTCATTTACTTAGGCATTAAACATGCAAACACATTACTTTTTTTATTGTGACACAGCATCAGTGAGATACAAACCTAATAGAATTAGTCCACTGCGGCACCAGGAATGTTTTTTTTACGCATACAAAGTTGTTCATTTTAGTCTAATGAAACAGACCCCATTTCAAAAGGAAACAAGCACTCATTAACATTAGGTGTGGCCAATTAGTGGGCGCAGCCAACACACTTAACAAGATCCTGTAGAGGATAGAGAGAGTTTTGTTGAGAATGGAATATATACGTTTTAAAATAACATTCTTAGAATGTTTTCTGAATGTTACTGAAGTTTTCTTCATGTTCAGAGAACGGAATTTAAAGCCTATTGATGTTAATGTGTACAATTATTTTTTTTGAACATTTCCAGAATATTGCCAAGAACTTACATAAAAGAGAACCAACCATACATTCTCTGAACGTTCTGAGAACAGCACTTAAGTCACAGAATCTTTTAGAACGTTCCCAGAATGTGGTAAAAATATGTCATAAAATAGAAACACATGGGAACTTGTGTGGAATGTTCTGTGGAAGTACTGAAATTCCCACAAAAGAACGTTGTTTCTTAAAGTTATTTGAACAATTTGAGAACATTACTTTAAATAGAACCATGAGGAAACGTTATGCTGAAAGTACTGAAATTCCCACAGAAGAACATGGTTTCTTAACGTTCTCTGAACTATTTGAGAACATTCCCAATGTCAAACCATTTGGAGAACGTTCCTAGAACATGACCAAAAATGTAATTAAATGTAACCATGTTTGAACTTTAAGGAAACGTTCTGTGAAATGAAATACCATGTAAATAATGTGCTTTTTTGTCAAGTTCCTTAAATGTGCTGAGAATGTTCCAAAGCCAAGCAACTATCCTGCACCATTCCCAGAAAGTTGGGGAAGGTTGTATGCAAAATAACCAATAGGATACCTACGCTCTCACCAAGCTCTAAGAAACAAATGGCTCTCAGAACATTATGTGCTGGCTGGGAAGACATTAACCTTCAGTGCTTTCAGAGGAGAGGAGGGAGGAGGACAGGTAAAAGCGAATCTAGAGATATGTTGACAGGAGAAAGGTGGGAAGTAGATTCGTACTGCTTTGCGTTTGAGGATCTGGTCCAGGCGCCAGTATGTGTCTGTAGCTGGCCTCTTCAGGAAAACCTCTGGGCTGAGCCTGGGAGGGAGGGAGGGAAATAAATATTCACCATGCAATATTAACCATGTACATACAGTGCATTCGGAAAGTATTCAGACACCTTCACTTTTTCCACATTTTGTTACGTTACAAACTTATTTTTAAGTCATTTTTTCCCATCATCAATCTACACATAATACTCCATAATCACAAAGCAAAAACAGGTTTGTAGAAATTTTTAAAATATATTTAAAAAAAAAAACTGAAATATCACATTGACATAAGTATTCAGACCCTTTACTCAGTGCTTTGTTAAAGCACCTTTGGCAGCGATTACAGCCTAGAGTCTTCTTGGGCATGATGCTACAAGCTTAGCAAACCTGTATTTGGGGAGTTTCTCACATTCTTCTCTGCAGATCCTCTCAAGCTCTGTCAGGTTGGATGGGGAGTGTTGCTGCACAGCTATTTTCAGGTCTCTCTAGAGATGTTCGAGCGGGTTCAAGTCTGGGCTCTGGCTGGGCCACTCAAGGACATTCAGAGACTCCTGCGTTGGCTGTGTGCTTAGGGTCGTTGTCCTGGGGCGAAGGTGAACCTTCACCCCAGTCTGAGGTCCTGAGCATTCTGGAGCAGGTTTTCATCAAGGATCTCTCTGTACTTTGCACCGTTCATCTTTTCATCAATCCTTTCTAGTCTTCCAGTCCCTGCCGCTGAAAAACATCCCCACAGCATGATGCTGCCAACACTATGCTTCACCGTAGGGATGGTGCCAGGTTTCCTCCAGACGAGATGCTTGGCATTCAAGCCAAAGAGTTCAATCTTGGTTTCATCAGACCAGATAATCTTGTTTCTCATGGTCTGAGTCCTTTAGGTGTCTTTTGGCAAACTCCAAGCGGGCTGTCATGTGCCTTTTACTGAGGAGTGGCTTCCGTCTGGCCACGCTACCATAAAGGCCTGATTGGTGGAGTGCTGCAGAGATGGGAGAATCTTCCAGAAGGACAACCATCTCCACAGAGGAACTCTGGAGCTCTGTCAGAGTGACCATCGGGTTCTTGGTCACCTCCCTGAACAAGACCCTTCTCCCCCGATTGCTCAGTTTGGCCGGGCAGCCAGCTCTAGGAAGAGTCTAGGTGGTTCCAAACTTCTTCCATTTAAGAATGATGGAGGCCACTGTGTTCTTGGGGACCTTCAATGCTGCAGACATTATTTGCTACCCTTCCCCAGATCTGTGCCTCGACACAATCCTGTCTCTGAGCTCTACGGACAATTCCTTCGACCTCATGGCTTGGTTTTTGCTCTGACATGCACTGCCAACTGTGGGACCTTAGATGTGTGCCTTTCCAAATCATGTCCAATCAATTGAATTTACCACAGGTGGACTCCAATGAAGTTGTAGAAACATCTCAAGGAGGATCAATGGAAACAGGATGCACCTGAGCTCAATTTCGAGTCTCATAGCAAAGGGTCTGAATACTTATGTAAATAAGGTATTTCTGTTTTTTATTTTTAATACATTTGCAAAAATGTCTAAAAACCTGTTTTTGCTTCATCATTATGGGGTATTGTGCGTAGATTGATGAGGCTGAAACTTAACAAAATGTGGAAAAAGTAAACGGGTCTGAATACTTTCCGAATGCACTGTATTAACACTGTTTCCTGCTGTTTACAGACTAATTAGAAACAAACCTAATAAAATGTTGGAAAAAGTGGTCTCCGTTGTTATTGAGAGAGTGAAATCAAATATTTGTTTTGTTTGCTGTATGCTCTAATTTAGCTAACGGCATAGCAGAGCCATGTATACAGTATTGGGATCTGGATAACCACTCTCTGTAATTATGGAGAGCACTGTGCTTACATCAGTCTTGGAACACACAGTAGGCGTACTAGCTATAGAGATATAGTGTATAATAATAATATAATGTTCTATTCTATTTCTATGGTGCTAGCTCTGCTACTCACCACCAGTCTGTGATGAAAATCTCCTCCTTGGCCTGCTCCAGAGCATCAGCCAGGTCTGCAAAGTAGCCACTGCCATTTACATACCTTTAATACAACCAATTCATAAACAGAGACATTACATTCAAGTTAGGGGAGCACAAAGCTATGGATGTGTACAGTATGTACAAATACCACATCATCAGCTAATGTGAAGCAATACACACACACACACACACACACACACACACACACATCTGACCATTTAGTGAGTGTGTTCTCCCGTGGTGGGGCAAAGCCCCCAAAGCGTTGGACCTGGAGGAATTCACAGGGCTCAGCCAGCCTGTTGATCTCATGGCTCCACCAGCGAGCCTGTCTATAGCTGTTACACTTGATGACCAGATTCCTAAAACACACACACAACGCTCATGTAAGAACACACATAATATGGGAGAGTGGGGTAAGTTGAACCGAATAATTATTTGAGCCACCCCAATTGTTTCTAGAAAACCATACACAAAATTAATAATGTGGCCAAATATTTAGGAAGAGTTCATAATTTCATCGAGTCTGTGAAGGAAGAAGCCATATGGGGACAGTGGTAATTAAGTTTGGTCCAAAAAACTAATGTTCACAAAGTCAAATGAATTTATTGTGTTCTAGGTTTCATGACGCTTGTATCTAAACCAAAGTAGATACAGTTGAAGTCGGAAGTTTACATACACCTTAGCCAAATGAATTTAAACTCAGTTTTTCACAATTCCTGACATTTAATCCTAGTAAAAATTCCCTGTCAGTCGGTCAGTTAGGATCACCACTTTATTTTAAGAATGTGAAATGTCAGAATAATAGTAGAGAGAATGATTTATTTCAGCTTTTATTTATTTCATCACATTCCCAATGGGTCAGAAGTTTACATACACTCAATTAGTATTTGGTAGCATTGCCTTTAAATTGTTTAACTTGGGTCAACCGTTTCTGGTAGCCTTCCACAAACTTCCCACAATAAGTTGGGTGAATTTTGGCACATTCCTCCTGACAGAGCTGGTGTAACTGAGTCAGGTTGGTAGGCCTCCTTGCTCGCACACGCTTTTTCAGTTCTGCCCACACATTTTCTTTGTGATGGCCTCTCCAATACCTTGACTTTGTTGTCCTTAAGCCATTTTGCCAAAACTTTGGAAGTATGCTTGGGGTCATTGTCCATTTGGAAGACCCATTTGCGACGAAGCTGTTCTTCGGCTTGCAAGCCCCCCTTTTTTCCTCCAAACATAACGATGGTCATTATGGCCAAACAGTTATATTTTTGTTTCATCAGACCAGAGGACATTTCTCCAAAAAGTACGATCTTTGTCCCCATGTGCAGTTGCAAACTGTAGTCTGGCTTTTTTATGGTGGTTTTGGAGCAGTGGCTTTCTTGCTGAGCGGCCTTTCAGGTTATGTCGATATAGGACTCGTTTTACTGTGGAGATAGATACTTTTGTACCTGTTTCCTCCAGCATCTTCACAAGGTCCTTTGCTGTTGTACTGGGAATGATTTCGCACCAAGGTACATTCATCTCTAGGAGACAGAACGCGTCTCCTTCCTGAGTGGTATGACAGCTGCGTGGTCCCATGGTGTTTATACTTGCGTACTATTGTTTGTACAGATGAACGTGGTACCTTACATTTACATTTACGTCATTTAGCAGACGCTCTTATCCAGAGCGACTTACAAATTGGTGCATTCACCTTATAGCCAGTGGGATAACCACTTTACAATGTTTTATTTTATTTATTTTTTAATTTTTTTGGGGGGGTGGGGTGGGGTAAGGGGGGGTAGAAGGATTACTTTATCCTATCCCAGGTATTCCTTAAAGAGGTGGGGTTTCAAATGTCTCCGGAAGGTGGTGAGTGACTCCGCTGTCCTGGCGTCGTGAGGGAGCTTGTTCCACCATTGGGGTGCCAGAGCAGCGAACAGTTTTGACGGGGCTGAGCGGGAACTGTGCTTCCGCAGAGGTAGGGGAGCCAGCAGGCCAGAGGTGGATGAACGCAATGCCCTTGTTTGGGTGTAGGGACTGATCAGAGCCTGAAGGTACGGAGGTGCCGTTCCCCTCACAGCTCCGTAGGCAAGCACCATGGTCTTGTAGCAGATGCGAGCTTCAAATGGAAGCCAGTGGAGTGTGCGGAGGAGCGGGGTGACGTGAGAGAACTTGGGAAGGTTGAACACCAGACGGGCTGCGGCATTCTGGATGAGTTGTAGGGGTTTAATGGCACAGGCAGGGAGCCCAGCCAACAGCGAGTTGCAGTAATCCAGACGGGAGATGACAAGTGCCTGGATTAGGACCTGTGCCGCTTCCTGTGTAAGGCAGGGTCGTACTCTCCGAATGTTGTAGAGCATGAACCTACAGGATCGGGTCACCACCTTGATGTTAGCGGAGAACGACAGGGTGTTGTCCAGGGTCACGCCAAGGCTCTTCGCACTCTGGGAGGAGGACACAACGGAGTTGTCAACCGTGATGGCAAGATCATGGAACGGGCAGTCCTTCCCCGGGAGGAAGAGCAGCTCCGTCTTGCCAAAGTTCAGCTTGAGGTGGTGATCCGTCATCCATACTGATATGTCTGCCAGACATGCAGAGATGCGATTCGCCACCTGGTTATCAGAAGGGGGAAAGGAGAAGATTAGTTGTGTGTCGTCTGCGTAGCAATGATAGGAGAGGCCATGTGAGGATATGACAGAGCCAAGTGACTTGGTGTATAGCGAGAATAGAAGAGGGCCTAGAACTGAGCCCTGGGGGACACCAGTGGTGAGAGCACGTGGTGCGGAGACAGCTTCTCGCCACGCCACTTGGTAGGAGCGACCGGTCAGGTAGGACGCAATCCAAGAGTGAGCCGCGCCGGAGATGCCCAGCTCGGAGAGGGTGGAGAGGAGGATCTGATGGTTCACAGTATCAATGGCAGCAGACAGGTCTAGAAGGACAAGAGCAGAGGAGAGAGAGTTAGCTTTAGCAGTGCGGAGAGCCTCTGTGACACAGAGAAGAGCAGTCTCAGTTGAATGACCAGTCTTGAAACCTGACTGGTTTGGATCAAGAAGGTCATTCTGAAAGAGATAGCAAGAGAGTTGGCTAAAGACGGCATGCTCAAGAGTTTTGGAGAGAAAAGAAAGAAGGGATACTGGTCTGTAGTTGTTGACATCAGAGGGATCGAGTGTTGATTTTTTGAGAAGGGGTGCAACTCTCGCTCTCTTGAAGACGAAGGGACATAGCCAGCGGTCAAGGATGAGTTGATCAGCAAGGTGAGGTAAGGGAGAAGGTCACCGGAGATGGTCTGGAGAAGAGAGGAGGGGATAGGGTCAAGCGGGCAGGTTGTTGGGCGGCCGGCCGTCACAAGTCGCAAGATTTTATCTGGAGAGAGAGGGGAGAAAGAAGTCAATGTGAGCAGGACCAGCGGTGTCATTTGACTTAATAAATGAGGATCGGATGTCGTCAACCTTCTTTTCAAAATGGTTGACGAAGTCATCCACAGAGAGGGAGGAGGGGGGGAGGATTCAGTTAGAGGCAGATGCTTGGAATTTAGAGTGGTAGAAAGTGGCCTTAGCAGCAGAAACAGATGAAGAAAATGTAGAGAGGAGGGAGTGAAAAGATGCCAGGTCCGCAGGGAGTCTAGTTTTCCTCCATTTCCGCAAACCTTCAGACGTTTGGAAATTGCTCCCAAGGATGAACCAGACTTGTGGAGGTCTACACATTTTTTTTTCGGAGGTCTTGGCTGATTTCTTTCGATTTTCCCATGATGTCAAGCAAAGAGGCACTGAGTTTGAAGGTAGGCCTTGAAATACATCCACAGCTACACCTCCAATTGACTCAAATGATGTCAATTAGCCTATCAGAAGCTTCTAAAGCCATGACATCATTTTCTGGAATTTTCCAAGCTGTTTAAAGGCACAGTCAACTTAGTGTATGTAAACTTCTGACCCACTGGAATTGTGATACAGTGAATTATAAGTGAAATAATCTGTCTGTAAACAATTGTTGGAAAAATTACTTGTGTCATGCACAAAGTAGATGTCCTAACCGACTTGCCAAAACTATAGTTTGTTAACAAGAAATTTGTGGTGTGGTTGAAAAACAAGTTTTAATGACTCCAACCTAAGTGTACGTAAACTTCCGACTTCAACTGTAGTTTTATACATCAGTTGAGACCTCTATAAGCTAAAATATGAGGTCCTAAACCTAGCATGAAAGTGTATCCTTGTCCACTTTCATGTGTGGGCTAATATAGTCAACATGTTTGCCTTGGGGTAAGTTGTGTCAATGGCCATGGGGTAAGTTGAGCTAATGTCCACCATACCCCATACAAATGATCATCACATTTGTCAGTTTTGTGCATAATATGCATAGTATTTTTGCAATGTGTCATGTATGAACTCAAGATAGTGCATTTTTATTGCTACAGAGCAGACATAATCATGCCCCCTGTCTACACACATAAAACAAGCAGGGGTCTTGCCCCCCTTGAGATTATTGAGAGAGCAGCCAAGGAAGTGAGAGAAGGGAAGAAGTCCATTAGAGCAGCAGCAAGGGATGAAAAAATAGACTGAATGACACTGAAGAGGTACATTGACAAAAACCTAAATGAACATGTACCTGTGCGAAAGAGGCTATGATAGAGTAGCAGAGGCACACAAGGTCTTATCTGATGACATGGAGTCTGAGCTTCCTAAACATATCAAGAATCTTGCGGACCAGTAGCCTCAAATGCAGAGAACTTGCCTACGAATCAGACAACTGGTCAAGAAATGAAAGAGCAAGTGATATTGAACAAAAATATCTATATCTGAATGTAGGCATACATTTAAGATATACAATACACACATCCCCATTCCATTAATTAAACTTTGACCTATCAGCACCATTACCCACTGTCACAGGACACCATCAACCACTTACGACAAGGTGACTCAACTTACCCCGTCCCATGCTCAACTTGCCCCAAATTGTGCCAAGAGACCACTTTTTTTGGACAAGCTGTGTTTTCAAAACTGTTATGTTTACATGAATTCTGATTAATTCCACAGATACACAACATCCTGAAATATATGTAGATATCTTGTTAGAAATAATACTAAATGTGAACCGTTCCAGGAAGCTAGGCGAATGTTGCACATCACTACTTCACAGGAGAGGCATTTTAACATTCTTTTTTTTATTTGATCAAAATAAGTTTTGGGGCAGAAATGCCTTCTGGAACATGTGGACTGTCATGTGCCTTAATAACAAACATGTATGCCATCTATAAATACAAATAATAAATAATACATTACAAGCCTAGTTGGTTTAACCACGGAAAAAGACAGGAACCTTCCCACTAGCCATGATTGGCTGAGATAATGGTTGGCCTGGACATGAGTTCGGATTGGTCTGCCATGTAGCATGCTTCTGTTTATAACACGAGCTGCTCATTATGTGTAGATAATCATTTTTACCAAGTCTTTTTTTAAAGATATCATGAAAAACTGAAAAAGTGTTGCTACTGCTGAATTTAACAGGCGCTATCGACAAAGATCAGTGGGAAACAGTTGTGATGGACTACCATTTGTATTGCTAGTTATAGCCTAATGTTAGCTAGTTAGCTAATATTGAACTTAGTTGGTTAGCGTTAGCTACCTGCAGATTCATGCATGGTGCATGGTAGTATGGGTTGGGATTATGGGTCTAAACAAAAGACTCCACTATGCAAGTAATCATTTCACTGTACCTTTGACACCTTTGGTGTCCTGTGCATGTGACAAATAAACTCAGATTTTATTTGATATAGTGTGTGTTTACCAGAGACGGTAATGTGAAGAACAATATGACCTGCACCAAAGTCAGATTAGGATATAGGCCAAGGACTAGATAAAGTGTATTTTTACTAATACTTTTTGCTACTACTTTCACCACATTTAGTCTTAATGTTTTAGTGTTTACTACACTACCTTACTCACTCTGTTTAGCACATGGCCTCACACGTGAATCCTTAAAGAGATGGGTGGAGCTAAGGCTTAAGCAGGTGTTAACGATGATGAATGGGTGTAGAAAATGAAGATCTCTCCAGTAGGTGTACAAAAGCATTCACGGGCCATTTTCTCAAAAGTGGTGTTACAAGTTTATCAACTTTCAAAGCAAAATTACTTTCCCATTGTTCCTCAACTGCTGTGTATTAAATACAATTTTCTAGCTCTGAAACTCTACTTTTATCCAATATAAAAAACATAATTTCAAATGTTGCTACATACGACCGTATCAAGGTGGTGGGTCACATACTGTATTTCCCTTGACGTAGTGATGCTGAAAGTAAAATAAATCTATTTACCCCACTCTCCCCTACCTGCCTGCACAAATACACACACAGCTAGGGATTGACGCATAAATAAACAATTAGGAATACAAATGTATACTTCACAAGTGTGATCTGTATTTGAGTGTACACTTTTATGAGTGTGTCTGCCTACAGGTACATCACATTTTGGACACCACTATGGACTTACCTGGTGAAGTTCTGAATGCAGACCCCATACTTGGTGTCAGTGTATGCACGGCCCACTTGTACTTTGAACTCCGGGTCAAAGACCAGTACGAAGCAGACGACCCCGTTTTCCCGGTTCATATAGAGCAGGAAGGAGTCCTTGACCACCAGCCAGCGCTTTGACCAGCGGAAGCAGAACTGGTGATGACCAATACAGTTCAGCCCCTGGATACGATGACCTCCTGATCTTTTGAAGATAGAACCCTCCCTGAAATACAATGACATCACTCCCATTGCTCACACGGACATAGAATTAGTCACATTAAAATATACTGAATAGCACTCACAGTCTCTCCTTCTCGTATACCATCACACACTCTCATAGACTATTAATAGTGCTTACAGGCCTTTGGGTCCAAGCTCACTGACAAAGGAGAGAGCACTGACATCAAGGAATTCCAGCTGAAATCAGAACAAGATAGACAGTGATGACAGCACATCCTGACACTGAATGATAATTGGTGTGTGTGTGTGTCATCTTCACTCACCATGCCGTGGTAGTTCTTACAAAAGGAATTCTCCAGAAGGCCATTTAGATATTCCTCAAGGTATTTCTACAACAGAGAGATCAGAAATCAGGACTGATAGCCTACTAGCCCACAGGGGGTTCTGAGAAGAAAAAAAAGTATATACAGTACCAGTCAAAAGTTTGGACACACCTACTCATTCAAGGTTTTTCTTTATTTTTACTATTTTCTACATTGTAGAATAATAGTGAAGTCATCGAAACTATGAAATAACACATCAATGCTACTTTGAAGAATCTCAAATATAAAATATATTTTGATTTGTTTAACACTTTTTTGGTTACTACATGATTCCAGATGACAGCTTTGCACACACTTGGCATTCTCTCAACCAGCTTCACCTGGAATGCTTTTCCAACAGTCTTGAAGGAGTTCCCACATATGCTGAGCACTTGTTGGCTGCTTTTCCTTCACTCTGCGGTCCAACTCATCCCAAACCATCTCCATTGGGTTGAGGTCGGGTGATTGTGGAGGCCAGGTCATATGATGCAGCACTCCATCACTCTCCTTCTTGGTCAAACAGTCCTTACACAGCCTGGAGGTGTGTTGGGTCATTGTCCTGTTGAAAATCAAATGATAGTCCCACTAAGCCCAAACCAGATGGGATGGCGTATTGCTGCAGAATGCTTTGGTAGCCATGCTGGTTAACTGTGCCTTGAATTCTAAATAAATCCCAGACAGTGTCACCAGCAAAGCACCCCCACACCATAACACCTCATCCTCCGTGCTTCACGGGGGAAACCACACATGCGGAGACCATCCGTTCACCTACTCTGCGTCTCACAAAGACACGGCGGTTGGAACCAAATATCTCAAATTTGGACTCATCAGACCAAAGGACAGATTTCCACCGGTCTAATGTCCATTGCTTGTGTTTCTTGGCCCAAGCAAGTCTCTTCTTCTTATTGGTGTCCTTTAGTTGTGGTTTCTTTGCAGCAATTCAACCATGAAGGCCTGATTCATGCAGTCTCCTCTGAACAGTTGATGTTGAGATGTGTCTGTTATTTGAACTCTGTGAAGCATTTATTTGGGCTGCAATCTGAGGTGCAGTTAACTCTAATTAACTTATCCTCTGCAGCAGAGGTAACTCTGGGTCTTCCTTTCCTGTGGCGGTCCTCATGAGAGCCAGTTTCATCATAGCGCTTGATTGTTTTTGCAATGGCACTTGAAGAAACTTTCATAGTTCTTGACATTTTCCGGAATGACTGACCTTCATGTCTTAAAGTAATGATGGACTGTCGTTTCTCTTTGCTTATTTGAGCTGTTCTTGCCATAATATGGACTTGATCTTTTACCAAATAGGGCTATCTTCTGTATACCACCCCTACCTTGTCACAACACAACTGATTGGCTCAAATGCATTAAGAACTAAATAAATTCCACAAAATAACTTTTAAGAAGGCACACCTGTTAATTGAAATGCATTCCAGGTGACTACCTCATGAAGCTGCTTGAGAGAAAGCAAAGCTGTCATCAAGGCAAAGGGTGGCTATGAGTGGCGCAGTGGTCTAAGGCACTGCATCGCAGTGCTAACTGTGCCACTAGAGATCCTGGTTCGAATCCAGGCTCTGTCGCAGCCGGCCGCGACCGGGAGACTCATGGGCGGCGCACAAGTCGTCCAGGGTAGGGGAGGGAATGGCCGGCAGGGATATAGCTCAGTTGATAGAGCATGGCGTTTGCAACGCCAGGGTTGTGGGTTCGATTCCCACGGGGGGCCAGTATAAAAAAAAAAAAATAATAATGTAATCACTAACTGTAAGTCGCTCTGGATAAGAGCGTCTGCTAAATGACTAAAATGTAAATGTAAATGTATTTGAAGTATCTCAAATATATTTTGATTTGTTTAACCTTTTTTGGTTACTACATGATTCCATATGTGTTGTTTCATAGTTCTGATGTCTTCCCTATTATTCTACAATGTAGAAAATAGTAAAAATAAAGAAAAACCCTTGAATGAGTAGGTGTGTCCAAACTTTTGACTGGTACTGTACCCGAGTGGCGCAGTGGTCTAAGGCATTGCATCTCAGTGCTTGAGGCGTCACTACAGACCCTCTGGTTCGATTTCAGGCTGTATCACAACCGACCATGATTGGGAGTCCCATAGGGCGGCGCACAATTGGCCCAGCGTCGTCCGGGTAGGCCGTCATTGTAAATAAGAATTTGTTCTTAACTGACTTGCCTAGTTAAATAAAGGAAAAAATAAAAATAAAAAATACAGAGAGAGACATTGAAATGACTAAAACCAAAACGAAACTGTGTAGAAATGATAATGGACCTGCATTTACAGTCTTCTCACTCTGTCCAGCTTGCTAACAGTCATCGAAAAGAATGCTAGACAGTCAGGGAGCATCGAAAATTCCAAAAGCGATGGATAGAGGACCAATTCGTTCAAATTTTGACGGCGAGGAAATATAACCCTCCGGACCTCGGTGAAGACCGAATGCAGCCATCAGGGCAAAATGAGTTTGACACCTCTGGCCTACATGATCAAATGTCAACAAATCAAATGGTCAGATAGAAGAACCCCTGATAGTGATAAAATGTCACACAAGATTGAGCCCTCATGTTGTTTTTGTGTGGAGGGTATTATCTAGAACAGAGTAGATGTAAGGGCATCCCACTGGCCACAAACTGGTAAATCATTGTTGTTTCAACATAATTTGTAAACGTATTGTGACGTGGAATCTACGTGGACAATACATAAAAAGTAATAAATGTAAACTGTTGTTTTTAGTGTGAAATTTCAACCACAGGATTATGTCATCATGGTAACCAATTTTCAACATAGAAAAACCTTTGAAAAAACATCAGATCTTCAATGTTATATCCACTATCAGAAGAAAAAAAACTATAGGTTGGGCAGCACCTCCTACTGGATAATTGATCTACCTACAGCTATCCATTTGGTCTCCATTCCAGGGTTTAACCAAACCCAGCCCTGCTTAGCTATGACATTTGTTATCGTGATAATTATTGAGAGATTAGGGCTGTGGCGGTCATGAAATTTTGTCAGCTGGTGATTGTCAAGCAAATAACTGCCGGTCTATTGACCGTTAATTAAGGTAAACACATTTAGCATCTCCTGGCTTCCACGCATAGCCTACAAGCCACTGATGCAGACCTTTGGAACATCTACATTTTAAATAGTCTAATAAATCATGTAATATAGCCTACACCTTCACAATAAATCCAATATTTATTTTAGACAGGTCCAAAGAAACATGATATGAAGAAAATGTAGTCTATTTCAGAAGAACAGAATGGCATCCTCTGCGTTGTCCATATGTTAGGCCCTGATCTGGATATGCCATTTGGCTGTGGGCTACACTAGTTCATTTAGCAGACAAGATTTGCTTAGAAATCCATGGCAATATTTTATATTATTTTATAGTATGAAGAATGCAATTGAACATAGCTGAATAAAATTTTAAGTATATTTTTCTCTAAACGATTTGAGGGAGTGCGCACATGCGGCTATTCTGTGTTGAGCGGTTAACAAAGAAACAGGTTCTCCTATATGCTTAATTTAGAGTTATTTATGTAACTTTAGTTGTGATAAATATGTTGTGATATATGTTTTGATTTTTAATACATTCTAAGGCTGCATGATGCGACTCTAATGATGATTTGAAAAAAGTTGCATGAAAGGCATGAGCTCTGCTTTGTTTTTTGCGCAGGCTGTACACACTTCATCAGTCTCTCATTCACAATTTGAAAAGCACTTGATAATGCCTCGAATTTCCCGGCTGCATCCCCTTTGTGTGGCCATAATCCCTCCCAATGGCCATTGTGCCCTTGGGCTGAATATAATAATTACAATTCCCTTCTCCCCGCTGCGTGCCGAAGCACCTCTCACTCACGTGATCGGGTCTTTCTCACAGGCTACAAGTGAATACAGACACATCGGGGACGCAACTGTGCTCGTCCTTATCCAATTCCGAGGCACATATTGAAGATATCCACATTTACTTTAAGTTAGCCAACAAGATGAGTAGGCCTAACGAACAGCAAAAGCACTAGCCTATGTCAATCTACTATCCCCCATAGTACAAAAGTTGACCTATTCTATTCTGTGCGAGAAATAAATATTCCAAACATAGTCCGGGACAGTTGTGGGATGCGATAGATCCCAAATTAATACAACCACTAGCATCAAAATACCTGTTTAAAGCAATGAGCCTGACACAACAGATGAGAACTTTTAGCTTAAAATGTTGATAAACTATTAGGCTGTCACATTAGAAGCGCAGCAATGCGCACACGGCAGTAGGCTATAAGCGCGAATGTTCCATTAGCAGGAGAACACCATTCTCAAAAGTGACCACAAATGCGATTATGCATGTAATGCTTTTATTATAAAAGGTGCATTTTTATGGTGAAAATGATCTTCCCCAAACTTGAAACTCACGCGCTGCGTATGTATGCCAGTTAGGCTCTACACCCGTTGTAAAGCGGATTAATGTGCTTCATTTTAAGATGTTATTTGGCCACTTTAGTTGTGATACAAACCTTATCAAAACATATAGGCCTATGGGCTAGGCTACATGAGGTGTGCAACTATGATTTGAAAAAGTCGCAAAAAAAAGCATGCGCTGTTTGCCTTAAGCTGTTCATCATTCACAAGTGATAATATATCATTCACAAGTGATAGGCTAATATTGTCACCCATCACACTATTCTTGATTTAATCTTGTCTTTACATATACTAAATAATATGTGTGAAATTTGTTTTGATTTAGAATGGACCATTATCATGCACCTTTCTCGAAACAGGGGCAGCGGGAAAAAAATACATGTCATCTATACACTTAAATAGCGAATGGAGGACGCTTTTCCCGTGGATAATTGTCATGCCAGCCAGGTAGGCTATACTCCTGTTTTATAGAGAAGCAATGTGCTCAATATTAGGAAGGTTGAGAAATAAATATAGTAGGCCTAGCCTATAGAAAGCTGATGGGATCCTCCTCTTTTTAATAGAGGCCATCACTCTGTTTTCTCATGCAATTGCATAGCCTATAGAAATGTTGCACAACATGAGCTCATGGGCTCTCATTAAGTGTTTGATTTGTTTTTCGAATACATTTGCATTGATGTCAGAGTGATTAGAGGGACAATAGAGTGCTGAGTATCAGGCAGTTAGCAAGTTTGGTAGGCTACTAATGACCATCAGCAGCATTAGAGCTTGGAGAAGCCTAATTACGGTGACTAAACGGTTACATGGAATTTGGCTGCCAACATGACTTGTGACCACCGGTGTGGCGGTAATACGGTCACCGTAACAGCCCTATGAGCGATCTCTTAATAACTAAATAGATTCCCTGTTACTATTGACGTCATTCCAAAGGGTCAGTTTAACAGAGCAAATGAAATGTAACCATACTTTATAAATCATATATCATCAATATTTAGGCCTATATAGCATTTGCGAAGTCATCAACAACTATTGTTTCAATTCAACTAAAAATAGACAATACATTATAGGCCTAGGGTTTCAAGCTTTGGTTGATTTCAAATGTAATCTTCAAGTTGTTAATTAATATGTTGGATTCATGTCTCCAGCTCAACCAAAAATCTATGTTAAAGAATAAGACTAAATCAAATCAAACTTTAAATGCACTTTAATTAAAGTTTGATTTGATTTAGTCCTATTCTTTAACTTAGATTTTTGGTTGAGATGGAGACGTGAATCCAAAATATCAATTATTAATTTGTAGACAAACTGGAATTAAAGCCAGACTAAGTCAGTGGCACAAAAGATACAAGCTAATGTAACAGTTTTTATTCAACCTTAAAATGAGTAACACACCCATGGCCACATTCTGAGGTTACTGTAACTATAAATGTCTTCTTAGGCAATCATAAAAGGTGTGCATTGTGCATGTTCAAGATATCATGCAAAAGTTGCAGGTCTGTGGAGATCTTCACAATATTGCTATAATAATCTGTGCAGAATCTCAAACAGCATTGATCACTTGCACTACAGATGTAGGATTTTAATTTGATCACTCTTGCTGCTGATAATTTTTCAAACTTGTATTATATTCAAGGTTAAAAGAGCTTATAAAGTTAGTAATTTCCACTTTAAAATTACAGCCTTGATTTGCCCTAATGAAAAATGGATGAACTCCTACAAAAAATTAAGTTAATTATAATACACATAATAATTCACATTTCCTGTTGCTGCAAGATTATTTTCATGCTGTAGCAAACTGGCTCAAATTAAGATCCTACATCTGTATGTACTTTTTATGTAATCTCAACTGCAGTCCAGGTCATTTGGTTGTGCTATTATATGAAGCACAGTGATAACACATTAAGTTGTTGTACAAATACAAAATATCTGACATTGTACTCCCATTTGAACTTTGTTGTGCTTTTCAATGGTTGAAAGCAAAGTTATAACACATTGGGAATTCAACAAACTTCAGTCTGTCTTTTTGAGTGGGTGCATAAAGGTGAAAATCTCATTGATCAACATCTCAACCAAATATTACCCACATTTCCATGTTGAAATGACATGGTGTGCCCAGTGGGATGAGCCTTTATGTGAGACTGAGTTATGTGTGGGTCTCTGTCTGCATGTGTACCATGGTGTTTATCAGAGTCTGTCTTTGTGTATACAGTATGTGTGGGTCCATGAATGTAAGAGTGATACCGGTTTGCTGGAGGTTTGTCTCATCCTCTCAGTCCCGTGTAGACTTGGCATCTCCTCTGTCATAGCCCTCAGCTGCGCTCTCTGGGCTGCAAATCTAAAAAGAGATGTTTGAATATTCTAAACATTTTCTTTCTTAAACTCGTACAGAAATCACAACAGGCCTTCACTCTGATTTGAATTGCATCCCCTCTAAACAAATGATTCTCCACACAGATAATGGTTTGCTTTGCATGTCTGAGCTTTGATTGGTGCTCTGAGTCTGACCTTCCCAGAGGAAGGAAGTGGGCCATCATCTTGTGCTTGTAGAGGTCACGATGCAGCTCCTGGAAGTGCTTGTATTTCCTCTTGACCGTCCAAGTGAACTTTCCATGGCTCAGCTTCACAGTGTACAGAGAGCACACACGGACCTGGCAGAGAATACATGTCATACACCTATATACACATCTACAGTTCACACACACACACACACACACACGCAGGAATGCATATTATATACAGACACACAAATAAACACTATGCATATGTACAGTTGAAGTCGGAAGTTTACATACACTTAGGTTGGAGTCATTCAAACTTGTTTTTCAACCACTCCACAAATTTCTTGTTAACAAACTATAGTTTTGGCAAGTTGGTTAGGACATCTACTTTGTGCATGACACAAGTAATTGTTCCAAAAATTGTTTACAGACAGATTATTTCACTTATAATTCACTGTATCACAATTCCAGTGGGTCAGAAGTTTACATACACTAAGTTGACTGTGCCTTTAAACAGCTTGGAAAATTCCAGAAAATGGTTTAGAAGCTTCTGATAGGCTAATTGACATCATTTGAGTCAATTGGAGGTGTACCTGTGGATGTATTTCAAGGCCTACCTTCAAACTCACTGCCTCTTTGCTTGACATCATGGGAAAATCAACAGAAATCAGCCAAGACTTCAGAAAAAAATGTGTAGACCTCCACAAGTCTGGTTCATCCTTGGGAGCAATTTCCAAACGCCTGAAGGTACCACGTTCATCTGTACAAACAATAGTATGCAAGTGTAAACACCATGGGACCACGCAGCCGTCATACCTCTCAGGAAGGAGACGTGTTCTGTCTCCTAGAGATGAACGTACTTTGGTGCGAAAAGTGCAAATCAATCCCAGAACAACAGCAAAGGACCTTGTGAAGATGCTGGAGGAAACAGGTATAAAAGTATCTATTTCCACAGTAAAACAAGTCCTATATCGACATAACCTGAAAGGCCGCTCAGCAAGGAAGAAGCCACTGCTCCAAAACCGCCATAAAAAAGCCAGACTATGGTTTGCAACTGCACATGGGGACAAAGATCGTACTTTTTGGAGAAATGTCCTCTGGTCTGATGAAACAAAAATATAACTGTTTGTCCATAATGACCATTGTTATGTTTGGAGGAAAAAGGGGGATGCTTGCAAGCCAAAGAACACCATCCCAACCGTGAAGTGAAGCACGGGGGTGGCAGCATCATGCTGTGGGGGTGCTTTGCTGCAGGAGGGACTGGTGCACTTCACAAAATAGATGGCATCATGAGGAAGGAAAATTATGTGGATATATTGAAGCAACATCTCAAGACATCAATCAGGAAGTTAAAGCTTGGTCGCAAAAGGGTCTTCCAAATGGACAATGACTGCAAGCATACTTCCAAAATTGTGGCAAAATGGCTTAAGGACAACAAAGTCAAGGTATTGGAGTGGCCATCACAAAGCCCTGACCTCAATCCTATAGAAAATGTGTGGGAGGAACTGAAAAAGCGTGTGCGAGCAAGGAGCCTACAAACCTGACTCAGTTACACCAGCTCTGTCAGGAGGAATGGGCCAAAATTCACCCAACTTATTGTGGGAAGCTTGTAGAAGGCTACCAGAAACGTTTGACCCAAGTTAAACAATTTAAAGGGAATGCTACCAAATACTAATTGAGTGTATGTAAACTTCTGACCCACTGGGAATGTGATGAAATAAATAAAAGCTGAAATAAATCATTCTCTCTACTATTATTCTGACATTTCACATTCTTAAAATAAAGTGGTGATCCTAACTGACCTAACACAGGGAATTTGTACTAGGATTAAATGTCAGGAATTGTGAAAAACTGAGTTTAAATGTATTTGGCTAAGGTGTATGTAAACTTCCGACTTCAACTGTACACAGACACAAAGGAATGCACACAAACACCTTGGAGCGTGTGGTGTATCTCTCAGTGCTGTCCACTCTGCAGATGACCGGGGTCCCGGGCAGTAATACCGGCACACCTGCCTCTTTCACATCCAGCAGATGATGGACCACCAGGAAGGGACGCTCTTCTTCTGTAGGTGGGTCACATGATGCAGGCAATCCATCATCACAGATTAATAAAACACCCCAACTGGAGTTTCTCATCAGTCTGATGTGATGTAAAGGTATTTGGATGGAGGGAATAAAAAATGTATAGGCTATATCAACAACTTGTGTCTGTGTTTCCTCACCTCCTTCCTTCATGAGACCATCTAGCTCTTCCTTGCTTAGCTCATAGTCGTCCGTGATGAAGCGCTTTGTCTTTTGGGTCTCTGCTGCTCCCCCCTCTGGACCGGAAGGGGTTTTGCAGCATGCTGGTGCTGGACTGGCCATGGTGCTCTACCCCTTTCATCACACAGAAAAGGAGCACTAAATATGAATCATGCACACACCATAGTTCATAATTAACTCATGTTTTCTCTATGTGCGAGGACATAATAACTGAGAAACTCTCAAATCTAGCTGGACCGTTTAACATAGAAAATACAGGCCAATAGTGGGACTATACAATGCTATTACAGAGTCATTTAAACTAATTTCAGGCCTGTGCCAATACGGCAGAGAACAATTTTTCAGACACGTTATGTAGGAAGTACAGTGCCGTAAAGGATACTTAACACAGCTAAGTAATACATAGTGGGAGAATTGATCTATGAACTAGGAGAGACTGGGGCTTCAAGTGTGTCTAAATATAATCCTGGGACCTCTTAAGTGCCTCAGACACCGCAGTAAACCAGACAGATCACACCGATCACACCACAGCAGCAAGCAGGCGTAGAGGAAGCAGTGTCAACAGCTCAATACCATGTGTGCACAATGACATATGGGTGGGTTTTGAGAACGAGATAACAGCATTAAACAGGAAAGACAGAGAGCATTCACCGCAATCATGTGTTGGTGGTGTTTACCTGTTTTTTTCCATCGACAGTGTGATACATAAGAAGCCTGGGACACAATGAGAGAGAAGAAGGGTGTGTGCAAATGCGTGTGGGTAGAGGGATCCGATTGGCTGAGTAGATTTGTTTCTAGGGCAACCAGGTTCCAGGTGGAACACAATCCAGAGAGAGAGAGATTGTGAGGGAGAGAGAGCGAGAGAGAACGAGAGAGAGAGAGAAAGCATTGGCAAAATTTGCACCACCATCTCCTACAAGTATCTTACTATTCAGAGTATCATTTCTAAAGTAAATATGTACTTTCTACTCCCATACATTTTCTCTGACACCCAAAAGTACTAGTTACAATTCGAATGCTCAGGCAGGACAGCAAAATGGTCCAATTCACCCACCTATCAATATAACGTGTTGTCATCCCTACTGCCTCTGATCTGGCAGACTCACTAAACACAAATACTGTGTTTGTAAATTATGTCTGAGTGTTGGAGTGTGCCTCTGATCATAAATAAATTAAAACAAGAAAATGTTGCCGTCTGGTTTGCTTAATATAAGAAGTTTGATCTATAGCATTTACTTTTACTTTCTACTTTTACTGAAGTATGACAATTTAGTATTTTTTTTTACACTGTACTTAAGTACATTTAAAACCAGATAGGACTACTTTTAGAATTTTACTCAAGTAGTATTTTACTGGGTGACTTTCACTTTTACTTGAGTCATTTTCTATTAAGGTACTGTGATTTACTTTGACTCAAGTATGACAATTTAGTACTTTTGCCACCATACATTTACATTTACATCATTTAGCAGATGCTCTTATCCAGAGCGACTTACAAATTACTGGTGGCTCCATAATTATTGTAAAACAACCAGTACTCCCATGGAATCAAAATCTAAAATCAGCCAGATATTTGCTTAATTTATTACACCAAATACATTTCTGAAGCTGGAGACTCTTATCTCCCTCACTAACTTTAAGCATCAGTTGTCAGAGCACCTTACCGATCACTGCTCCTGTACACAGCCCATCTGAAATTAGCCCACCCAACTACCTCATCCCCATATTGTTATTTATTTTGCTCATTTGCACCCCAGTATCTCTATTTGCACATCATCTCTTGCACATCTATCATTCCAGTGTTAATACTAATTGTAATTATTTTGCACTATGGCCTATTTATTGCCTTACCTCCATAACTTGCTACATTTGCACACACTGTATATATATATATATATTTTTGTATTTTTGACTATGTTTTGTTTTACCCCATATGTAACTCGGTGTTGTTGTTTTTATCACACTGCTTTGCTTTATCTTGGCCAGGTCGCAGTTGTAAATGAGAACTTGTTCTCAACTGGCTTACCTGCTTAAATAAAGGTGAAATAAAAAAATTAAAAAAACACCATAATCAACATTATAATATAATAATAATAATATAATATGCCATTTAGCAGACGCTTTTATCCAAAGCGACTTACAGTCATGCGTGCATACATTTTTGTGTATGGGTGGTCCCGGGGATCGAACCCACTACCTTGGCGTTACAAGCGCCGTGCTCTACCAGCTGAGCTACAGAGGACCACCAAAAAGGTTCTATATTCTAGCTAGTCAGTCATTCAAATGACAAAATGATAGAGGCCTATTGCCTAGGCTACTAGCCTATAGATTTCCCCGCTTAAGCCATAATTCTTTATATCACCTTTAAAGCCTATGGAAAGTTTTTGTCATAGCCTCCACCCATCCCAGTTTCACCAGTGCAGTTACAGAGTTCCAAAACACTCCAGGGAAAAAAGTAAAATCTTGGCATGCGAGCGTAGGAGCAGATTTGACAATGTGAGACAATAATTAAGAGTCCAGTTGAACTGTCGCATAGGCCCTTATTAGTAGGCCTATTTACGCGCTGTTTTAAACAATTTTAAATCACGATAGTTCCCTTTAAATAGATAGAGGGGGTTATTTTGGCAGAGGCGTAGGCTACTTACTAAAGCGTCACACAGAAAACATCTGAAAGATGATGGTCAAATTCCGAATAATTCCGTATTGTTGAATCAAAAGATCAATTAACTTTTAAAGTTTTTCATCCTAGTTCCTCCGTCCTAGTACACTTAACAGTAGTTTTTTAAAGTAAAAGAGAGGAGGGAGATACGCCCGATACCGTACTCACTCTAAACGATGCGCGAGTAAATGTTCCTTCCGGCTGCATTGTGTGTTCATGCAACGTTCATGCAACATTCACCCGGACTAGCCGGGACTGTAGCAGAATTAGCTATGAAGGAGTTTCAATATGATACAATAGCGCGCGATTAGTTGTCCAGATAAACATTGCATCACTGTACCAACAATGTATACATTTTCCTTTCACATTACCTATCCATGATCAAAGAAAATGTTGCATTGTGGCTGGCATAGTAGGTAGCAGCAATCCAGTTGCAGCCAGGTTTTCGGTGGTTGACAGCACACAACATTAGCCTGCATTGCACTTCTTCTATTAAAGCTCCAATGCAGCCATTCTTATCTCAATATCAAATTATTTCTTGGTAACAATTAAGTACCTTATTGTGATTGTTTAAATTTAAATGGTCAAAAGAAACTCAAATAACGTCTTAGCAAATAGCAATTTATCAAGCAATAATTTTGCTAGGACTATCTGGGAGCGGTCTGAGTGGGGAGGGGAAAACTGAAAACTAGCTGGTATTGGCAGAGAGGTTTGGAACTCTCTTATTGGTATATTAACCAGGCAGGGCAAAACTCCATCCCACCAAAACAGGCTGAAATTTCAGGCGGTCTTTTCAAACAGCTCCTACACTAAAAGTGCATTATCATAATGTTTTACAATTTCACAGTATTATTCCAACCTCATAGTGTGGAAATATATATAAAATAATAATAATATGCTGTTTAGCAGACGCTTTTATCCAAAGCGACTTACAGTCATGCGTGCATACATTTTTGTGTTTGGGTGGTCCCGGGGATCGAACCCACTACCTTGGCGTTACAAGCGCCGTGCTCTACCAGCTGAGCTACAGAGGACCAAAAACCGCATTTTTGCCTGAACTGGGCCTTTAACATTTTAACTACTTTCAACATAAAATCATAACAATAGCCTATAATCACAGGAGGTGTGTGGCACCTTAATTGGGGAGGACGGGCTCGTGATAATGGCTGGAGTAGAATGAGTGTAATGGTATCACATTTTGGGGGAGTAATATCTTTGTTTTCACTCAGAGATAACTGAATTGGACTGTGTAGTACGGCAGGAGAATTGGGTCAGTGATTAAAATAGTTGTGTGTATGGGTCATTATCAGCTCAATCTCACTCTCATGCTTTCAAATGAAAAGTAGATGTGTGTGAAAAGAGTCATGGTTCCCTTATGCATGCAGGAGGGTTGTGACATTGCCATGGACGGAAGCACAGAAGTTATTTAGAGTTTTCCAAGTGCTTTCACTCCACAGTACTGAGGCATAGTCTGTAGGGTTGAAGTTTAGAGGTTACGTCTGACATTTTCTCCCAATAGAGGACAAAGAGGATCTTTGGGTGGAGACTGCAGATTTGGGTGAGTCAGCAGTCATTGTCCAGCAATAGTGCTTACATTTACATTTTTAGATGGCCAGTCATTTACAGTCAGATGGACAGAGCACACCCTGTACACTCAGTGGCAGTAGTAAATAAAATGTGTTCAACCTAAAGGGATATTCATCTCAGATTAACTTACATTGTTTTAATATTGTAAATACATAAACAAATGTATATTTAAACAATGTAAAGATGAAAAAGCTTTTGTTTTTAAACACTTGATTTATTGCCCAAAGAAACATCAAAACATGAACTTGAAGGTGTGTAATCTATTCTTATATCACTCAAAAGTTGCATAATTATAGTGGTGTGAAATGTCTCAAACATGTAGAACTTGGCAGCAGCTAATGGGGATCCATAATAAATACATATACAAATACCCCTATAGGCTAACACTTATGTGTACTTTCACCTTACACCCTACACCCCCTGATCAGAAACTGCATCCCATTAATATGCCTTATGAACACCTTAATCTTCATTCACAAAGGTTTTAAGAATACTCTATAGTGAAACATAAAATGTAAACATTACAATACTTGACAGTAGTAGACAAAATTAATCAATACAGCCTTCCTTGCATGTGAGTTGTTGGTGCTGTCAGGGGTTGAAGAAATGTTTACTTTGCCTTTAATATTAAAACTACCTTCAAACTGTTGTGTTGCATGGTAGGATGCCGTGCTACTGCTCCATTTAATCACTGGGAAAAGGAACAGAGATTGTGCTTGGATTCCCAAACGGCTGGATATATGATTATAGTCAAGACTTGGAATCAGGCAAGCAGTGTTTTGGAGGTGGTCTGGAGCTACCTTCGTCTTCATCATTGTCTGATATTTAAAAACTATCTCAAACTGCCATTTCAAGATTTAATAGCCACATATTGTATGTGCACCCTCTCTACAATGATCGCAACAGTCTTTTGATAAAAAATGTATTTGATTTAATTCTCACAGTATTAATAACAACATTAAATACTAACATCACTCGTGATACAGTATTTTTTTGTCTAAAACAAGTACAACACAGTACTTTCAAGCAATGGTTTGAATCTCAAAAGTTTTTACTGACTCTATATACCATCCAACACATCCTCTTAATGCTAAAACTCAATATATTCAATGCCCATAACGTAAAACAAACATAAATTGTTGTATGCATTGTTGTTCATGATGATTGCATAGGTTTTATTTGTGTATGCTAACAACAGCAACATAGGGGCTTTAATTGTGTAGGATTGTAATTGTATACGAAAAAGTAATTGTATATTTACATTCATTTTATAAATGAGGCACAAATTGGACAGAAAGGAAGGAAAGGCCTCAGTTTCTAACTTTGAAATAAGTCTCTGTGTTATTGTGTCATTCTTAGAAATTAAACAGAACAATTCACTTAACCATGTAAATGTAGCATGTGTAAATTAAAGTAACTAGTTAAATCAAATATTCTTACAGTATATGGTCTTCTTACATTGCATTATATCCATCAGTAAACACCTGTGTCACATAGGGTGGCAGGTAGCTTAGTGGGTAAGAGCGTTGTGCCAGTAATCGAAAGGTTGCTGGTTCTAATCCCCGAGCCGACTAGGTGAAAAATCTGTCGATGTGCCCTTAAGCAAGGCACTTAACCCTAATTGCTCCTGTAAGTCGCTCTGGATAAGAGCGTCTAGTAAAATACATATACACTGAGTATACCAAACATTAGGAGCACTTTCCTAATATTGAGTTGAACACCCACCCTTTTGCACTCAGAACAGCCTCAATTCGTCAGGGCATGGACTCTACAAGGTGTCGAAAGCGTTCCACAGGAATGCTGGCCCATGTTGACTCCAATGCTTCCCACAGTTGTGTCAAGCTGTCTGGATGTCCTTTGGGTGGTGGACCATTCTTGATACACAAGGGAAACCGTTGAGTGTGAAAAACCCAGCAGCGTTGCAGTTCTTGACACAAACCAATGCGCCTGGCACCTACTACCGTACTCTGTTCAAAGGCACTTCCAATTTTTGTCTTGCCCATTCACCCTCTGAATGGCACACATACACAATCCGTGTCTCAATTGTCTGAATGCTTAAAAATACTTATTTAACCTGTCTCCTCCCCTTCATCTACACTGATTGAAGTGGATTTAACAAGTGACATCAATAAGGGATCATAGCTTTCACCTGGATTCACCTGGTCAGTCTATGTCATGGAAGGAGCACGTGTTCTTAATGTTTTGTATACTCAGTGTACATCACCATACAGTGAGATACAAGAAAGACAAGAATTCTGCAGGGTATAGGTGATCTGCAGCGTCCTCCTAAGGTAGTGTGTAAAGACTAAGGTATGAATAAGGTTGAAGGCTAAAACAGAGATCTAGCTTCTTCATTTTGTTCTAACATAACAAAGCCCACAAAAGCCCACAGCAGACTTGTTGAATTAATTTCACAACTGCTTCGCCACAAACTGTTCGAGGCTTTTGGTATTATGAAAAATCAAATTCACACATGTATATCACACATAACAAGAAATGGTTAAGCTTTAACACAAAACACAGGATGAAATATTTATCAAAAAGGATGACGTGATATCAAGACGATACCATTTTCAGTCATCTACTGCTAAAAAGACTAATAAATAAGATAAGTAAGAGTAAGAAGTAAGTGAATAAATGAGCAAGACATCTTAGCTCTCAATGATATGAAGACGATGATGATGTGTCCTGTAACCTGTGACCAGGTTAAGAGAGGGGGAGGGCCTTGCCTTGCCCCCCTAACTGGGGAGGTATCGTTTGTTTTCCCCAGGGAATGGAAAATCTGGGACGGAGTTGAAATGTCCCGTGAGGAAGATGGCGACCGTTCCGATGGAGAAGAGGGCCATAGCCACCCAGAAACAAACCTTGTCAATCATCTTCCCGATCAATACCCAGCTCTCCATTTCCTATGGGACAGTTAACGGTGAGTCAGAAGGGGGTAGAAGTGGGGAGATAATAACCCACAATGTTCTATCAAGATTTCTCAACTCTCAGCTCATCATAGGCCAGTATTCACAAAGTGTCTCAGAGAAGGCCTTTTAATCCTTTATTTTATCACGAATAAATCCGGATCAGCACTCTTTGTGAATACGGCCTTGAACTGGTTGAATTTAGATTAAATTGACCCAAACCCTGATGGACAGGTATACACCTACATCCCCAGAGTAAAATCAATACTTACTGATCCAATGTCATTTGCTTGCTTTGTGCTCTCAGTGATAAAGTTACAAGCGTCCACACATTCCTTGATCTCAGGAGCAGCTTGGGCGAGGCTCTTGTACAGGCTGGCTGTGGTGCTCACATCAATACCATCCACTAGAGGGTAGCAGAGACACATCAATACCATCCACTAGAGGGTAGCAGAGACATATCAATACCATCCACTAGAGGGTAGCAGAGACACATCAATACCATCCACTAGACGGTAGCAGAGACACATCAATACCATCCACTAGAGGGTAGCAGAGACACATCAATACCATCCACTAGAGGGTAGCAGAGACACATCAATACCATCCACTAGGGAAGAAGAGACATCAATACCATCCACTAGGGAAGCAGAGACACATCAATACCATCCACTAGAGGGCAGCAGAGACACATCAATACCACCCACTAGGGAAGCAGAGACACATCAATACCATCCACTAGAGGGTAGCAGAGACACATCAATACCATCCACTAGGGAAGCAGAGACACATCAATACCATCCACTAGGGAAGCAGACACATCAATACCATCCACTAGGGAAGCAGAGACACATCAATACCATCCACTAGGGAAGCAGACACATCAATACCATCCACTAGAGGGTAGCAGAGATACATCAATACCATCCACTAGAGGGTAGCAGAGATACATCAATACCATGACTAGAGGGTAACAGAGACACATCAATACCATCAACTAGATGGTAGCAGAGACACATACAGTTACCTAAAGGTACACTGATGATGGACCACAGTGCTAATCTTGATCCAATCTCCTTTTCCCATTGATTTTGATACTTATTTACAATATCAAATACAACCTAAATGCTTTTTAAAACCAATTCAAATTAAGCCAGACATCTATTCAGAAAAGTGGCTTGCTGGATAATGCACATACATTCCCCTCTGTATTTATTTGGATATCGAGGCTCAAACTTTTAATTTAGTTCTATACTCCAGCAGTACAGAATGTCACCTTTTATTTGAGGGTATTTTCATACATATCTGTTTAACCGTTTAGAAATGAAAGCACTTTATGTATCTAGCCCCCCCCCCATTTGAATGTGTCATATTTGGACAAATTCATTTGTATTAAAGTAGTAAAAAACTTTAGTATTTGGTCTCATATTCCTAGCATACAATGACTACATCAAGCTTGTGACTCTACAAACTTGTTGGAGGCATTTGCAGTTTGTTCAGCTTGTGTTTCGGATTATCTTGTGCCCAATTGAAATGCATGGTAAATAATGTATTATGTCATTTTGGAGTCACTTTTATTGTAAATAAGAATATAATATGTTTCTAAACACTTTTAGAATTATGTGGATGCTACCATGATTACAGATAACCATGAATAATTTGTGAATAATGATAAATGTGAAAAATGTTCAGAGGCACAAAGATCATACCCCCAAAACATGCTAACCTCTCACCATTACCAATAACAGAGGAGGTTAGCATTTTTGGTGGGGGTATGATATTTATGCCTCTGTAACTTTCTCACTCATCATTATTCACGATTCAACATAATCCCAAACAAAATAAACTGTAAATGCATCCAACAAGTTTGTAGAGTCACATGCTTGATGTAGTCATTGCGTGCTAGGAATATGGGACCAAATACTAAACTTAATACACTATAAGTGAATTTGTCCAAATACTTATGACACCTTCAAATGGGGTGACTAGATACATAAAGTGCTTTCATTTCTAAATGGTAAAACAGATACAGTATGTACAAAAATACCCTAAAATAAAAGGTGACATTCTGTACTGTCGCCTCAAATAAAACATTTGATCTCAAATCCAAAATGCTGGAGTATAGAGCCAAATTAAAAGTTTTAGCTTCATTGTCCAAATAAATACAGATGGGAGTGTAACTACTATTTACTACTACATCTGAAAGGTTGTTAATCAGAAAGGAGACTGTCAAATGTTGATAAACTGTGAATTGCCCCATGCGCTACCCTTTGCTCCCTAGCGGTATCTCTTTCCTTAATCTTACCAAATGATCGTGTGAGGCCATGCCTCTCTCTCTGTTTGTCAAACATCATCTCGCTGCGTGGTTGTTTTAGCACATACTCCTCCGCTCTCTGCATCAGGCCGAACGAGCTACGCCGTCGCTCCCTCACTCCATTCACCTCCGCCTCTGCCTCTCCATCATCCACCAGAGGGTCCATGCCCAGGAATCGAGGGACAAGCTCCAGGAAGACCTGAACAGAGGAGAGGAAAGGTGGAATAGGTATTAGTTTGGCAAGAAAAAAGTTGAATATTCGTTCTGATAAAGTAGCATTTTATCATATCGTATTGTATTGTTTCTTAATACAGATGACATTTACTTTGTCCATTCTATGTTTGTTTGGGCTAGTGTTACAGGGGCCTTGATTTCAGTTTTGATTTTGCATTTCTCCCGTGTTATTATACAGTTACTGTATACATACGTGTTTGATAGTGGGGGACATGGTGTGAGTATTGGGACTGCGGAGGGAGATGTTGAGCACCACGATTTGGTTGGTGGCGATAAGCGTTGTCACAGACATGACAAAGATCAGGTACCTGGGAAGAGAAGAACAGACAGATGTGGATGGAGAGGGGGTTGGGCTCTTATGGAGTTACAGATATACTGTATATGGAGGAAGGCAGTAAGAAAGAGACTGGAGAAAATTCTTACTCACTTGCCAATGAGAGGGACATTGAGAGATGTCTCAGGGACCTTCTGAGCAATAAGAAAGAGGAAGACAGTCTGAGCCAGCAGGACAGAGATGGACACAGTTAACTTCTGTCCCCCAGCTGTGAAGGGGACAATGGAGAGTCAGAGGGGTACAGAGGGGAGTGCAGTGCTTTTCCCATCATCATCCTCATAGATGACAACAGACATAATATATTGTACTCTAGCAATTCCAGACATAACATGAGAGTGCTCAAGTGCTTCCAAATGCTTCCAAGTGCTTTAGTTGGGATGCAGTAACCTATTGACATTGTCTTGCACAGGCAAACTGAGTCCAACTAAAGTCCAACAACATACAGTGCATTCTCTAATTTGAAACTCAAAACCATTAAATCTATGTTAGAGCATTTCTTAAATAGAAATTATTTGAAATAATAGTCAATATACAAAGCAACACAAGTAACAATAGCAGACAACTGCTAACTTCAGTTGTTGATGGCATACTGCATCATCTTCCTGTTTCATTAACCCTAAGTTACACCCTTACACCACTGACCAATCAGCAGCAGCGTTGCCACTGACCCTGTGCAGGTAGGAAGTAGGCCAGGACGACCAGGGAGGAGATAAGTGAGCAGGGCAGAATGATGTTGATGATGTAGAACAGAGGTTTCCTCTGGATAACCAGGTTGAAGGAGATTTCCTGGTACTCCAGGTCATCAGGAGTGTAGCGTGAGTTGATCAGCTTCCTGGCTGGCCGGTGCTTTATGGCCCACTCACCGTTCTCTAACAGGGTGGAAACAAAGACACTGGGATGAGTAGAAGCCATTTCATTAGGATTGGACCTGTTGACAGGTTGTGTCAGTTGTTTGCAGATAGGTGTAGGCCTACAGATTGATTTTGAGGAACTACAAAGTTTCATATACAGCATTTGTGTCACACATGCAGGACCTGAGTACTAGTATAAAACTATCAAAGGGGTTTTGAAATATAATTTATTCAAATCCATATAAACAAAACATTGCAACATTAGTGTGTGTATACCAGTGAAGGCCTCAGGATCAATGTCCACCCACTCAATGGGCTGTTCAGTCTCCGCGTCAACAGCCAGTATGATTTCCAACTCATTTGCACTGTATGTCTGGGACCTAAAGACTAAAGTGCAGTTCTGGTAGTCAAAGGGGAAGTAGGTGATCTCTATGGCACATGTACTGCGGTAGATAGCTGGAGGCAGCCAGTACATATAGCCACTGGAGTAGATTAACACATTGGCATAGTAGGCCACATCAAACTTGCCATCAATGCTGCAGAGGAGGGGGAAGAGAGGAGGGGGGACAGAGGAGGGGGAAGAGAGGAGGTGGAAGGAAAGGGTAGAGAGTGCGATGAAACGCGTTCAAGAGTTTATTGGTCAAAACAAAACAGAGCCACAGATGGGGGGAAATCAGAATGAGGAACAAAGTCAAAGGAAAAGAAGATGAAAGCCCTCCTCTACTGGCTCACTTGTTCTCAAGGACAATGTCAGGGAGCCACACTGTGTTATAAGGCACACGGATAACCTCGATGCCAAAATACTCAGAGGTGTTCCAGGCCAGGCGAATATCGTTCCATTGCTGCGGGAGGGAGCGGAGGGTGTCGGCAGAGGAGAGAGAGTGGGAGGATCAGATGGAAATAAAAGACAGACAGATAGAAAGAAATCAGGTCAAAGTAGGAGAAAATAAAAAAACTGAAATAATCTAGTCAAAGAAGTACGCAGGAACCACATGAGAAATTAATTGAGAAGATACAGTATATAAAAAAATAGGTCCACAATGAGAGAAACACTCACAATCTCAATCCAGACATTAGTCGTGAGAGTCTCTTCCTTTTCGTTCTGTAACAGAGGATATATACATGATGGTCTGATGCAAACATTTGTCTATTTTATTTGGGTAGCCTACATAACCTTACAGGAATAAATGTGGAGGTGCAGTGACATTGTGAAAGGGTAGTTGGTAACTGTGGCAGCTCTATGGGATTATGCTGGGCAGTTTGATATGTGATAGTACTGTAGTGCACCCGGCATGGTTGAAGCATAGGACTGTTTAGATGGTAATGCGTATGAAATGTTGTTGGGTTGCAGCAGGTGTGTAATGTGTGTGTGTAATATGTTTGGTATGTATTGTGTGTTGTTATATGGAATTGTTATGTTGCAGCAGTAAGTCAAGTCAAGTTTATTTGCATATGCACAGCAGAGGAGGCTGGTGGAAGGAGCTATAGGAGGACGGGCTCATCGTAATGGCTGGAATGGAGTAAATGGAATAGAGTCGAACATGTGTTTTCCATATGTTTGATGTGTTCCATTTATTCCATTCCAGACTTTATAATGAGCCCCTCCTATAGCTCCTCCAACCAGCCTCCTCTGATGCACAGGATACACAAGGTAAACAGGACAATGAAATGCTTCCTGAAATGCGTAATGTGTGTAATGTGTGTGTGTAATATGTGTTGTATGGTGTTATGCTGCATCAGGTGTGAACTGTCTCTCACCAGGGAGATGAGGTTGGTGAGAATCAGCTTGACCTGCACCGCCACCTTGTCAGTGGGGTGCGCTGCTGGACGGATGTTCTTGTTGTAGCCTCTGAACAGGTCCCCGATCAGCTTAGACTCCTCATTACAACTCACTGCACCAGGCAGGGGGCGAGGGCGAGAGAGAGAGCGAGAGCACACAGCAGAGTGCAATGGCATTATATGATGAGAGATGGGTGGAGTAAAACCCATAGGGAATACAACACATAACATTTCAAAGGACCCATAACACTTAAAATGCAAAATGACCTTAAATAGTCAGTGACCGATTGCTTTGCTAAAATCACCCAATGAACCCTTTTCAATTTACATGTTTGGCATTTAGGCATGTCAACCCTAACATCAAAAGTTGTAACAATGTTCGTGAAAGTTTTCACAGCGCCTATACAAACAAGAACATGACATCTGCTTCCCAGGAACAATAATAACAACCCCATTGTGTCGTAATGATTCAAAGAAACACCAAAACAACAGGCGCACACACATTTGGCATGGAGACAGAGATTAATAGTCTACACACCGAGAGGTGCCATTGCCAAGAGCCGTGATCCTGACCATGAAAAAAACAATCAATATACGCACTTACCTGGTACTGTCACACCCCAGAGTAGGCCTACAGTTGCAATCAAACACGTCCAAAAGGATTGCGTTGCCATCGCAAAGTTCATTGCTCTTTACGCACAGTTCCAGATTTGAGTGAAGTACAAATTGAAAGAAAGAGAAAGCGAGAGGTTATTTCCGAATGGCTCGTCGTCTCTCTTATCCCGCTCCTCCAGCTGTCGCTACCCGCGGCTCGGGTTACATAGCAGCCGAGAAGCGCTAAACTTGGTCTTAAAGTCACACTCGTTCATCATAATAATCATTATTATTATACTATGGGGTGGTTATGACAATGCTCCGATTATGAAGAGGACCTTTTCTGCTTGATATGTCAGCGAGTTTCAAACTAGTAATAGCCCACAACATTCTGAAAGTAGGCTGGAATGGAATAGTGTCCATTTACAAAGTAGCCTATCTCTGTTTTACAAATATTGCATCTATAGGCCCAATATGCCAAGACCACAACTGACCATTTTTGAAAACGTGTGTGTGTGAGGGCGTGCGTGTGTCGACGCTACTCGTGAGCAAGGTGAACAGGTGACAGGGATCCAGTTTGGAAGCTGCTCCATTGCACTGCCCCCACTCTCTACCGGGGGAGGGTATAAATAAATAGCGTCTATGCTGTGCTCCTTGCTGTTTGCACTGCGGGGCTCCAGTGAAACGGGTCAATCTCGGGGGGATTGGGGTGGGGAGGGAAGGAAAGGGAAGATTTTGTCATGATGACGGCTGGGCATAGACGATAGACAGGAAGGGGTCTCGTTAATATGATTTATGTACCAGGACATGTGTGTGTGTGTGTGTTCAGATTGGAGACGCCGGATGCGCCTGTTAAATTCATTTGAGTGACCAAACCCTAGCTAGTTGGCAGCAGTGCACGCGCTGCAGTGAATATGTGCGCAAAATGCAGTGGAGAGGTAAGAATCCAATCATCAGCATATCAGCATACAATTGTCGTTGGTATTTGATACGACGTCAACCAACGCTAATGAACATTTCCATGGAATAAATCAAATAAAGGCCTAATGAACATTTATTGTCGATACCGGGAGGTATTAACCGATATTTGTTGTAGCTTTTGGTCAATTCGATTTTTTTCCTTCAAATTTTATCATGCAGCTGCCTGGATGTAAAGAAACTGTTGGTGAAGTTGTCTATGTTAAAACAACAAGGATATAATCTATGCCTTGTATAATGTGTTCGGTGTGAATTCCGCCGTCTTCGAAGTGCCTCTAAAAATACATTAGTGAAACGAAACCTCTGTGTCTGGGAGACCGATACGTATCTCACGGTCGCAGAGTTCACAAATTCAAGCCACAGAGCAGGACACATGTCCCACATAACATATACTATTATCATGCACACCTTCCTCAATGTTACAACAGTCTAAACTATATTTACACTTTGATTGCCCCCCAAAGCAATGTACACATGCACACGCAAACGCACATGCACGCACACACACTCACACACACCACATCAACACTTAAGACTTATCTCAGTTGGTGTTTTCGGCTAAGTAGTAGGCTAAATTCTTCACATGACCCACCCCTCCTTCCCTACATCCTTCCCTAATGAATGCCCTTGTTTTCACTTTTCCCTCCTCCAACAAATACACAATTATGCATCCCCCCTCTTCTCCTGAGCACACGAGTGTGATTAGTATGTGTCTCTGCCCGTCCTCCACCCCAACAAAAGCACAGCCACTGATAATAACATATACATTTACATCATTTAGCAGACGCTCTTATCCAGAGCGACTTACAAATTGGCCAAAGTCTATCAGTAATGGTGATAATGGAGGAACACGTACAGTATTTCCCCTATACCCCAGTAGTTTATCAACCCATACATCTCAGATGTGGCCTACTATCTACAGAATGTGTCATCAGGTTTTGTCAGGATATATCTGACGTCAACGTACTTCAAGATACTACCTCAATTACCTCGAATAACCGGTGCCCCCCCACATTGACTAGGCACCGGAACCCCCTGAATATAGCCTCGCTATTGTTATTTTACTGCTGCTCTTTAATTATTTGTTACTTTAATTTCTTTTTTTTTGTACTTAATGTTTTTATTTTTGGGGGGTATTCTTTCTTAAAATTGCATTGTTGTTTAAGGGCTTGTAAGTAAGCAATTCACTGTAAGGTCTACATCTGTTGTATTCCGCGCATGTGACAAATACAATTTGATTAGATTTTATTAGATTTTGTAGGTCTACAGCCAATCACAGCATTTATAATGTTAGTCACATCGGCAATGGTGTTGTGAAATAGCTTTTTGTATGTCTTTGTATCTTTTTCAAATACTGCCTCTGTTTCAACTGTTGGTGGCTTAGCTCCTTCTAAATGTTTCTTTCAGAAGATCTCTTTGTGAGGACCAGATTGAGCTCTTCCATAAATTGAGATTGCTTAGCTTCCCATTGACATAAAGGGGCATGGCAGACTTTGTGGAGTTATTGATTGACAAGCTCAGTTGGCAAACTCATTGGCAAATTCTGCAATTTAATAAATTGCAGGAAAACCCCACTGCAGGTCCACTGAAAATGTTAATTATTTACTGAACTGTGATTCTGTGGTCATTTTGTTCTCTTACACTACCTCCCCTCTGATATATAAACACGCTGTTAGACATTTGGTAAGCCTGGATGTGGAACTGTGTTTTTACAGGGGGTGATTAAAGAAAATGATTTGTTGTATTAGCTGGTGTAGAGAATGGGTATTGCTTCGGTGGGACAGATCACACTTGCTTAATCAGCTAGCGGCTGACTAACTCAGCTCATTTCTGGAATCTTACATTGATCAACAAAGCTGAAGACTGACACAGAGTTTGGCAAATAAAAGAGGGAGCCATAAAAGGAGAAGGACTGAAACAAAGTGAAAGAAGGACAGAGCATAGATAAAGAGAGCAGGACCAGGACGGTTGGGTTTGAAATAGAAAACAGAAAACAGAAACAGAACAAAAGGAGAAAGTTAAAGATTGATAAAACTATTGAGGCACGACGGCATAGAGAAAGCATATTTTGTCAGGTGGTTTGAGGGGTAGGGTGACAATAAAATAACAATAATGAGGCTATAAACAGTGGGGAGAACAAGTATTTGATACACTGCCGATTTTGCAGGTTTTCCTACTTACAAAGCATGTAGAGGTCTGTAATTTTTATCATAGGTACACTTCAACTGTGAGAGACTGAATCTAAAACAAAAATCTAGAAAATCACATTGTATGATTTTTAAGTAATTAATTTGCATTTTATTGCATGACATAAGTATTTGATCACCTACCAACCAGTAAGAATTCCGGCTCTCACAGACCTGTTAGTTTTTCTTTAAGAAGCCCTACTGTTCTCCACTCATTACCTGTATTAACTGCACCTGTTTGAACTCGTTACCTGTATAAAAGACACCTGTCCACACACTCAATCAAACAGACTCCAACCTCTCCACAATGGCCAAGACCAGAGAGCTGTGTAAGGACATCAGGGATAAAATTGTAGACCTGCACAAGGCTGGGATGGGCTACAGGACAATGGGCAAGCAGCTTGGTGAGAAGGCAACAACTGTTGGCGCAACTATTAGAAAATGGAAGAAGTTCAAGATGACGGTCAATCACCCTCGGTCTGGGGCTCCATGCAAGATCTCACCTCGTGGGGCATCAATGATCATGAGGAAGGTGAGGGATCAGCCCAGAACTACACGGCAGGACCTGGTCAATGACCTGAAGAGAGCTGGGACCACAGTCTCAAAGAAAACCATTAGTAACACACTACGCCGTCATGGATTAAAATCCTGCAGCGCACGCAAGGTCCCCCTGCTCAAGCCAGCGCATGTCCAGGCCCATCTGAAGTTTGCCAATGACCATCTGGATGATCCAGAGGAGGAATGGGAGAAGGTCATGTGGTCTGATGAGACAAAAATAGAGCTTTTTGGTCTAAACTCCACTCGCTGTGTTTGGAGGAAGAAGAAGGATGAGTACAACCCTAAGAACACCATCCCAACCGTGAAGCATGGAGGTGGAAACATCATTCTTTGGGGATGCTTTTCTGCAAAGGGGACAGGACGACTGCACCGTATTGAGGGGAGGATGGATGGGGCCATGTATCGCGAGATCTTGGCCAACAACCTCCTTCCCTCAGTAAGAGCATTGAAGATGGGTCGTGGCTGGGTCTTCCAGCATGACAACGACCCGAAACACACAGCCAGGGCAACTAAGGAGTGGCTCCGTAAGAAGCATCTCAAGGTCCTGGAGTGGCCTAGCCAGTCTCCAGACCTGAACCCAATAGATTGTATTGTATTGCCCAGCGACAGCCCCGAAACCTGAAGGATCTGGAGAAGGTCTGTATGGAGGAGTGGGCCAAAATCCCTGCTGCAGTGTGTGCAAACCTTGTCAAGACCTACAGGAAACATATGATCTCTGTAATTGCAAACAAAGGTTTCTGTACCAAATATTAAGTTTAGCTTTGCTGATGTATCAAATACTTATGTCATGCAATAAATGCAAATTAATTACTTAAAAATCATACAATGTGATTTTCTGGATTTTTGTTTTAGATTCCGTCTCTCACAGTTGAAGTGTACCTATGATAAAAAATTACAGACATCTACATGCTTTGTAAGTAGGAAAACCTGCAAAATCAGCAGTGTATCAAATACTTGTTCTCCCCACTGTACAGGGGGTCAATGTGTGGGGGTACAGGTTAGTCGAGGTAATTTGTACATGTAGGTAGGGGTAAAGTGACTATGCATAGAGAGTAAACAGCGAGTAGCAGCAGTGTAAAAACAAATGGGGTAGGGGGTGTCAATGCAAATAGTCCGGGTGGCCATTTGATTAATTATTCAGCAGTCTTATGGCTTGGGGGTTGAAGCTGTTAAGGAGCTTTTTGGACCTAGACTTGGCGCTCTGGAACCGCTTGCCATGCAGTAGCAGAGAGAACAGTCTATGACTTGGGTGACTGGAGTCTTTGACAATTTTTTGGGCCTTCCTCTAAAGGGGCCAATAGAGAGACCGAAACAGACACAGAGTGGGGGGACCAGTGAACTCACTCGCATGAGGAAATGGCAGCGGTATGGATAGATAGAGGCTGGCAGGCATTGTGGCATATTCAGTGGGAGAGGGGAGAGAAAGAGGGCCAGGCTGACTCTCACAGCCGTGTGTGAGCATGGGGGTAAAGGGCAAGGCTGCTGTGGCCACCGTGGTTCTACTGCTCTTCCTCGGCTCCATGTGGCTCCTTGAGTAACATATCTGTCTCAAGCCGACACTGAGGGGAGGCTGTGTGTGTGGCTGAGCACGTGTCCGGTATAGTAAACATTCCATGAGTTAGCCAGCCTATGTAATGTAGCTTTATTGATTTACACATGCCTCACTTGTTTGGAATGTATAGAATAATATCACATTGTGCCTGCTGACCTAGGAATCTCTAGACATTTTTATTTCCTCTTGTGGTGGTTAGGTTGCTGGTTAGGCTGGGTCCACACCACCACATCCTGCTACTCTACACAATAATCAGGGCAAGCTTTGCCTCTTTTCTAACTTCATCCAGCACCGTAACCTTAGTTGCAGTGAGGAAAACATACACTTAACAAAGATATTAGAATAGAGAAGGAGATAGGAGTGAAGCACAAATAAACATTCAATTTACAAGCAGTTAACTGCTGTTCATGCTGCAAGGATGTGTACTGTCAATTGAAAATGTGTCATACACAAGTTTGCAATAATCCATTTGATCTTGAATCTTATTTAGATCAAAAGGGTGGCCGGCCTATTGTCATGCGTCTCCCATTATCACAGATGTCAGTCTCATGATATGAGACGGAATGTATGAGTGATCTAATAAGCCTTTATTACCCCCATCAAGTACACATTGTCACTGAGGTCATGACAGTGTATGATAGCTTGGTAGAATGGTCAGAAAGAAGGACATAGTCTTATAATGTTATAATTATAAATCATGTCTGTCTAACAGGTTTCCTCACTATTCTGAAGGATTAGGTGTTTTGGTTGCACTTTATTTTACAGTTCAGAAATGAACAGGTATTAATTTAGAAATGACATTATTAATTGTAATTACCGTGTGCTAATTATATTGTGACATTCGGGCAGGCTACTATTTTTTTCACTGGATTGCCTATTTGTGCATGCGCTTGTCTGTGCATAAAACATTTTTATGGGCCTAATAGTAAAGACGTATTTTAACTGTAAAAATGTAGTACCTTTATCGGCTGTCCCCATAGGAGAACCCTTACTACTTGGAACCAAAAGGGTTCTACCTGCAACGGTTATTCAAAGGGTTCTCCTATGGGGACAGCTAAAGAACCTTTTAAGGTTCTAGATATCACCTTTTTTTCTAAGAGTGTATGCAATCATTAGATATCGGAATGTTGTTATTTGGTTGGGTTGTCAACTAAACACAGTTCAATATTACTTTTGTAATATAGTAAATAGGCTAAAGTTAAGGCTATCTTACAAAGTAATGTAACAGTATTTATTTAACCTTGCAACGCCAGGGTTGTGAGTTCGATTCCCACGGGGGCCAGTATGAAAAATTTATGCACTCACTAACTGTAAGTCGCTCTGGATAAGAGCGTCTGCTAAATGACTAAAATGTAAAATGTAAATGTAACACATCCATGGCCTCATTTTGAGTTAGTCTACAGTAACGATAAATGTATTCTAATGTAATCATAGACAGTGTGCATGTTCAAGATAGCATGCAAAGGTCACAGGTCTGTGGAGATCTTCATAATTGCTGTGATAATATGCACAGAATCTTGAACAGCATTGATCACTTGCACTATGTACTTTTAATGTAATCTCAACTACAATCCAGGTCATTTGGTTGCGCTATTAGATTAAGCACAGTGATAACACAGTAGCCCTTTCCTGCAGTCAAATGACCTAATGGCCTCATGGGTGGAATGTTATTAATTTTTTTCGTAATTCCATAATTAATAAACATAATTATTTTTTAAATGCAGAAGATCCGGTGTTTCTATGTCAAACGGTTTTGTTATATTTCAGTCTTCTGTGATGTATATAAAGTGTAATATTGGGATGCAAACTCAAAATGTTATACATTTCAACTCTATACCTGACATGGTACAGATGTCTTCTTTTTTTTAAGCCCATAATCATGTGTGAGGTGTATACTTTTGTTTCAAAGTAGATTTGTTTAAGACTACCAATAAACACTCTGTGTGACCCTGATTTAGCCCACTGCAGTAAAATATTGTATTCCCATTTGAACTTTGTTGTGCTTTTAAATGGTTAAAAGCGCAGTGATAACACATTTAGATGACAACTAAACCAAAAATCAGACATTGTTTTTCCATTGGAATTTGGTTGTGCTATTAGATGGGTGAAAGCATAGTGATAACACATCAGAAATTCAACATACTTCTGGCTGTCTTTTTGAGTTGGTGAATAAAGTTTGAAATGTCATTGATCAACATCTCAACCAAATATTACCCTAATTTCAACGTTGAAATTACGTGGTGTGCCCAGTGGTGAGTAAAAACATTGTAGCTTACTCTTAGAAGTCTTCTTTCTCTTTACAGATGGACATTTGGATTACCAATGGGATTATTGTCTTACATTTTACAATTAGATAAACAGGGTAAATCAACGAGAGACAGAGAAGTATGGTGAAATACAATTAAAACAATTCTAAACTTATTTGTACAGCTGGATTTTATATGAATGGATTCAATAGGGATAACCAAATGTACTCAAATTAATCTATTGGTCTCTTTTTTCTCTCTTTCCCCCTCCCTCTCCATCACCCGTCAGGCAGGACACACACACACACACACACACACACACCAGATCCCAGCCTGGCTGAGTAAAAGGGACATTCACATCCACTTGGATGAACCAGGGTGAATGAACTCAAATGGATGGGGGCTGTGGGAGTGGTGGATTATTTGGGCTCTGTGTGGTTGTTGTTTGGTTCTCTCCTCTTCCTATTCCTCCCTCTGTGACAGGTTCATGGAGACTCTTGGTCTGATGGTTGGACTAATATCTCAGGAGATTGAAACCAAAACCTCCATCATCCGCGACCTGGCCCTGCGGGAGGCAACTAGCAGCCGGGGCCTGGTGGACTTCCAGCAGATGACAGACTCCGGGTCTCGTACTCTGCTCCGGCTGCACCGGGCCCTGCTGTGGCTGCAGGGCTTCCTGGAGAAGCTGGCGGAGGGGCCTGTGGGCAGCTAGCTGCGGAGCACCTCTGAGCTCTGCCTTGAAGCCTATCAGCACACCATGGCCCACCACCACTCCTGGTTCGTACCCAGGGCAGCAGAAATAGCCTTCATCTCCATGCCTGAGCGGGGTGTGTGTGATGAACCAGGAGATGGCCAGGATGGTGCTGAACAGGGTGGTCCGGGCCATCGGAGAGGTGTATGACAGAACTCAGAGGGCCCGGGAGGAGCATGGCATGCTGGACCTGCCGTAGGAGAAGGGGGGGGGGGGGGGGGGTTCTGTTCCTGAGAGACCAGCCACATCTGGACATTACAGTAATACTCTTTTCACACTACTGAGTCGAACCAAGCTGAGCTGTACTGCGCTGGCATGGTTACGCATCCACAACAGAGGTTGAAATCATGCTGGATTGGACCATGTGAAAATAAAATAGAGCCAGCACAGTATGGTTCGGGTCAGCACAATAGTGGGAACTAGGTATTACAGTCTATCCCCTGGTGCCTTGTTTCATATGCTGTACTATCAACACACCATCTACTATCAGGTTAAAGTTCACAAGCAAGAATAATGAGCTGCTCAAGTAGTCATGAGTGAGTGATCCTAACATAATATGCCATTTAGCAGACGCTTTTATCCAAAGCGACTTACAGTCATGCGTGCATACATTTTTGTGTATGGGTGGTCCCGGGGATCGAACCCACTACCTTGGCGTTACAAGCGCCGTGCTCTACCAGCTGAGCTACAGAGGACCACTAACATAACATAGTTAACCAAATTGTATTAAGGGCCATATGACCACAGGGGCCATATGACCAAAGTGCAGGTAAAAACAATCAACTAAAGCTAAACTTCGTCTTCATTGTACAATTGATAAGTCATTGTCATGTCACTGTTTGTGTGAGATCATGTAATGGACTTTTTTACACTGTTGGAAGACAGGAGACCATATGAATTATATCTGGTTGAAAAACAAGTCTAACTTATTAGGTACTGTTGTAAATTAGGATGATGCTGCCAATGTAATTCCATAGGTCAGTGATTGTTGTGAGTGACTGATATGTTGATGCGTAATTCGGCATTGCCATCGTTGAATCTGAGGCCAATCCCAAGGCAAAGGACTTTATCCATGCCCGACACTGTCATTATGTAATTTTGAATATTTTCTAGGGCTGCTGTACACATCAGATGGACATTATTGATCACAATGTAGTGATTCACTAGGATCTTAGCTACTGTTGTTGTCATGGTTTAAGTACGTTTAAGCATTCCTACAAATTTTACACAGTACAAATAATATTTTTGATATGTTAAAATGTTCTAAACGAATCTCTGGCTTGAAAAAATGAAGCAATCACACAATGATACGCAGTGGTGTAAAGTACTTAGGTAAAAATACTTTTAAATACTACTTAAGTAGTTTTGGGGGTATCTGTAGTGTACTTTACTATTTATATTTTTGACTACTTTTACTTTTACTTCACTACATTGCTAAAGACAATAATGTATTTTTTACTCCATACATTTTCCCTGACACCCAAAAGTACTCGTTACATTTTGAATGCTTAGCCGGACAGGAAAATGGTCCAATTCACACACTTACGAAGAAAACATCTCCGGTCATCTCTGCTGCCTCTGATCTGCCGGACTCACTAAACACAAATGCTTAATTTGTAAATGATTGTTGAGTGTTGGCATGTGCCCCTTATACTTTTACTTTTGATACTTACGTATATTTAAAACCAAATACTTTTAGACATTTACTCAAGTAGTAAAATTACTGGTTGACTTTCACTTTTACTTTAGTCATTTTCTATTAAGGTATCTTTACAAAAATGTATGCACGTATGACTGTAAGTTGCTTTGGATAAAAGCGTCTGCTAAATGGCATATTATATTATTATTGTTATACTTTTGCTCAGGTATGACAATTAGGTACTTTTGATCTCCTGTTGCAGTACTGGACTATTTCCACTAGAGGTCATAGTGCTGTCCTACAGAAGCACAGCACTCTCACTGAACCCTGAATGCTTACAACAGTGAGTGACAAAGTCATTTAAATGAGCATTTGTGAAGTAATCACTTCTACCTCACAAGCACTCACCACTGCTTGGACACACATGCTGTGAATGGCATAATGCCACCATTTAAGAGATTTTTGAATGTAAGCTACAATTACTTTTTGACCTCAGAATATATATTTGGGAATTAACTGTAATTTAAAAAATATATTAATAACCACTAAGTGTCTGACTGTAATGTGATGGTTAGAAAAAATGAAAAATGCTCTTGAGATTGAATATGGAGACAGAAATATTGCTTTAGGCTGTTAATGGAAAGAGTCTGAACAATCATTCAGAGAAAATTAACTGTAGGTTAATGTGAAATGTGGACGCCTAAGCAGGATTGCAGAGCACCATGTGCATAAGTAGAAAGTACATGTAAATCACTGTCTGTGAGTCTCTCTGTGTGTGTGTATGTGTGTGTGTGTGTGTGTGTCTGTCTGTCTGTATGTGTGTGTGCGCGCGTGTGTGTGTGAGAGAGAGAGAGAGCTGTTGCATGCACAGTATATCAGCCACTTGCGTTACACTTGATCACACTATTTTAAACCCGCAAATACCTCTAATGCCATGTAATCCTTGCTCTCTCTCTGTTGTCCTCCACTGGATCCCATTCCCAGAAAGGATGAACGGAATGAGAGAAGCAAGGAGAGAGCCAAAGGGCATAGCGTAGAGGAGGAAGTGAGGGAGAGAGAGAGAGAGAGAGAGAGAGCGAGAGAGAGAGAGAGAGAGAGAGAGAGAGAGAGAGAATGTGAAGGGTGGTCAGAGTTGAGGTGAAGGTCAAAGACTGGGTGTCAAGTTCTGTTATAATCTTGTAAAGTGGTCAGGGTAGACGAGTCAGAACCACTATGACATTTTAACATCATGAAGCACTGTCCAATCTGAGAACAGAGTCAGAGTCTGACAGTCAGACTCTAGCACATTTACTTATCTTGTATATTTTATGAAAAAAGTGCTCAAATGTAGTGGTTTTGGTTAATTTGTTTCGAGGTTCATATTATACATTGTAACTTAGGTGATCTACAGTACAGGCCAATGTCTCCCATGAACGGTATTTATGCTCGGGGTACTTGGCTAGATGACATGTCCTGAGGTCAGGCTAGGTAGGTGGCCATCAACTGCCAGAGGAGAGCAGAGAGCAGGATACATAAGTGTTGAAGGAGATGCATAGGGATTATCATGGTGAATGAGATTACATTAGATTACATCCATCTGCCTGACGCTACCTCTTGACTCCACTGGTCCTTTACTTCCGCTTTCCCCACTAGGTTGAAAATAGAATGTTTCCCCAGAGCCTCACTTCATCTTTATACAAAACCAGTTTGGATCATCAAATAGTTTTGTTAGATTGCTGTTGACAGTACAGAACTCATTGTTGAAGTATCTGTCTATTGACTTGTGAATGATTCTGTTACAGCCCACATGAACCCATGGGGCGGTGCACAATTGGCCCAGCGTCGTCCAGGGTAGGGGAGGGAATGGCCGGCAGGGATGTAGCTCAGTTGGTAGAGCATGGCGTTTGCAACGCCAGGGTTGTGGGTTCGATTCCCACGGTGGGCCAGTATGAAAAAATAAATAAATAAATAATGTATGCACTCACTAACTGTAAGTCGCTCTGGACAAGAGTGTCTGCTAAATGACTAAAATGTAATGAACAAATACTATAATATACCATGGTATAAACACTATAGTATTCATTGTAGTGTTTTTTCAGACTATACTGTAGTTTACTGAAGTATTAACAGTTAGTTAATGAAAACTGTAGTATATACTATAATAATTAACATAGTGTTTTTACAGATTGTAGTATACTGTAGTATTTACTATAGTGTTTTTGCGGACTGTAGTATTTACAGTAGAGTTTTTGCAGACATTACTGTAGTATTTACTATAGTGTTTTTGCGGACAGTAGTATTTACAGTAGAGTTTTTGCAGACATTACTGTAGTATTTACTATAGTGTTTTGTTTTATTATCTTTAACATAGAAGTGGAGACTTCCTCCTTCAGGAAACCTACTAGAGAAATACTGCGGTCTGGGGTCTGAATGGCTAGTACTTCTTTTTTTTTATATATAACCTATAGGGAACACTATGTTCTATACTTGGCATGCAGGTTTCTCACTTATGGGTGGCACAAACTGCAATATGGGGGAGAGGAATGGGCAGGGTATATGCTAATTGAATACTGTAGTATTAAAAAAGTGTAGTGTTTTTGCGTACTGTAGGGTTTTTCAGACATTACTGTAGTATTTACTGTAGTATTCTACAGTATACTACACCATTCTACAGTAAGTACTACACATGATCGAGGGATACTACAGTGTGTAGTATAGTAAATGTATGTATGTAAATGTATTCTACAGTATACTACACTTTACTACAGAATTCTATATTAAGTACAGTAGTATTTTATAGTAAACTGTAAAGAAATGTCATGTGGGAGACGTCTCCTTTTACTCTGTCAAGTCTTAGAATAGATTAGCTTCCTCTTATGTCAGTGTTATGTTATCCTGTAGAGGGTATTCTATGTCTGACTGACTGACTGTGTGACTGAAGGAAGGAGGAGGGTAGACAGACACACTGAACTGAGACAATACAATTATATAAAATGATGAAAGGGAACGAAACAGACAATCTGGTTGTGTTTCCTTCAATCACGTTTATTGATTTCTCTATCATTTTTTACAATGAACAGGAGCAAAAAATATATATAAATACAATAACAGCAAAAAAAGATCCAAAGAGAATAGAATTATCAGCCATTTTCATTTTTGGGTGAGACTATCCCAATGTGTTTCAAAGGATTTCTGCCTTAGATTGTTTTGAATAAGCTGTCTGATTCAAGATTGTCTTTAATCAGGGATACAACTTTTTTATGTTCTTTTCAGGTTGGACCTTAGTGAAAAGCTGCGTCTTGCGTCTTCACAAGTGAGTTTGAAACAAATAGGTAGTTCACACTAGTTTGCCACATGCAGTGGTCACAGGCGAGTATTGTACTGTTTCAGTGTAGCTGATCAAACCAAGATGATACCCTTCTTCATCTCATCATACTGTGGCCCATATAAAGACATGCACAGTTCATCTGAAATAAATAGTGGAGCGTTCATCAGTGCAAACATTCAATACTGCAAGGTTGAAAACAAAATAGAAAAAGAAGGGGTTGGACTGAAAATAAACCAAAAAAAAGTTTTCTACATTCAACCATACTTGGTATGTGTTCAACCAGAGTCAAGAGTTTACAGCTCAAACACCTACCAGGTAGCACCCCTGTCTTATTACAATCCAAAGCTAATACATTATTTCCTCTTTACAACAAAATAACAATAAAAATACTTTATCTCTTTTGAAAACAAAACTGTTAAGTGTTTCTATTGTTCAATCTTGAAGATGTGCATTGGCAGACATATAACATTTGTGAACATAATATTTCCATGTTCTTTCTGTTTTCTTCCTCACTCTCTTGATGATTTATGTTACTATAAAGTTGTTACAGCCATTCCAATAATAAATACATCATCAGCAACACAGGAAATAAATATATTGCTTTTTTAAGACGTCTCCAAATTATCATATAAAAACAAATATATGGAGATAACATTAAATAACATTCGGCGATACTGGTGAACAACAAATCTGTCCACCAGGAGGCACTGTTGTCATTTAGTGAAACCTGCTCCTTCTGTGTGTAGCATTATCTAAGAATAGGACATCCTTCATCCTTCATAAATGAAACCCTTTCTCTTAGAGATCTGTGGTCTGTAGTTGCAGCATGATTATTTCATACTGTTAAAATGATAATGAATATCTTTGGTTGGAGGGAATGTGACAGGACTACTATTGTATGCAGAAAAGAAAAGCATTCATTTTACAATTGGAATATATCCACATACATGTATTTGCGTGGCTACACACATCATGGATACACACCATGGATACACATTTACTTGTAGATTGAATTGTGAATGGAATGGGCTCATGGGACAAAACATATTGTGATACAACATGGCAATACATGGGTCACATGGATAAAAACATGTTAATAATAATATAGACCTTAAAATAACTGTAGAACCAAGCACATACCGTAGTCATTCCTCACCTGACATATTTTAACAGAAAGGGTGGATGATTCTATATGTGTGTGTGTGTCTGTGTGTGTTTGTCTTTGTGTGGACAAAAGAGAGAAAGGGGGTGGTGTTGGGGGGGGGGGGGGGGGGGGGGGGGGAGTGGGGGTTGACACAAGAAAGAGGAACTACAAAGAGAGGATAAAGTAGAGTACCTGCTCTGGATTATCTGACCAGATTAAGAGATTACAGTGAAATCTCAGCATGCGAAGCAGACTGAGTGGAGCAGGAATGCTAACGAGGAAGTAGCACTGTTCACTCCATTGTTTCACAATGTCAAAAACAAAGACTATTGGTAGGCCACATGCAACATGCATGTTCAGCTTGGAGTGAATTGACTTTGTTCAGTCAATCATCAACGTGTATTATACAGCTATCAAACAAAACCGATTATTTATATAATGATTATTATTACACTGTCAAGTCTTGACGATGATGATATTACTGAGGCGCAACTTCAACCAAAATGAAGGAGAATGTATTGATATACACCTTATACTGACTGAGAGAAGAACAGGCCCTAAAAGTCAACCCAACCCTTAAACTGAGTGAACAGATGCTAGTGTTCTAAAAGTGTCGCTATGACGTCGTAGCAGGATCAGAGTCACATTGCCACAATGTCACAGCCAAGGTTCAGCAGCACTCGCTCAGATCCACAGATTCCTCAACTGATAGATGGGCTTTTCTCATTAGGTGTACCTAATCAAGGGCTGGATTCAATAAGTATTGCCGAAGTTTAGCGTTACGGATTGAATCCAGCCCCAAGTCAGCAGCACATCCAGGGCATCTGTGCGCCAGCACATTGACCATCATGCTAGAGCAAGTTCATAAATGCTCTTGCACATGCTCAACTGTAGGTGCTTTTAGATATAGTACAGCCTCCAACTACAAGGTTGGTTGGTCTGTTGCACCCTTTTTAAAGCAATGTAATGGCAGAGAATCCTACCAATATAAAAATAAATCAAACAAATGACCGTTATCACCAAACCAGCCTTCCAGACATTCTGGCCGATGTACTCAGAGAGGTTGGAGACAGCCTTCAAACTAAGATGCACTATTACAGCAGTAACATGTCATGTACAACTGATGAAGTTGGTCCGACATTTTTGAATATACATTTAAACAAACGTAGAAACAAAACAAACTCTCTCTATATTTTTCCTTCTCCACAGAACCATAAGCATCTCCTCTTCACAAGAAAAACACAAACCAGTGCAAATCAATACAAAATAGAAGAATGGCATCTCTTTCTGATATGTACAGGAGCATATCAATAGATGCGATGTACAAGCAAAAAGCTATGAACAAACAAACTAGCCCTACGCCTTGAGCTGTAGGAATACAGCTGTGAACATAAACCATGTAACAACGTAGTGTAAATTGATGTTATGGAAGCCTAATCCGATTTATGACTATGTGCAATTCAAGTGTTTATGACAAAATAGTCCTGTTTAATGTGTAGAATGTGCATGATGTGTCACTCTTAATGAATATTGCACATTGCATATGCAACTTCCCGACCTACAGTATGCATTCTGTCTTGCAAATGGAATTTGGTCATACAAACAAACAAACATACAGTACATACTCACACACATACATACAAACATACACACGCACACACATACACAGACAAAGGTCTTGACCTCTATAACTCCCCATGTTGGAGATGCTATCTTCTTATGGGTTAAATTGGATGATCACTGCAGAGTGCAGTGTGGTCCCTCCTGGTGGCCAGCAGTTGAACATTGCCTTGTTTATAATTCACACATAGCAGAGCAGAGAGCTGAGACATGGGGCCTCCCACCTTCTTAGCACACTAAAGACAATACACACATGCAAAATGACTCCATCTCTGCATTCATCCACAAAAATATGTTTTTTCATCATATGTTTTAGCTGTTGGATAATTTTTAAGTGCAACAAAATAGACATACTGATATAAGATTATGATATATAAATAGATATACACGTTTTGTATTGTATTTTGTGTATATTCGTATATAGAGGGGCACTCTATAGGGAGGCAGCAATGAAGGAGCAACAATAAACTGGTAAGAGGCGTTGCTTCTCCTTGCAAACTTTGAAATCATACATGTTTATGTCCACTCTATCCCCTAGTTAGTCATGCAGTATAAATAGACTTCACGTCAAACTAATTTACAGAAAATAATCAAAGTTCACACACAGAAACAGAGACAGAATTACCACCCTTTTACTCCACCATTCTGACATCATCACTCCACTGGACATACAATGCCCGAAATCTAGGGTAAATGGAAGTTGTAAACATGTTCTATTCGTCAAACGGAGGGTGTTAATTCTGTTATCTGTCCCTGTATGTGTGTGTGTACCTGTGCACAGAAGGTAGAGGTGGGTGGGCATGTTAGCGAGAGAAAGAGAATGTACATTTAGTTTTTAGTGTTGATCCTCAGCTTGAAAGACACTTTCCCAGCAAACTTGTCTCTTTCACTCCCAGGAGGAATGTTGTTGGAGATGATCCTGCACTCGATGTTGATGTCTTCATTGAGGGTCATGTTAAGGAACTTGATGGCAACCAGCGGCTGGGAGTAGTTCACCTGGGAGTAGTTAACATTTTAAAGATATTGTTACAGAAGCTTTCAGAATTCTTTTTCAGCAACATTTATCTATAACGTGTTGAAAGCACAGGCAAAATAATGCGTAATAACATTAGAAATGACATTGGAACACTAAGATGAGTTCATCTAACCATAAAACAGAGGTTTATAAGTGATGATTTCTGAGTGTTGGCAGGTTGGTATTGGAGGATTCTCACCTGAGCTTTCTTGCCATAGTAAGGGTAGTACATGAGGTTGAAGGTACCATTTTCAGGGTAGTACGCCACCTCTCCAATCTTATCAGAGTCTTCTTTCTGCAGGGGCAGAGGATCAAGGCCATTAGTTAGAGCATGTTAGACCATGTTCTGTCGGAAGTGTGTGGGCGAGCAGGGAAAGACTGCCCAATCTGAAGAAGTGGATGAGCTTTGAAAGGACACCATGACAATTAGAGTAGACTATTTATTTACATTTACTTTAGCCATTGAGTCTACCTGTATATGCTATGCAATAAAGCTATTGAACCTCTATATCTTGGAATATAAAAAGATGAGGGTACTAGTGTAGCACTAGCAACTATACACAACATATCTACTTCTCTATCTGTCACAACAGTCACTACAGTGGCACCCTTACCCATTCATCTTTGCCAACTTTGTACCTCTGAGAGTGGAAGGACAGAATGGATGGTAACAGAAAAGAAAAGAAGAGAACAGCAACAACAACATACACATATGGTATGAAATGATGAAATGACATTGTATCATGCAACACAGACACAGACATAAAGGAAGGTAATGGGGGACATAGATGAGAACAAGAGACATGATGGGTTAATTCTGAGAGAGAGAGAGAGATAGATAGAGAGAGAGAGAGAGAGAGAGAAGAGAGAGGAGAGAGAGAGAGAGAGAGAGAGAGATGAGAGAGAGAGAGAACGAAAGACAGATAGAAGACCAGAGAGAGAGACCGAGAGTAGAGAGAGACGACGAGAGAGAGAGAGAGAGAGATAGAGAGAGATACCAGAGAAGAGAGAGAGATCGATAGAGTACTCAGAGAAATAGAGATACCAGAGAGAGAAGAGACATAGAACCATGAGAGACCAATATCTGAGACCAGATAGAGAGAGAGAGAGAATAAATAGATTATAGATATAGTCTCTCTGATAGATATAGATCTTAGGACTGAAAGAGAGAGAGGCTCACCTTCGCTCCACAGGTGACAAATGGAGCCTGGCCATCCTTTCCTGGCAACATCCCAATGACCTAGAATACAGACAGACAGACAGACATGCGTTAACCTGGGAGTTCCACCACCATCCCCACTTCATCCCTCCTTAAAGCGAATCCATTCAACTGATCATTGTTGTGATTGTCAATATAACAATATAAAAAATTTCCAACATTGTTTGTACTTAATTGGTATGATCTCTTCCAGGCTCCAAACCATTTACATGACTGCTCCATCCCCCTCTCCCTTACTCATCTCCTAGCATCACCACAAGTTCTTCCCTCCCCAGCCCCCCTCTACTCTCTGCTTCTCCCATACCCGGTTCAGCTTGATGATGATGCATGGTTTGCCAGCCTGGTATCCATAGGTATGGTCATCGAGGCCAGAGCATTCTTCTAGAAAGGTGCGGTTGAACTGGCAGGAGCGCTTGGGGTTGTTCTTCACATCACCACTGTCTGCCTGAACAAAGTACTGGTCCGGTGTGCACTCTTCATTCTTCTCAGCCTGCAGAGAGTTGTTGTAGGCTGGATGGGAGAGAAATACAGTTTCACCATGTTGTTTTCTATAATAGAAATGTAATTATGTGGCGGTAAAGAGGCAGAGACAAGCTGACAGACAGACAGACTCACGGGAGAGGAAGTTGTCCAGGGTCTTGGCGTACATGTCCCAGCTCTCAGTGTTGTGGGTGTTATAGATGATCTCCATCGCCTCTCCCCTGGGTCTGATCATCATGCCTGCAGAACAGAGAGAGAGAAGATGGGGAGGGCTTTTAGCCTACATCACATGGATACTAGACTATGTGTGATTGTTCAAGGCTGGTCCTGGCTATACAGTAGCAGTTGTGAAGAGACTTGTCAAAATGTTACCTTGAATTCTGAAGTTTTAGTGTATCAAAACCTCTTAGAATGTGGTATTGGGGTGTTAGTTCATCATACCTGGTGTGCCAAGCCTGTCCTGCCAGGTGGGTTTATGGTCATCCAAGGTCTGCAGCATGACGTACATGGTGAGGCAGAACATGCCTGCTAGGAAGATGTAGAACACTAGGTAGAACAGCAGGATGAGGCCTGAGGAGGGAGACACAACCAGCACACAGATACAGCATTAACATCATACTAGATCATAGGAAACGGAACATTCAACAAAATAGGGCTATACTCAAAATGACACTCAATTACCTATACAGTGGGGTTATGTCAGATTATGGACATTCCATATTTCCCACTTATACGGAACAGGGTGCCATTTATGATTTGCCCTATGTTATAACAAAGCCTGAAAAGCTGAAAAGTGAAAAGGTAATGTAGAGTAGGTGCTATGTTGTCTATGATCCAAGTCATTATTTGGTCACTTTCTCTGTATTTATCACACTATACCACTCTCTCTGTATTTATCACACTATACCACTCTCTCTGTATTTATCACACTATACCACTCTCTCTGTATTTATCACACTATACCACTCTCTCTGTATTTATCACACTATACCGTGCCAACGATCAAATATGTGAAAAGATACAGGAGGTGAGGAGTAATCCTCTTTACCTCAAACTAGAAGCCTCTACTTCCTTCTATAGTATATATATCTCTCTATCTATCTCTCTCGCCCTCTCTCTCTCTCAAACACACAGTACACATTTTTATAACTAGAAAAAAATATGTTTAATGGATATTGAATATCTATCTATTTATGGAAACATTAATTGGACATGCACACTTCTCCATACATGTCTGAACTCACACTACCGACAACACACAACCTGCACATAAAGACACACGTCCTCCCCCCAGTCTTAAACAAGGCTGATTAATCCAGGATTGAATGTCTGGTCTTTGTCCAAATTAATTATCAAGTAACACTAACAATGAGGGAAAGAGCCGAGATGAGGGGGAGGGTAAAATAGAAGGAGAGAGGAGTGGTGACAGAAGGGGACAGGGGAGGAGGAGAGAAGACCCCTGGAGATTAGGGCAGGGGGTCAGGGGATTAGCTGCCATGTACAGTATCCCACTGACACAAACCGTATGGAGACCAAACCAACACGGTAACATATCAGCATTGGGCCCAAGGGAACGGGCAGCTATTGAACCATTCTGTTGGGTTGATAACATAAAATCACCTCAGCTGCTAAACATTATATGGTCATACAGGATGTGAGATACACAATTAGTGTAAAATATAATGAATAAAACAGGTGAGTTGACTGAGCCTATCAGTAGCCCTCCTTCCCTTCCTCTGCCATCTCAGCATGGTCACCTGAGACCAGTCCTGGGGTGTAGGCCTGCTGTGTCTCTGCTAGATGGGCCCCATTGTGGAGCTCCACACCTGGGCCCTGTCAAAGACCACCATGAGGGCTTCCTCTGTCAGCAGGCCTAGAGCTGTGTGGAGCCATGGGCCTCACAGCGCAGCCAGGCTTACAAGGATCCATAACCAAATAGCAAGAGGAAGCTCCTCCATGGGATAAAGTTGCAAACACCAGAGCTTCTTGGTGAGTGAGAGTGAATGTGTAAGTGTGTCTGTCTGCCAGTCCCCAGGGTGAGGGGATCTACGTAGATATGTAACCTTATAGAGAGGAGCGTAAGATGAGAGGAGAGCAGAGCGGCATCCTGTGGGGTAGGGTGAGATGTGGTGAAGAGAGATAGGGAGCTGTGGTACATAGTGTGTTGGAAGGACAAACCCTGCTGAGTCATCACAGATACGGTACAAGCCCTGGGTCTAGCCCTGGCTCTGGTCCAACCAATGCCGGGAGGGACTATCATCAGGGAGGGGGACCTGACATTATTTATCTGATCTAACATTATGGGGCGTCATGGTGACCACAGATACCACCCATCCCTATGGGGAGACAGACTGGGTGTTGTGTGCAGACCGAGAGAGAGGGTCAAGAGGAGTGTAGAGAGGGTCACCTTCCCCTGGCCACACCAGGAGGGTGTCCAGTTCACTGGCTGTCCTGCCTGACCTCTCATCACCATGCCCTCTCTCTTTCATTCTTCCTCTGCCTCTCTCTTTTCATCCCCCCATCACAGGGAGAGTTGAAAGCAAAGAACAAAATGGCGGGGCTTTCCCTCCTACAATGGCAACATGGACGCCTTTTAAAAGGTGTCTCTTTTCTTTTTTGTTTGTTTGATTGGGATAGTGTTCAAACGCAGTGGACACTGTTTTGAAGCTGGGTTATCAAACAAGAAGCTTTGAATGGAAAAAGTGGTAAGGATAAAAGAATATGTATGTGCTATGGCTGTTTTAATATTCATGTACTTTTGAAATTGCCCATGGATCTAAGAACTATTTCCATAATTGTGCGACACACACACACAAACACACACACACACACACACACATACACAAACACACACACACACACACACACACACAAACACACTTGCATTTCCACAATGAACAGTAGTGCCACCCTGATTAGGCTGATTTTCTACCCCATCTAATCTAAGCAGTGTGCGCTATCAGTGGAAACAGTGTCCATTACACTAGCTAGAGTACTGTGTGCATCAGATTGGTGTGGGTCCTCTATGTCTCCATCTTTGTTCTGTGGGCTGTGGAGGAGGTCAGGGCTGATTAAAAGAAAGCTGCATGTAGACTAGCACCTGGATACCTAGATCACCTAGGCCCAGACAGGTAATGAGGATGTACTATGTTCAGGGACCATGTATAGGCTATACACGTTTTGGCTCACTACAGAAATAGCCTAATTAGCAAGCCTTAGAGAGCGCAGCTTAACCAGGCCACCAGTCCTCAAAGCATATGGGACACACTGAGCTGGATGAAGGAGTGCATTCTGGGAAAATTACTGCATAGGAAACTACAGTCAGTGATCACCCCACTCAGTAGGCCTATGACTTACATTTCTCTCCATTCATGAATATCTTAGCAAGGGCACCATTTCTTGTGGAAATGTGAAATGCTAGGTATGTGTGTGTGTGTGTGTGTGTGTGTGTGTGTGTGTGTGTGTGTGACATCTCAAATCATTGCATTTACATTAAATGTAATCAATTAAAGGGAATGTTCTGAAATGTATACAGTTTGATTGGACAACTACAATTGATACTCGGCTGGCCAGCCAATGAAGTCATTAGATTAGGATTAAATCCTGCACTGATTTACTCACACTAAGAGAGGGGAGGGCTGGGGGGTTGGAGGTGATGCAAATAGAATGTGGCCCTCGGCTTTAACCAGATTAAAACGCCTCAATGTCATTAGAAAAGAGCCATTTGAAATAGTTGCAGGTTATTAAGGGCGTTGAAAAAGTGCACAAGTTATAATGTTGTGGTCATCTCTTAAAATCTCAGATGTTAGACTACATTACCATATCTTATTTCAGATCTTGTCAGTGCAGATTATCGTGCTGATCTTGACACTTAGCAGATGATACAACTTTAGTCTTATCAATTTGATTCTTCATTGAAACAAAACCTGCATTGTAACATTGATTGCAAATAGCCTATAGTTGAACTGAATGCCGCAAATCCACTACATTTGCGTTTTGTAAAGCCTATTCAAGTTAATAACAGGTCAGGCTAATCAATTCTGACGCTATTTGAAGTAACAACTGGCCCTCACATCTCAGGAAGGGGTGCTCTGCGCCAGAAGACAGATTAAGTAAAGATAATTAAATATAAAGAGGCCTACTGTAGCCTTTAAAAAGTAGGCTACAGCAGAGAATAGTATTAAAATGGTGTGCACTGGCATATTAATTTCATATATTGGCACTGCCTCCACCCTTATGTCCAGACGCATTGCGCAGGAAAACTAAGTGGCATAAATGAATAAATGAAAGAGAATAATGCCGGCAATCCACACATAATGCCGCATTTGAATGTCAGCACCGCCTTGCACTGGACAGCGACCAATCTCATTAAGTGATCGCTGGGGTGAGGCAGCGGCTTCAAATTGCGCATTGAATGCTACACTTTGTAGGCTAGGCCAGCCTACACACATTTTACATTTCTGCCTGGTCACATTCATTTACTCTTTACGCATTAATAAGTATTCAAGCAGCACAATTAAAGGGTGCTCATGACATCATTGTGAAGCCTGCAGCTAACTAGAAGGTGCTGCGGACCTGCTATTTTGCAGGGATGCGCAACTCCAGTCCTCCGGGGCCTGACTGGTGTCACACTTTTGCCCCAGCCCCAGCTAACACACCTGACTTCAATAATCAACTAATCATATTCAGTTTAGAGTGCAATTAGTTTAATCAGCTGTGTTTGCTAGGGATGGGGGGGAAAGTGTGACACCACTCCGGTCCCCGAGGACTGGAGTTGCCCATCCCTGTGTTAGAGGTAGAGGGGCCATCTGTGCTGCATTGCTGCAGGCGACCATTACTAGGTAGAAGACTCACCCCAGCTGCTCCCTGTCCTGCCACAAAATTCTCGCGTCCTGGAGTTCCATATGAAGTCCTTCCAAGTGCTCTTCTCAGCATCCTTTGACATTTTGCTAGATTTCTTTAATCCACGGACTGTTACCGGGCGTTATAACCTAATGTAATAGGCGTTTTGGTGAGATGTTAAATATCTTACTCAGATAGGCTGCAGAAAGTCGTTATCGAGCGCACAAATGACGAGCTGTTTGAAAGAAAAGGATGAACAATCCGGCGGCTCCGTGCTACTGTATCTAATTACAGTCAATGTATACTAAACGACGGTGGTGTTGACACTACACTCAGCACAAAACCGGTATCTGCCCTCCCCCAGATCTAGTTAGCATGCCGCAGAGTTTTGATGAGTGATGCAGAAATGTAGTGATACTGCGGTAAAGCTCTCTCTCTCTCTCTCTCTCTCTCTCTCTCTCCTCCATCTCCCTCCTCTCTCTCCTCTCTCTCTCCTCTCCCTCTCTCTCTCTCTCCCCCCCCTCTCTCTACTCCTCTCTCCCCCTCTCTCCTCCTCTCTCCTCTCTCCTCTCTCTCTCTCTCTCTCTCTCTACCAGCCTCTCTCTTGCTTACCCTCACTTACCCCTCAAGCATCACCCCTCTCCTACCCATCACCCCCACCCCCTCGGAGGAGAAAGCTACATTCCCCTCCTCCCCTCTCACCAGAGGACACCAGCAGCCAACCAGCTTGCCTCTCTAACCAATCATATGCCTGCTACAACCTATGTTGCTCGCTTAACGCCAGAGCAAGGATTTGAGTGACAAGCATTCCAGCAAATGATATAAGCTCTGGGGATTCCTCATGCAGCTCGTGCATGTGTGTGAAGATAGTGGTGCTGCTCATAGATTGGGCTCTTGAACATAGCTCATATAGTAACATCCATCTAAACAAAATGTCTTCCCCTCAGCATCCCCTCCCTGAAACCAACACTGTTGAATAATGCAGCTTCCTCTGAGGATTTATTAATTATGTTGCGGTTAATTCCCATGCTGTCCTCTAAACCCGGCTGTCATGAGGGAAGGAAGGAGGAGGGAGAGACATATGGAGCTGCCTCACACAATATCAATATGATGCTTATTTGCACACAACTGGCAACTGATGTCTACGATATTGGTAATGTAGCTTACTGTAGAAGAGGCTAGCCCACTTAGGGTAAAGCAGGGTGAATCAAATATATGACTATAGGGAGAGTCAGTATAAAGCCTGTCTAGATTTTGGGGGGAGTTGCCTTAGCTAAATTCATCCCTGCATTGTGTGGCAGGGGTGTCTGGTCTGCCAGTCAGTCTCATGGCAGTGCAGAGGTCAAGTCTAAAGGCTAATGGATTGCTCTGCAGTACTTCTGGTGCCGTAGGATGTGGCTTGCTCTGCCACCGGCATCCATCCGCATGACAGTGTGTGTGAGTGTGTGTACGTATACTGAATTGATAGGTACATGAATCTCAGAGAGAGACTGGTAACTGGTACAGGGGATGTGATTGGTGCCCTCACTTGGAGATCTAAGACATTACAACACCTCTGTGTCTGGGTGGTGTCACTGGGTTCATAGCCTTGCAGCAGAACCCTGTTAGAGGGCATTCTGTCTGTCTGCAATGGTTTTAACCAGAGACAATCTTCTACATTCACCACTACTTATCCTACCAATTATATTGAACGTAATACATAAGAGATGTGAAGAGATAAAGCAAAGAGATCATATTAGTACGCTTCTGTTTGTCATGACATGAAACATAAAGACATGCAAAAATCCTGTTCATTATATAAAATTGATTTAATGACGATATCAATGTGAATATAGCACTACAGTGATTTCCAAGGTACACCGTATCTTACCATATCAATATAGTATGGCACTCATATACTGGCCACTGTTTTAGGCGACACGCAAAGCTGATAGCTTTTGTAAACTAGTTTGTAAATTATGCCTAAGATATCAATTGTTGTAATACATTTTTTAAAAGATGACTACTTGGTATATCTGAAATACAATATTATTGGGCACACTTACCAATGGGTTTGGGATAGAACCCAAACTCTGACATGTTTTCAATATAAGGAATGCATTGCACTTCCCCTCTCTCCCTCAACATGGTCCTCATCTCTGTTTGTTTAGTTTAAACTATAGTCAAATGGGTGATAATAACCTGGAGTAGCAAAAAGTGAAGCAGTGACTTGGTAACATTGGTGCAATGTCACTTCAACATTTTGGATACTTTTCCACGGGGTGGCACTGGAACTGTACAGGTTGGTGCTAACCAGTAAAACAACAACAACCAGGAGACATTCAAGTGCCAGAATACAAGTACAGAGGGATTGACTCTTTACAGTACAAACTTCATCTCACGTGGCTTTTCGGTAAATAAATTAAAAGTACGGTATGTAACAATAAGCACAATAGTAGTAATGTTAGATATGGTCACAAATACCATTGTAATTCAATAAACAACAACAGCAGCTAGTAGTAGTTTGAGATAGCAGCAAAGTATTTCAGAAAATGTCCAAACAATGGTCAAACTGAGTTGTTCAAACCTGTACATAAATACAATGTATGTAGAAAAGGGCATAAATACAACAACTGTATGTACTGCTTAAAGGGAATCTTGCATAAATATGATACGACAATTGTGATACTGCCTTTGTCTTGAGGGCTTGTCATTTATTGGTAGAACCGTACAGTAATGTCTGTGTGGACCAGTTGCAACAGATAAAGTACTCATTTAAAAAAAGTTAACAAAAATAAAAATGAACAAATGCATTTATACATTATATGCTACATTATATTTATTGATTAAAAGTATGAAAGTGGAAATAATTGCTACATTTTCAATACAGTTGTACATATCTATTTACATAGTATATAGGGGTTTTCTTTCTCTTAAGGGTATGCTGTGTTTTTGGGCAGGTTCTTCCAGCATTCTGTTTGAGGTGTGTGTGTGATGATGTTGCACTGCCCTATCAACTGCAGCATCTCCTACTGTCTGTGTTGATATCATTGTTTTGTGGGATGGGACGCTCATCAATAAGTAACTGTGAGTCTGCATGACCGGTGGTGTTTTTTTCGACCAGTGATGTTTTTTTGTACAATTAATCTGTGTCCGTTTGTATTTAATTTGACTGTACAGTATGATTTGAGTGCAGATGTTTTAGCCCGCGCTACAGAAGGCTATATCAGTTCGCTAATACAGGTCTAGTAAAATCCCAGTGCACTACTTTTGTTATTAATAAAAACATTTTATTAATAACAAAATATTACACCCTTTGCACGACTACTTCCCGCGGCTATGTTTGAGTGTACAGTATGTGCCATCTGTCATAATATTAACTTTTTGAAAAGATTTCCCCAGCAACACGTTAATCTTTTTACACAACCACAACATAACATTTCAGCAGGACTTTTCATGGTGTATGTAGTGATATAATGGCATCTTCAAGATCTATGTTAAAATCTAACAATCTCACATGACCATCTCCACACGATAATCTCCACACGATAATCTCCACACGATAGTAGATTAATTTATATGGTTTTATACAGTACTGTATGTCTGTTCAATGACATGCAGGACATGACATGTTAACTGTGACTTTGAGTTCAAGTCCGAGATATGTTTTGGCCGGCTGACATGTTTTAATATTAATGTTACGCCCACATTGGGAACATATTGCTATAAAATTGCAGGAACGCTGAGAAAGTCTGTATATTTACATTACAAATATGCAAACAGTTAGGTAGTATTTTCCTCCTAAATCATGATTACTTCATCTCCATAATAACAATCTACTGATACCCAGACCACAAGGCAAACCAAACCATCTCATATGCACTCAACATGTTTCAATATTTCTTTAATAATAAGATAATTTTCATTTTCATAATCATTTTTATCAAAGGCTAGAGAGTATAAGTGTGTGTGTATGTGTTTAAAGTGTCTGTGTCTGTGTGCTTGAACATAAGTGTGTATAAGATGTGTCTTGCTGAGCATCAACCTCAAGTCTCATTCAAACTCTCCCTCCCAATGTCCATTTGTGACAGTGGAGGGAGAGAAAATGCATGTCAACTACGAGTTGATGTAAGCTGTAGTTACGTTAGGGGAAATTAGGCCTAACTAGTTAAACCAGTGTTGCTCTTATAGTGTAAATTCATGCCGTTTTTATTTAGCCTCAACAAAAGCAGAGTCGACTGGCGTTTAAGAAATGTATAAAGAGTCAAGGAAGGGCTTGTAGAATACTAAAACTAAAGTGTAAGAAATCACACAGTACTGAATTATTGTACGTATGTCTCTTCTTGGTTTCATATTTGATTGGTATATCCCTCAATTGAATCTTCCCAATCTTTTTTTTATCTCTACAAAGTAGAGTTGATCACCCTTGGCAAAATAACGATTTATGTTTCAGTTCATTATCTCTCTGGCCCACACACCTCAAAAAAATTGCATTAACCTTGTAGACCTTGTATAAGCTCCACATAAAGTTTATTTTAACATGTGAGAGCACAAAACTCTCATCTTACTCTCATATATATTCTCCCTCTTCTGTGGAGGTCGGCGGTAATCACACTGTCACTCCTAAGAGAGGAAATAGTCCTCCATCCTCTTTCCCTTTGTAGAGAGTGATTCCCACCATGTCTCCCCACTTGTAAACTTCTTGTTTTTCACCACAATAGTACTTATTTAGTACATAGTACTTGCCCCCCCCACACACACCCCCCCACCCCTCTCAGATGGCTGTGTCCCACACCACGGCCTGGGGCCTCTGGCAGGGGGGTGTGCCCGTCTTCCGGGGCTCAGGGGTCCGTCTCCAGCTGGGCAGGATGGGCATGCTGTCCTGCTTACACAGATTCTTTTCTGGGCGCCGGTGGGCCTTGATCTCTTTGCACAGGCAGCGCTTCCTCTCAATGACCTCCAACAGCTTGCCGTCCCTCTGGGTCTGGGCTGCGGACGCGGCGGCACCCCCAGGGGTGGGAGGCTGTCCCTGGGCCAGCTGGGCCAGGTGCTGGAACTGCAGCTGAAGGTGGTGCTGCTGCTGCAGCTGCTGGAGCTGTTGTTGTAACTGCAGCTGCTGCTGGTGGAGCTGGAGCTGCTGCTGCTGTCTGGACAGGATAGGACTGCAGGGCGTCTGGGAGGAGTGGGACAGCCCATGCAACTGGACAGAGAGAGAGGCAGGGAGGGAGAAAGGAGGGGAGTTAAAGGAAGATGCATGATTTCGGGAGTTTTTACCTAAAATCTAATGTGGGGTATGCATGAATACTGCATCTCTGTTGTATCCCTGTAAACCAGGGATGGGCAACTGGCGGGGCCCCCCTTTTGTAAACCCGCAGATCAATTTCCAAAAACAGGGGCCCCGACCAACAAAAACGTTACTGTTGAAAGATAGAATAGTAAAATACACAAGGTGCAATTTCTAAATTTGGTTGTAAATCAGCAGTTTGTCACTTGTTGTGTCAGTCACTGACAGTCACTCAATTAACCATGTCAGCTAACAATTTTTTGATTGGTAAGGTAGCCCTTTCCTGCAGTCAAATGACCAAATCGCCCTCTAGTGGCCTCATGGGTGGAATGTTATTCACATTCTTTATAATTTAATAATTAATGAACATTATTTGAAAAAAAAGTAGAAAATCAGGTGTTTCTATGTCAAATGGCTTTGTTATATTTCAGTCTTCTGTGATGTATATAAAGTGTAATATTGGGATGCAAACTCAAAATTGAATACATTTCAACTCTATATCTGACATGATACAGGTGCCTTATTTTTGTGTGTGAGGTGTATACTTTTGTTTCAAAGTAGATTTGTTTAAGACTACCAAGAACACTCTGTGTGACTCTGATATAGCCAATGCAGTAAAAGGTTAAGTCTAGCCAGCTATCTAAACTTGTAGTAATCATGGTCAAATACCAATCGGGCATGCAGGGCATGTGCCCAGGGCCCCTGACCTCCAGGGGGCCCCCATTGATTTTGTTAGTCACTCTCACTCAGATATCATATTAACATGGCATAAGTCATGTAAAAATTAGTAGAATTGCATGAAATGTGTTTGAAAATTGAAAAATATTATCTCTGCCCCATGGCAAAATGTGTAGAATTGCAAACCAAATGTTTTCTCTCCGCCGTCAGGACGGGGACGAGTAAAATGTTTTGCCCACGAGGTGGGGGGGACCCCCAACCAAATCTCGTTTAGGGCCCCCAAATGTGTTGCACCCAAACATGCCACCAGGCGGCAGTGTGACACCATCTTCGAGCCTGTGGCGTGCAAGGGAGGGTTACGCAGCACACGCAAACAGTCTCTGCAGCACAACACAGCACACTTGAACTGCGTCAGCATTTGAGATGCAGCCAAGTGACTGGGCAAAACGCAACGCTATTGGACAGCGGCTCACTGCTCCAAAACACTGTAGAGAAGCATACTCCTTACATCTACGCATCTCTGCATACGTCAATTAGAGCATCGCTCTCCCCGGGACTTATTCTTTAAGGCACAACCTTATTCTGCTCAGCGAACATATCTCCATGCTATAAATAGCTCAGGAGGAGGGTTGTTGCTATCAGCACAGGGAATAACAACAATGGCCATATTCTTCAGAATAATTCCAATACTACTACTTGTACAAATGATAGTAATCACAGTAATACCAAAGATCATCGTCATTATAATAATAGGTATTATTCACCTGACTCAGTACCTCTCGGTGGGGCAGGCTGCTCTGCCGCTGAACGTCGCTTCCACCCACCTGTCTCACCCCAGAGGTGGATGATGAGCGGCTCAGTCGACCCAGTTCTGGAACACAGAAAAAACAAGCACTGTTCATACAGCTGTCTACACTCACAAATCAAATGTGCTGTTCATGTTGTCAGGGAGAATGGCTGTGCGTATAGAATGGAGTGTATTATTTTATGTGTCTATGTACAACCATGCATACATGTGGGGGGAGGTATTATGTGCCTGAGTATGTGTGTATATATATATATATATATGGCTCTGGTACTACATACCATCGTTTCCACTACGCTGCCACTTGTGATCTTAAACCATAACACAATGATGATGTGAGCGTGGATTTAAGAAATTCAGGTAATAGGATCTTCAGATAAATCTGCTGATGTGGTCTCTTTTCTAAAGCGCTTGGCTTGAGATTTTTGGGTTCTAGTGAAATCCTTGACATACTTTAGACCCCTTTCCTTTAAAAGATTCTGGGTGAAGGATTCTGTGCTGGGTGTCTTAGTGCTTACCTCCATTGCGGCAGGCTGGGAAGGTTTGGCAGGGGAGGGGAAGACCCCCTCTAGGCAGGGCTCGGAACCCCAAGGGCCCCTCTTCCATCCCGGCCAGGGACTCACTGTGGCCCAGCCCCCTCCCTCCAGTGAAGCGTACTGGGATCCCAGAGTGGCCTCCTCCTCCTCGATGCCCGGGGCCCAGCTCCTCCTTGTCCATCCTCAGGAGGGTATCGGCACTGCCATTCCACGCCCGCCCTTCATCCTCTGAGAGGGGAATGACAGACGGAATTGTTGAGTAAACATGGAATAATCGTCTATTGACAAAGTATAGTGTAGTGACAGATGTCACTTAGCTACAGTCTAATAGTCTGATTATCCCTTCCCCAGGGATCTGAGGAACTTCTGATTCATTTCAATACTCAATTCAAACCCATGATGCCATCCAGCACATATAAACTTACTCTCTCTCCCTGTCTCTCTGCTGCCGTGGCTGAAGGACAGTTTCCTCTGCATGGGCATGTTAGACCCGTCGTCTCCAAAGCCACTGTTGTCCCAGGGCATGAACCCAGCCTTCCCCTGGACGGGCCCAGGCACCGTGCTGCTTTTGGAGGCCACATCACCGTGACCCTGGTGGTGCAAGGAGGGCAGATGAGACCCTCCTCGCAGGCTGTCGTACGCCGGGGGTCTCCGGAAGCCCACCGAGGGGTAGGTCCAGAGCAGGGGGCTGTCTGAGGAGGGGGGCTTGTAGACGGGCAGGCCGTGGGGGGTGTGGGAGCGGTGGAGTTGGGAGCGAGAGTGAGGGCGAGAGTGGGAGGAAGAGGAGGACGGGTTTGGGGCTGAACTGGCACTAGTCTGGGATGAAAGGTTGTTGGTGGTTTTCTCAGCCTGAGAGGAGGTAGAGTGGAACCCTGCTTCTCTGTCTCTCTCCCTGTGTCTCTCTCTGTCACTGTCCCTGTCTCTGTCTCTGTGACTGTCCCTGTGACCATCTCTGTCCCTCTCCCTGTCCCTGTCCCTCTCTCCTTTGTCTAACTTCAAGCAGAAGCTCACAGACTTCCCCTCCTTGCCCGAGCCCTGTGTCTGGGTCTGGGCAGAGGACTTGGAGAAGGTCTCTGAGCCATTCTTGTTGTTGGTGTTGGGGTTGGGCGAGTCTCCTCTCTCTGGCTTGCGGTAGTGGTGGTAGTGTGAGGGGCGGTGGTGGGGGTGGGGGTGGTGGTGGTGGGAATAGGGGGAGGTGGACTTGGAGGAAGGGGGCAGGGGTGTGGAGTGGCTCCTGGCCCTTAGCCCCGGTGCAGGGCCGAGCTGGCTGTCTCTGTCTCTGTCCTTAGACTCCTTAGAGCCTGACAGGGGCAAGGGGAGGTTGGAGGAGGGGGTGGTGGAGGAGGAAGTGCTAGTCGGAGCTGTCATACTGGAGGAGGTCTGGATGCTGATGGTCCCCAGTTTGGCAACAGCAGCAGCCTTGTGTTGGACCCCGACCCCACTGGAGGCAGCAGCAGGCTGGGGGAAGGCGAGCAGCGGGGGTCGGTGCTGCAGCAGGTTGGGGAAGGGAGCTGGGATCTTACTGTTGGACTCGGTCTCTGATTTGTTCCCCTGGAGGAGGTAGGGCGTAGGGGCTCGTGGGGGGTGCGGGCTGGAGGAGAGGGGCTGGGGGACAGGGGTGGAGGAGGTGGAGGAGGGGAGGGGCGAGGAGTGAGAGACAGACACTGTGGCTTTAGGTTTTGAGCAGGAGGGGGAGGAGGAGGAGGGGCGAGGTAGAGGGGCGGAGGTGCCAGAGGAGGAGTGGTGGTGTTTGGAGGATTTGAGTCTCTCGTGTTTGAGAGGGAGGCGTTTGTGTCCCTCTCTGTCCTCTGGCAGCGGGTACTTCATCTCCTCATAGATGGCCTCGCTCTGGTCTGAGTCTGAATCAGGTGTGGTGGCAACGGGCGTGACAGGGTGAGGGGTGGCAGTTTGGATCTCCCTGGTGAACACTTGGCCCACCATCTCTATGTAGACGGGCTCATCGTCCCCTTCCTCCCCCTGAGGCTGACCCTCACCCCCCTGGAAGGGCAGGGGCGTGGCAGGAGGGAGCTCGCGGGGAGTTGGGGGCTCAAACGAGAGCTGAGTGCTGGGGCTTCGTTTGGGCTTCAAAGGCGGCACCTTTTTGGACATGTCCCCTGAGTCAGACTTCTTCATGGCTGCAGGGGAAAGAGAGACAGCAATGAATGAGAGATAATTACAACAAGGACAATAATAATAACACACATTTTCAATGTTTCCATAGCCTATTCATTGCTTCAATGTTTCCATAGCCTTCAATGTTTCCATTTTCAACTGTTGCCATAGCCTACCGTTCTTCTTCTCTGAGTGTTTAGCCTGCGGGTGAGTAGGCGGGGGTGGCGGAGGGGCGTCCGGTGGGGCGTGAGGTGCTCTGGGGTCCGAGGAGGAGCTGAGGCGGGTGCTGGGATGGCGTTTGGGTTTAGCTGGGGGACAGCGCCCACCGTGCTGCGACTGGGTGTCAGAGTAATCTTCCCCATTCTCCAGACTTGTGTCTCCAGCGCCCACGGCATGGCAGGACTGGGAGCGGGGAGCCATGGCGGAGGCACAGGAGTGAGGGGACAGGTCCTGGGAGGCAGGCATGGTCATGAAGCCCATGCGGAAGTGGCGCCGGAATGATGCCAGGTCACGGACCTTGCCCACCGTGGCTGAGGAGGGGTCCTTCTGGCTGGAGCTGAACAACACAGGAAGAACAACATTCTCTCATTCAGCAGTTAATCACGTCTCAGTGAAGGACGTGAATTTATTTTCCATTGTGATGCCCCTCCCCTTTTCTGCCTCTCTCCTTTTTTCTTTTTCTGTTCAAAAATGGTCTCTACATAGCTTACAGTCAATTTCATTTGCAGTCCTACGGCTCCCTCTACTCCTCTGCCTCTCTCTCACTAACACACACACACACACACATACATAAACACACAAACACATAGACAAACACACACACACACACACTGCTCCTCATGCATGGATGGCACAAGGAGCGTAGTTTCCCGATGGAGAGTGAGTGATGAGAGATTGGGCGAGGCAGTGCAGCAGCTGTGCATGCCGGTATCTGCATGGGGTGTAGGGGAGGCCCCTCCCTCTTCAGAACTCTTCTATCCTTCCATTTCTATCCCCCCACATCTGCGCCCTTAGCTCACAAACACATTCAATTAGGAAATGACTTCCCCTAAAACCCAACCCTCCCAAATCTAGCTGCTCCTTTCTGACTATAATCTTCCTGTATGTACGTCACTGTGTTACTGGGTTTCTCTAACTAATTCTTTATCTGTTTTATTACATTGTCCCTTCACTACACTCATCATGACCTCTGCCAAGTATTTTATCTGTTTCCATGGCAACTGGTTTGCCTATTTATTTGTTTAGTGGTTTGTCTTAAAACCCGTGAAAATGCACATGGTATCGCTTGCCAATGTACTAAACATACTGCAAACAAGCACACAAAAGAAAAAGCACCCTTAAAACATATAATATGTGGGGGGCAATTTAGTGCCTGAAGAAAGGTGTGGCAGTGCAGCATAAAAATCTAAACTGGAGTTTACTTGATGAAAAGTAAATAAATCGCAGTTTAATGTATGAACTACTGTACTGTTCCTTTGATTAAACAGACAACTAAATTCTTAATTGCTCTCTAAAGCCAATTTTACTTCAAAAACGTCACATGGATAATCACTGAACATCTTTTGAAGGTCATCATGACCTCATCCAAACTAACATCATGCAGGAATGCCACAGATTCAGAACGTCTTTGGTTTCCTAATAGGTGAAACCATAATCAATATCTCACCAATCAAGCTAATGATTGATTCAATTTGAGTAGAATCCATACAGTGTACCTTAATGGGCAATAACATAGGATGGGGAGCTGCAGCGGACATGGTCCAAATCTGGAGTTATTACATATAGAATATACGGTTTAGCTCTGTAAATTAACCTTTATAGAGGTGACTCAGCCTTCACAACAGTGGCTGAAGTCAGTAGGAAAACACTGTGCACAGCAATTACCATGAAAAGACCTGAAATGAAACCGTTCTTCACTACAACCACCTAGAAGGAAATTATTGGCTGTATAGCACAGTATATAAAAAGCCTCTACTTAGTGTATCAACTACGCATCATGTCCATTTCAACCTGTCTCTCCAATTCCAAGACGATTCCGAGAGGGAAGGAGGGGAGAGGTAGCCATGGTGAGGAAGGAAAGAGGGGAGGAATGGGTCAGATCTGACATCCCTAGCAGGACTGGAGGAATGGAGCTGGAGGCAACGACCACCTTTTGTTTCCCTGCTGGGAAAGAGTGGGAAGTGAGTGTGTGGGTGCACACATTGTGTGTGTCTGGTGTGTGTGTGTGTTTGTGAGAGAGAAAGAGAGAAAGAGAGAGAGAAAGAGAGAGAGAGAGAGAGAAATTAGAGAGAGAGAGAGAGAGAGAGAGAGAGAAATTAGAGAGAGAGAAAGAAAGAAAGAAAGAAAGAAAGAAAGAAAGAAAGAAAGAAAGAAAGAAAGAAAGAAAGAAAGAAAGAAAGAAAGAAAGAAAGAAAGAAAGAAAGAAAGAAAGAAAGAAAGAAAGAAAGAAAGAAAGAAAGAAAGAAGTAAACTGGGTCTCTTCGTATGTGAGGAGAGGAGGATATGTTTTGCTTCCGAGCATGCAATCAAAGGCCTCATTTAGGAGGTTATTGCATGTGAGTGGTCCCTGAGTGTTACCATGTTTGTTTGAGGTAGAGGAAGCAAGAGCGATAAAACGTAACAAACTACACACATCTAAATGCATGCCTTGTTTATAGGTCACAATGAGTAGTCTTGTCCTTAATTCTGCCATCATCTCTTATGAAGCAGTGAACCAGCAGGGAGACAATGTGAGCGTACACCTTCCTATTGAGAGGGGGGAAGCTAGCGCAGGCAGCGAAAACAGCACTGAGCCTGTTCATCATGGAGAACAGAGATGCAACTGTTTTCTGTCTCATTGCATTATGTGAAGAAAAGCCAAGAGCAGAGCTCTGTGTGTGTGTGTGTGTGTGTGTGTGTGTGTGTGTGTGTGTGTGTGTGTGTGTGTGTGTGTGCCTGCGGGTGTGTAAGTGTGTGTGTGCTTGCCATAATCTACATAGGCACCAATGGGCCACATTGTCCCTATAAAGAAGGCAATAAAGCTCCTCTTCTCATCTTCTGTTCCTCTCTTCTCTTGTTTCTCTACTTCCTTTCAACATGCCCCCACTCCCCTTAGGATGACAATTCAGAGGTTGCACATTAAATATGAACGATAAAACTCTTCCACTTCAGCTCAGAGACTTACAACTCATCTGAACTGAATAATCTCATTCCATCTCTCCAGTCCAGCATGCTGTTGTGAGTTAAGATCAGTTCACCCCTCCTCACCTCTTCTTATTGCCTTCCTGGTCCTTGTGCCTCCAGTCCAGCCGGCTCTTACGATACAGCAGGTTCATGTCGCCACAGGGACGCTGCTCCTCGCAGCCAATCACAGCACAATGTAGCCGCTTGCCCCGCCTCTCTATGTCACGCAAGAAATGCTCCACCGCCACATCCTGGGCGGAGCCAGAGCTCATGGTATAGAAGACCAATAGGGAGAAGGGGATGGATGTCACTGCAGGCCACACTTCAATCACCTAGACACAGAGAAGATGGAGACAGTGGCATTGTTAATAGTCATCTACTACATGTTGAGCTGACATGACCGAGTCATGTCCAGTGCTCCTCTTACATAGCTCCCCTGCACAGTTACACAACTCTCATGTCGACATGCTGTATGTAGGGCAGTAGCAGTCACAGCACGGTTATGGTACCTGGCTCCTCAGCCTGGCCTCATAGACTAAACGTAACATAGTAAATCGTAAATCCGGGACACTCAAATTAGTATGATATGTTACGTTTGGTATGGTTACATAAGACAGATGGTTACTTAAGGCAAAAATGAAAGTAGGATGGTTGGTCGGGGTGGATGGGTAGGCATATAAAGCGAACGTCTAGCAACCACAACGGTTGCGAGTTCGAATCTCATCACGGACGACTTTAGCATTTTAGCTAATTAGCAACTTTTCAACTACTTACTACTTTTTAGCTACTTTGCAACTACTTAGCATGTTAACTAACCCTTCCCCTAACCCTAACCCTAACCCTTTAGCCTAACTCTTAAACATAACCCTAACCTTAACCCTAACCCCTATCCCTAACCCTAGTCTAGCTAACGTTAGCCACCTAGCCACCTAGCTACAATTCATAACATATAGTACATTTAGCAAATTCGTAACATATTGTACGTTTTGCAAATACGTAACATATAATACGAGTTGTAATTCATAACATATCATACTAAATGGAGTGTCTCGGATTTACATACAGAATAATATGAAATGCTCTGAGACCAGGTTGGGCTCTTCCTCTTCCATACAGGTGAACAGACAAGTAGGGATTACTTCAGACATAATGAGGTGCTCAGAGACAGGGTAGGAGTTGTGATCAGGAGTGAAAGTTAAAACCCAGATGGGATGCAGCATTATAAACTATGTCTGACAAAATATCTGACCAAAACATGGGAAAGCATCCAGATAAACTGACTCTGCAATGCAGGAAACTTTACTACTAAGGCTCATTGTGTCATGGTGGATATCCTTTCCTCCAGGCTAAAACAAACTGGGCATTGGGCCAGGCACCCAGGCAGCCAGACAGCAAGTCACAGGTACTGGATGTTTACTCAGCCACTGTGTTGTTTACGCCAATGTCCAACCTACAGTGGATCACATGAAAACACTATTTATATGTTCATTATCCAATTATGACTATCTGAGTAAGCATGGTAACTCAGCTGCTGTGTTGCTCTCTGGCTGGGGGCCTTGGGGTGGCCTAGCTAGGGCTGTCTGCTACCCAGGCAGTAATGTGGTTTGTCATATGTAGCGCACACAAGGCTTCCTGCACACGCTACTCACCCCATGAGGAGTCAGGCTTGTTGTGGGGCAGATATTTGAATGCCCAACAGTGTTGTGTGCATTGGAGTATGCAAGCACGGTGTTGCGATTGGCTAAGAAAAGCACAGCTGTCAGTGTGAGAGTTCACAGGCTTTTGGTGGTTTTACTTCTACTGCACGGGACACTCTTTCCTTGCTATTGGTTTTGGTTTGAGGAGCATCACAAACACTGGATCAAAAGTATGCCAACATCCAATGTGGACAAAATCAATAGTGGTCTACTACTACACATTTAAGTATGCACTCAAGTATGCACAAGTTTTCAACTTACATATTTGACATGCATGATTACATTGTGCAAGAGATATAAAGAGTGTGAGAGGGAGGAGTGGGCAGGGGAGAGAGGGTGAGAGATACAGGTGGGGAGGAGGGGAGAGATAAACAGTCCTCAAGAGTAGGATGGGTAGAGATGCATAGAAAGAGAGGGAGAGAGAAAAGGGAGGGAGGAAGACAGCTCAGGCAGGAGTTTGAGGGAGAGAGGAGAGGAGGTATTGGGAAAGATGAGGGAAGCTGATAAAGAGAGCAGGGTTGAGATAAACAGGAATAGACAGAAAACAAAGTGGGGATTGATAGAGACAAATATTGAGAAAGGGAGTGATAGAGACAAATATTGAGAAAGGGAGAGAGGGGATAAGTAAATGGAGAAAAAGGAGGAGATAGATAAACAGTGAAAAGGGTTAAGAAGCTGGACTGTAAGAATGAGAGAATAGTCAGGTTAACTGATAATTGACACAGACTTGGTGGCATAGAAGATTGCGTTCATCCACCTCTGGCCTGCTGGGCCCCCTACCTCTGCGGAAGCACAGTTCCCACTCAGCCCAGTCAAAACTGTTCGCTGCTCTGGAACCCCAATGGTGGAACAAGCTCCCTCACGACGCCAGGACAGCGGAGTCACTCACCAACTTCCCGGAGACACTTGAAACCCCACCTCTTTAAGGAATACCTGGGATAGGATAAAAGTAATCCTTCTACCCTCCCCCTACCCCACCCCAAATTTTTTTGGGGTTGATATATTGTAAAGTGGTTGTCCCACTGGCTATCATAAGGTGAATGCACCAATTTGTAAGTCGCTCTGGATAAGAGCGTCTGCTAAATGACGAAAATGTAAATGTAAATGTAAATGTAAGATCGGAATGCCGTGAACCAAAAGGTTGTGAGTTCAAATCCCAGGTGAGGACATGTTGAATAATAACTACTGTAATGATAAACATGCACAATGTAATTATATGTCAAAATATGTATGTTGAAAACATTGTATGTTAAAAGCACTGTTTGTGTGTGTGTAACCAGTTGCACAGCCTTTTTTAGTTAAGATGCCCAAATAATAATTTCTAGTTGAATGAACATATGAGTTGCGCAAACAAATCATTTTAAATTGACTGAATTTTTGCCTACGTTTTCTCAAGTTGGAGCTAAGTTTGGGCCAACTACAAAATTTAAGTTCAGGTAACATTTGACCGAAAAGTTGAGTAAACTAAAAAAGGCTGTGGAACCAGTTACTTAATAATAAGTTGAAACATCTATAATTTTTTTGAGAGACGAAATCATACAGAGAGCGGTATCATCCCATCATGGTTCTGAGATGGCCCTGTGTGTCATCGTAGCTCCAGCTATTCCTGTTGTCCAGCGCCCTGGCCTCGCTACCCACAATGCCCCGCTGCATGCTGCGGCCTGGCTACCCTCCGTGGTGTGACTCAGTGTTAATTAGGTTAGGGGGCTGAGAAAGTGTAGGTTGGCCTTCTGTTAACAGGGCCGCTGATTTGGGCTTCCAGGATCTGGAAGCTGAGCAGGCAGCCCTGCAATTGTCGCATTACAGCTGTTGAGAAGTGTGCAAGTATACATGCTGCTGAGGATTAGGACACTGCATGAGAGATGGTTCATCAGGTTCACTACTCCACTATACAGCAGCACACTTCATCTACTCCTAGAGCATGTTCTTATCGGAGCCTAAATGAATGTGGAGGCAACAGCATCGCTCACATTGATGTGCAATCTTATTCAGCTCTTACATGTGCTACAGTATAAGCACATGGCATGCACACACATGCATGCACACATGCACGGACACTCACTTGTGTGTGTGCGCGCGCTTTCTCTCTCTCACACACATACACACACATACACACACACACATACATACACTCTATATAGGCTATATTGTGTATGCAGCCCACAATGTATATATGCAACCAAAGCCCACACACTGACACATTCATGGGGATTGTAAAAGCAGTTTAAGAGGCATTTACAGGGTCAGAAGTCATTCAAATCCACCTCATTAGAGCTAGGAGGCAGATGGAGGCATGATTCACATAACTGGATTTGCATGCAAGGCTGCAGATCATTTAGCCATTCAGGCACATAAACAAAACACACACACACACGGACATATGGACATACGGACATACACACACAATGACACATGGACACACACACACTGACACATGGACACAAACAAAACCCTTTGAGCTATAATCTCGAATGCTCACTGATTAAAAGGTAGAGAACTGATACAGTAAATTATGTGATAAACATATGTGAAAATGAGATATGCCCACAATTTTAACTAACCAAACAATAATTACTGTGAGAATCATCTCTGGGTGTAAAAAGGGAGTGGCTAACCTTATAGGCCTACAGTATATTGAGGATATCTGTGGTGTCAAAGGACTGTGTCTGTGGCTGTTTCTACATATCCTATTTAAACTCAACCTTGGATGACTTCTGAATCCACACTTTGCATTCGCTGCCATCTGGGTTTGTGGGAGATGGCGCTCCCGAGACAATGAGCCCTACATAAACTCCTCCTGTCTCCCTCCTTCCTATCTTCCCATCCCTGTCTCCCCCTTCTCCCCTTGTTCCCTCCCTCCCTCCTGCCTCCCCCTCTCCCTGTCTTCCCCTGCCACTCCTTCCCTCCCTCCTCCCCCACCCTGCCTCCCAGTGGTGGCAGAGAGAGCACCTGGCTGTCAGGCCGTCTGCTCTATTGGGCCGTGGGGCTGCTGTCTGTCACACCACAGTGCTGGCCTGTTACGGGGCTCCACCACACCGCCACACTGTACAGCACCGCACTGTATGCTATCATGGCTTGACCCCACGCCGCACGCATCCACACTGTCACCATCACCACGCTCTAACAAGCCCGACTGTACGCCGTGGCAGCCCGACACGCTGCAGCCAATCAGTCTGGGAGAGAAGGACTGGGAAGGAAGGAGGAAGGGAGAGGGAGAAAGAGAGGGGGAGGGGTTGGAGAGAGAGAGGATAGATGATAGCATTGATGATAGATAGATAGATAGATCGCTAGATCGCTAGATCAGCTCAGTGTGATATCTCGCTCGATCGCTAGACTCGCTCGCTCGCTCGATCGATAGCTAGCTCGCTCGCATACGCTCGTCGCTCGTCGCTAGCTGCTGATCGATCGATAGCTAGCTGATCGTCGCTCGCTCGCTCGCTAATAGCTCGCTAAGGCCGCCGATAATCACGAGAGGGCCGAGAGAGGAGGCGGGTCGAGATAACAGGATCCAAACAACACGTGGGACAGATTGATAGAGAGAAGTATTGAGATGGAGAAAGGGAGAGAGGGGATAA